TTTTTTTTTTTTAACCGCGCATTCAGCTCCTCGCGCACGCCTTGTTTTCCTAATGAATCAGCCACATTTACCTTCCTTCAGTGAGCTGCAGAGAAGCTGCTTTGCAGAGGAGGATTTCTGAGCACGAGCACTAAAGCACAACTTCAAAGGGTTATTGTGCATCTATCCCAAATTAGCTTTCTGTGCAACTGTCTGAGCACTTTGAGGAATACATTATCTGGTGGTTGGGAAATTACAGGCATTTATGTTGTAGTGCAGCACTGAGCCTGGCAGCGCTACAACAAACCCGACAAGGTGGATATTCACCGCATGAAGCCAATAAAGAGAATCCGGTACAGCGAGTAGCAACAAGCCCCGATGGGTTTCACATTAACAAACATTCCCAGGCAGCCTCAATGATCATATATATATATTAAAATATCAAAATATCTGATACTCCTCGATGCCCAGAGCTCACCCTGCTGTACAAGTATCCGCATCGAATGGCTAAAAAAAAGGAAAAGCAGGAAGGCGTATTCTGCATTCTTACAACTCATGTTTCCTCCATTTTTCTTCTTTTCTGTCTCAAGGTTTGAGCGCCTCGACTTCGGGCCTTGGCAACGGGTCACTTGAGCTTTCTGTCCAGGATCCAATGTACACATTGAACACAAACACATTCACTGTCGTGCATGTCGACACACACTTGGAAGACCTTCTGCAGTTTGTACATGATTTGTATCGCCTGTATGTCATTAAACCACGAGCTGAAATATCTGATCGGGCCGCAGCTGAGGACAATACGACTCAGTCCTTGGTGCTTAATTACATAAACACACGCATGATTAAAAGTTGTACTGAAGCTCTACGCCAGCTGTTTGAGGCAGGCTGACACAGCTGTATACATGTGTCTTTGCACACTGAATCAGATATCCCATTGTGCTCATCTGGAGGGAATTAGGCTGCGGGAGAGAGGGGGACTATAGAGGCTTTGATATACAGAGGAGGAAATGTCGGGTAATGTCCTGGAACCACATGCAATATCCTAATAGGAGCTGGGCGACTGATAAGAGGAGACAACTAGCTCATCTCTGGCCGTCTGCAAACCCGTGACCTTTATTTCTGCAGCTCACACACTCGGAGAAGTGCGGATTTTAGCCCATTACGACGCAGTGTGCTCTCTTTTTCCCAATCGGCAAAGCTTTAATAAATCATATTAAGCAGTAAGAGTCCTCATTCAGGCTGGGCCGACCCCACCCTGCATGCCGCATCCCCCCGAAAAAACACACAGAGCCACAGATGTTTAACTGGCACTATTCAAATAACGGTCTCGATGATCTTAAAAGGATAGAAGTCAGGTTGCCATTGCGATGCCGTTGGTTTCAATCCCAGCAAAGTACATTTAGGGATCCAGTGACAGCCAGAAGCTGGAGTGCTGCAAATATCACACACCCCACTCCCTATAAATTTAGTGGATGTGCTGCGGAGGAAGGCACTCAAGCTCCAACCGCTGGAGACGAGTTGGTCCGTGGCCAACAGAGGAAATCTGAGGTTGCACTGTGCAGCTCCTGTGTGCATGTGAAGCAGGGCGTGACTGAGATACAGCCTCTCCGCGGACAAATGGAGGCTCAAAATGCTGTTTAGGTTGTAACAGGTCTCTGCAAGCAAGTGGACCTCGGTGTTTGCTTACAGCAAAGCTAAATCCTCATGATCGGCGTTTGTGTTGTTAAAACTGGATCGAGGTGACGGTCTGCAGTTACAGAACACTTAACGATTCGGCTTTTCATTCATTCATTTGAGGGCATGAATCATTCCCTTTGAACCGCAGCCCGGCCTGTTTGCAGGGAACACGGGAACGCCAACATGGAGAGCATCTGGTCAGTCGGGATGAACGTGACAGGCTGTTTGTTTGGGGAAGAAAAGAGGACATGAAAGAGCGAAAGCAAATGAGCATCACATTCAATAACGCAAATATCTCTTCTGTTTGTATTTTCCGTGAGGAACCACACAAATAACCGCTCGATTGAGTGAAGAAGCTCAAATGAAAACATCAGACACGCCGCGGCTCTGACAGGACGCCGCATGTTTGCTACAGATGCTCACAGGAGACGGTTTGTAATTCTAAATCTCCAGTTCACACTGCAGACAACCAGCCGACTTGCATCAGCCGAATCCGATATGATCAGGGATGCTGAACAGAGAGAGAAACGCTGACCACAATTAACTTTGATGAATAAATGAAATCAAGTACCTGGTGACTGTGGTCAGAGGGAAAATATCAGCGCACGCAGAGCCGCTCAGGGTCACAGATTCTGTAGCAGAGATCTGCTGCCCTCTAGTGTCCAGAAGTGGAACTACACGTGTACTTGAGGAGAGCACGTGGGGCCTTGTGGGACGTGTCACTTCATTATGAGGAGTTTGTGGTTGTATAAGCAGACCGACCATCTGTAAGAATATATCTGGTAACAGTGGGTAGAAGTATAATTTTGAGTAGCAACTGATAAGAATAGCTGGCAAATAACTGTAGTGGAGTCAATGGTGATATAATTTACTCTGAGCTATAAATGACAATTAGTTCCAGGTTGGAGTTTCGCTAACATAATGATTTCACGGCGTATCGTGTTGTAAATTGATTGTCACTGCCTATAAGATATTTCAATGCGATAAATAATTCTATATGAGAGCAGCACTATTACTGAGCCTGCAAATAAAACAGCAAACCCCCAATCCTCAGACACCTTATCAAGACACGACAGCTGGTGGAGTGTGTCGCCTCCCATCCCACATGCTGACGATAATTAGCCTCATGATATGTGCAGAGGGCAGAACGCCACACAGCACAAAACGCACAACACTCAACACACAGCCACTGACCATCCTCATCCCATCTTTGCTAGACTCGCTGATGGCCTTGAAGAAATCTGCATTGGGTGATTTTACTTAATGGTAAAAATGCAGTGGCACGCTGTAAAAGCACTCAAATGTTCTACATTAAAGAATGTACTTGTTTAAGAGTTCAATTATATTGTAATTTGTTGTACTTAAAATATTACAAGTATAGTCCCAAGATGAATGAGTCCTTCCGGAGTGTTACATTATTATTTATTACTAGAGATTCATTGGTATTTGTGCAATAAAATGTCAGCAGTATTTCAATTTTGACTACTAATAATCATAAAAATAACTGTGCTAGGATTAAAAAGTGCTTTACAAATGAAAACATGTAATAATAAAAAATATATATCATGTAGCCTAAATGAGAAAAGTATCCTATAGAAGGTTTTCATCAAGTCATACAGTCATTCCTCTGTGGTCAGATGGCGGCTAACAAAGCTAGCCAAATGCTAACATTAGCTGTCCAATGCTAATGGCTTTCTAGCAAATGTTATAATTATTATAATTAGCCTGCTGATTAAGTTGCAGTAGTGGTAAAGTTATTTCTTTATTCCTATTTAAAGAGGGCAGAATGCATTTGAGGTAGTATTGCTTTAGTTGAATTATTTATTTTTGTTTGGGAATTTCGATGTCAAGATGAATGTATTTTGTTATTATTTTTCTTCCGTTGTCAGATAAACCAGTTGAAGTTGTGTCATATTCAAAGATCGAACTGGAACAGCTGCATTCGCTCAAATCTCCTGACCCAAATCAGTAAGCCTTCAATCTAACAATTATTCACTAAATTAGGCTTTTGGGAATCCCGTTTTCTAGTTACTCATTAATTTGACAATGTATTTTACGGTTAACACTTTGAATGACGAAGGTACTTAATTTGCACAATTGTTGAGCAGTTGTTGGCAGTGAAAATCTCCGTTAAACAAAGAGCATACAAGTAAATGCTCTTTATAAATAAATGAAAATCTAAACATAAAAACGTGCAAGTTAAACATGATATTGTTTTATTCAATACATGTGAACATCTGTCTCAAAGAGCTATTTCATTAATTACTAAATGCAACATTGTGCTGATTATACCTCTGAGCTTTACTCAAGTAACATTAACACAAGACGTCTAATTATAATGCAGTGTTTTCAATGTTGTATTAGCAATTTGAAATTGAATAACTACTGTTTTGTCTTTTGAAGTAAATGTTGGATTATTTTGTGCTGTAATAAAATGTACAGATTCCCTTCTCCAATAGTTCTTGCATATTTTCTCTTTGAATTGTTCTAAATAAATAATACATAATATAGATATTCATTCTATATAAATACATACACCTAGAAGATTGCGATGATCAATAATTCAAAAATGTGCAGCTATACTAAAGTTGTAATACTTAAGTAATGAGATCTTACTATAAAGTTGCATTGGAATTTATTATACATTTAATAGAGTTCTATTAAAACACTTTGTCGAGTCCCTTTTGCTTATCAAACAAACACATGAACTTAACTGCAGCTAATAAAGTTAAAGAAATAAAGTTTTATAGGAACCCTTAAAACGACATGCCAGCTAAATACTGCATGAAGTAAATGTCAGATCATAATGACAGCTGCTCGTTTAATTAAGCACATTAAGTACAATTTTGAGGCACTTCTGCAAATCTGCTACTTTACATTTATACATTTTAGAGGCAAATACTTTTTGCTCCATTATTTCTATACGAAAGCTTATAGTGGCTTTGCAGATTATATCAACAAGTGAATAATAATGTATCATCATAGTTAATCTTTCCAGAGGGACTTGCATACAAACTATGATCCAGAAATATATAATATTATAAAATGGGCCGTTTTGTCTAATCAATACTGGTATTTTTGGTACTTTTTTAACAATAAAAACTACTGTCTGTGTACTTCTTTCAGCACTTCATAAAGTCAAAGGCTGAAGCCAGTTAAAAATATAATATACAACATTCTGATATTTATCGTGAAGCTCCAACCGACCCCGCGGAGACGCGCCGGGGCCCCCCGGGCCAGCAGCGACCTCCTCCCCGCACCGTGGATGCAGCGGAGCGTCGAGGCGGTTGGAGGCGGGGAGGGTTAAGAGGGGGGGAGGAGGAGAGGGGTGAGGAGGAGGGGGGGGGAGCACAGAAGTGACCGCTAACTTCACGTCAACCCGCGCAGACTTTACCGAACCGGCGAGAGCGGAAATCTTTACCCGCGGGTGAGCGGCGGGCGGCGGGGAGGGTTCGTGTGTGTGTGGGAGGGCGACACGGGGGGAGGGAGGAGGAGGAGGAGGAGGAGGGGGGGTCGCTTCGGGAGAGATACCGGACCTGTGTTATTTCCTCACGGTTTAAAAAAAAAAAAAAAACCCGATTGAACGTTTAACATCGGTTCGAGTAGGTGTGTTTTTTTTAGAGCTTATATCTTGTTTTTCTTCAAGGAGCGCGGCGGTGAAAACACACGGAGCGAGAAGGAGCCGAGCAGCCCGCCGAGGAGGAAGGCTCGCGAGCCTCCGCCATCTCTTCTCCCCTCCGCAGTCGGGCCGCCGTGTCCTCCGCGCCGCCGCCATGGGGAACGCCGCCACCGCCAAGAAGGGCAACGAGCTGGAGAGCGGTGAGTCCCGGGCCGCCGCCCCGCGTCCCCCCCCCCCGCCCCGCCGGCCGGCCGGTCCCGTCTGCTTTGGTTCCGTTTGGGGTTCTATTTTCTCAGCCGCCGCGTACTCGCTTAAATACCCATTAAACGGCGGAGGACAAACGGGAGCCTCTTCGGGAGTTGGTGGTTAGCTCGCCGCTTATAAACACGTATAACCGCACCGCGGTAACGACGCTGCTATCCGGCCGCTCGCCGCTCCTAGCTAACGGTTAACCACCGGGGGACGGGGGGTATTTCATTTGGCTCAAAGATGCCTAGCTAAGTTAGCTAGGAGAAGCCCCCCCCCCTACTCCGTTGTTGTCTTTTTTACTACCGGGGGGGTTAACCAGCCTGTTAAATGCTTGCGCAATGCTGATCGATACATTCCCTCTATTGATGAGGCTCGTTAAAGGGCTGTTTGCATGCCAGCTAGCTTGCTAACGTATGCTACGAGAGAGAGGGGGGTGGGGGGGGGGTGTTAGCCCCCAAAAGGCCCCTGTCATGTCGTAGCCTCTGGTCGGTGGGGGATGGCCGGGCCCACACACCCTCCCGTTAGCCGCGGGTCCCTTCATCATCCCCTTCTTCTTCCTCATCACCGTCTTCATCTTCATCCCCTTCTTCTTCATCACCCTCGTCATCTTCGCTGGCTTCATGTCAATCAGGATGGGGGTCTCTGGCAAAAAGAGCTTTGCTCCCATTAAGTTACATCCCCCCCCCCCCATGAGTGACTGTTATGAAAAGACACGTTTTATTTTATTTTTGTAGAGGAGAGCCAGTGGGATTGTTTCTGCCTCGGGCCTCGCTGCCACATTTTATTCTTGGCTGCATAAACAAAGCTTTCCCTGCTACAGAACCCTGACCAAATATGGTGAAGAAATGACAAATGCCCTCTTTCCATTCATAAAAGTGCTGCCTTCCCAGTTACACACACACACACACACACACACACACACACACACACACACTCAGACCAACGGGGTTGAATTGTGGCACTCGAGCCCCTTTTCTAATCTCGGTGGGGTAAAGGTCCACCGAGGCTCACTTCTCACATTCAGCTCGCCGCTGACCGGAGCAGCTTGTCATCCGACCTCCGTCAGAGGATAAGGGGCATTACGAGCTTTGAAAGGTTTGACGCAACCGGGCCTCAGGCCCCGTCACACTTTGTGCCTGTATGTGCGCAGCGAGTCATGCATGAGCCTCCTGTGTGATCAATCACACATGTTTCCCCTCTACCTGGCCGTAAAGATAAGAGCTGCAGGTGTGCAAGTTTTATTTTTTTTCTTTATTTTTTTTTTGTTGCACAAGTCGTCGCATTCGATGGCCTCAAATCAGTCCCTTTTGTGCAGAAACGTTGATGCATCGTTACCGTGCACACAAACACGCCGAGGACCTGTCCCTTTGCTTTATGTAGCATCACTCTGCGACGCCGTGAATCGGGTTTTATTGACCCGCTGAGAGACGCAGCCACCCTGGCCGACACGGACCATCCGATCGGCGATGGTTCCCGCCTTCCTCCAGATACTGCAAAGCGTCGGACCTGTTTAAGCCGCCGCTGTGCGCTGAGCTGCAGATTTGTCTGGACTGAAGCCACTCTGACCCGATAACCTGGTTACCCACGGCGCTGTATATTTATACACTGGAGTACCTGTGGTTACTGCATATAGCGCCCATTCGCAGAGGCGGGAGGGGGGGGGGGGGGGATTAAACAGCTGACACATATTTCCCTTCACTGTGCCCGAGTGTTGGGTTTCACTCCGGTGTAACAGAACAGAACCAAGTTGTGCTTGTCTGTATTTTATCTGTGACCGCTTGACGCATATGAAGTCACTGTAACTAACTTTATTGTCCTTATCGGGAATCATTTATTTATTTATCTGCACGTTATGTTCTTGATTAATTAGACCTTAAATGCTGGGGGATGTTTTTCGCTCAGTCAATTGGTCGGTTGTTAGAAAACGAATCCGAAAATATAATAAAATTGATTCATTATGCTCATCATAATAAAGTGCTGATTGAGCAAACAACCCGACATAAAGAGGAAGATATTCTACCATTTAGGTTTTTAGTCACCGCAGAAAATGAGCCTTGTGCCAAACAAATGTTTATGGCTGTTTACTGACGTGTTTTATGTTGTAGAGTAAAATTATTTTAGGCTTCTGACTAAAGCGCCAATCGAGGGAACGCGGGGGCCAAACCTCTTTTCCAAACCTGCTGTAGTGAGAGAAGTGGACCGATGTTGAGGTGCGGAAACAAAACCTGCAGCTCAAAGCGTGACGGAGGTCGAACGCTTTGTAGAATGAGGAATGTTCGGATTGATTTGTTCTCCGGCGGGCGGCGGTTATCGGGTCCATCTGAGCGTCTCGATACGCGGCGCTTTGCTACACCGGTTCTTCGGCAGACAGCCGGTCTCCGGTTAAATTCCCCCTGTTTTCATTCCTGTCGCCTTGTTGTCATGCACATGAACTCTACATCTCTCTCTCTCTCTCTCTCTGTCTTCCCCATCCGTGTCGTCCCGTCCGCTCTCGTTGGGCTCTCGTTCCTGCGATACCGTGTTGGAGAACAGAGACGTTCGGTACGCCGGTTCCTCCAGAAGATGAGCAGAGCGCCGTCGGTCTCCCTCCCACTACCTGCTAGATGTGCTTGCTTTTGCATGTGTCCTTCTTTTGTTATCCACATTGTCTCAATCTGGATTTTCCATACATTGGTTTGTCTTTAATTACCATTATTTTACTGCTGTGTTTAAAACAACCGTACCCACCAAACCGCATCAAGCGTTGTGTAGTCCGCCCCCCCGCCGCCCCCGCCCACACAACAAACAGGAACCAATACGCCGAGTGTCTCGCCCCGCATCGCTAGTCTGCCTGCCCCTGAATGTCCTTCTCACGTGTGTGTTTTATTATCTTTAGAGCAAAGTATGTGGTGTGTTTAGTGTCCCACTCCGCGTACGTCCAGATGAGAGTCGACCCCCCGCCCACCGTCTCCTCCATTAGTGTCCCCCGCGATTCCCCCTCCAGTGCGACGCAGCGCTCGCTCTTTTCCCGCCAGCTTGATCTAAAACCTGAATTAGTTTTAATGAAGACACCGCAGTGTGCTTCAGCGGACGGCAGCTGACTGCGTCCGCCTGTGCTCCTTGTGTTTCAGTCAAAGAGTTTCTGGCCAAAGCCAAAGAAGACTTCCTGCGGAAATGGGAATGCCCGCCACAGGTAAGCGCCACGAGACCCGTGCCTGTCCCCGGGAGCCGCTTCGGTCGGCTAACGCGTCGCTGTGGTTCTCCCCGCAGAGCGCGACGTGCCTCGACGACTTTGACCGGCTGAAGACGCTGGGCACCGGCTTCCTTTGGAGGGTCATGCTGGTGAAGCACAAAGCGACAGAGCAACACTTTGCCATGAAAATACTGGACAAGCAGAAGGTCAGTGGGAGCACGTGTGCCCCCCCCCTCCCTCCTTCTCATGCAACATTCCCAATTACCTAAACACGTCACATCAAAACTCGCTCTTTTTCACTGCTGGAGGAGAGGCCCGAGTTAAATAAACACAAAGCTAAAGGCGACCTTGCCTCCCTGCGCCCGCTATCTCGCTATCTCGCCTGTCGCTACGGTGAGCGAGATCTACCCGACAAGGTCGTCTTATCTCTTTTTATCTTCCAGGTGGTGAAACTCAAGCAAATAGAGCACACGCTGAACGAGAAGAGGATATTACAGGCCGTGAGCTTCCCCTTTCTCGTCAAACTCGAGTACGCTTTTAAGGTACAGCGTGCGTTTATTTTTATTATTTTTTTGTCACCGGAATGAATTTATACACTAACGAATCGCCGAGTGACGGGTGTCGTTTTTTCTGTGCTTTTCTCAGGACACCTCCAATTTGTACATGGTGATGGAATACGTTCCAGGAGGAGAGATGTTCTCACACCTGAGACGAATCGGAAGGTTCAGGTGTGTTTTTTATCTGCCGGGGGGGGGGGGGGGGGGGGGTACTTGGTCGACGTCATCAACGCATCGGCGATGATCGAGCCATTAGCAGCTTCGTGCATCTCTGTGGTCCCAACATGCACGGGCTAAATCCTCGAGAAGTGACCACGCTGCTTTTTTCCCTCTCCAGTGAACCGCACGCCAGGTTTTACGCCGCCCAGATAGTGCTGACCTTCGAGTACCTCCACTCACTGGATCTCATATACAGAGACCTGAAACCCGAGAACCTGCTCATCGACCACCACGGTTACATCCAGGTGAGCTGCAACAACAGCAAATGAGCGCCGCTCGGCCCTCCGAGGCGACACTTTGCCCACGTGTGGCGTCTGTGCTCCTTCAAGGTGACGGACTTTGGATTCGCGAAGCGGGTGAAGGGCCGGACCTGGACGTTGTGCGGGACGCCGGAGTACCTGGCGCCGGAGATCATCCTCAGCAAAGTACGCAGCTTTTCTTTCACTGTTTCGATGCTCACCTCGCTGTCTTTGTACTCAAACAAAACTCTTTTCTTATGTTTGAGTTTATTCTGAATTCTAAAAACAAGGATTTGAACCGTCTCCGATCTTTTCAGGGCTACAACAAAGCGGTGGACTGGTGGGCGCTCGGGGTCCTCATCTACGAGATGGCCGCTGGTTACCCTCCATTCTTTGCAGATCAGCCGATTCAGATCTACGAGAAGATCGTCTCGGGGAAGGTAGGCGGGCGTTTGGATTTGGGATGTGCGTCCCGGGACGCGTGCACACAAGCCAGATTCCATCGTGCGCTTCGTCCTCTTTCCAGGTTCGATTCCCGTCCCACTTCAGCTCCGACCTGAAGGACCTGCTGAGGAACCTGCTGCAGGTGGACCTGACCAAACGCTACGGCAACCTGAAGAACGGAGTCAACGACATCAAGGGCCACAAATGGTTCGCCACGACAGACTGGATCGCCATCTACGAGAGAAAGGCGAGGCCAATGACACCAAACGCTGTTTATTACGCATTGATTTGTAGATATCGACTCTTCTTTTCTTTGTGCTACAAGTTCTGATGCTCAGGGATTCTTTTGTGCTATTTTGTTGGAAAGTTGTCTGAAGACTGCTCATCAATCAATCATATTTTCCCCCACTTGGCTCCGCTGCCAGATTTGCCGTTTTGCAGGATGACATGATGACAATGGAGTTCTTTGATTGATCAATTTCTCTCTCTGTGCTCGAATCTTATCGATCTGTTGATTCTGTTAAACTTCCTCACTGTACAATCATAACACACCTTTATCGACTTCACGCCGGTACTTTATTGGATTGATGCAGTGGGATAGTGTGATGTAGAAACGATATTTTTAAAACTTGTCGTTGGATTTAACCGAATCAGGTCTCCTCCTTATTGTTTTGTATTGTTATATTATTATTTTTGTTATTTTACAGCCTCATTCAAGAGTAGATTCTCCTCTTGAATTTTCGGATTGACAACGTCAGACTCTGGTCTTTTTATAATTAAATATATAGTTTAGTTATTGGCAGCTTTAGACCCATTTTCATACTTTTTTCTTTACATTGATCATTTCTACTAGTGAAAAAGTATTATTATTTTTTCAAAAACCTGAAGAGAAATAAATTCCCGTTCATGAAATAGGTTACATGTTTAAATCTAAAACATTTAGATTTTTAACAAAGAAAGTTTAAGACGAGCTAAAACACCCAATTACGTACCGATTAATTAAACAAAATATATATCTTTTTAAAAAAAAAATTTCATTCTGAATGGCCGTCTCCCCTTGACCTTATTTTCTCAGGATTAAAGCTTTCACGCCTTGAATTATCCTCATTTTAATTTTAACGGTGCTTTAGGGGCGTTGAAGTGCATCGTCCATCACACGTCCCCGTGCGTCTCCTTCGTCCCCCAGCTTCGCCTGCTTCTGTAACTTTCCACCTTCACGTCCGTCCTCTGAGATGTTTAGTAAACACTGAGCTGACACCTTTGCAGAAACCGAACACTTGAGAGCGTTTGTGGCACGTCGACCTTCAGCCTCGTAGAGTACCAACAGACGTGAAAGTTTTATCGTTAATAGACTTTAATCAGAGAAACGTACGGCGATGTCGTATCGCAGTCTCTCAGCACAGGAGCTGTGATGCGGTTTGCTATATTTGGCTCAATGTAAAGCAAACACGACATCATAATAATTTTAATAATACAATGTTCTTGGCTTGCGATGAAGTAGCTGAACGCTGCCTGTCAAATGGAGATTCGGGGAGTTGGTGAAAGTCACGGCGTAGAGTTGTTGTGCAAACAGGAAAAAGGTTCTACCAGACGCTACTGGGAGCTTTTTGACCGTATTCACCTAATAAAGCGTGCGGTTCCCTTCTGCAGGTGGAGGCCCCGTTCATACCAAAGTGCAGAGGCCCGGGGGACACCAGCAACTTCGACGACTACGAGGAGGAGGAAATCCGAGTTTCCGTAACGGAAAAATGCGGGAAGGAGTTTGCAGAGTTTTAGGACGCGGGGGACATGGATACATCAGGGAAATTAGGGGATCTTTGCACTCTTCTAAAGACTCGGGATGGAGCAGAGACCATCGTTTTTCAGATCTACTACATAGTCCCGTCATTCCATGAGGCCGAATGAGGTTGCCGCGATCCTTGGGTGCCGATAACCTCTCACTGTCACGTACACCTGCGTATTAAAGCAGACACAACACTTTCTTTTTTCTTTTGTACCTACCACCCTTCTTTTTTTTTTTTTTTTTTTTTTACTTTGAAGCAGTTAGTCTTGGATGTCGTTATGCCCTTTTAAAATGTGATGGTTTTTTTCAATTCATGAGGAAAAACTGAGACTACGGCCAATAAGCGTCCACGCATTGTAACCCACCGGCCCGTGTGCACTTTGGGGCACCCTGCTGGGCCTCGCAGGAGACTCCCTCGAGGCGATCTGTTACAAGTCCACCTCGCGCCGGCCTTTGGGCCATTCTGGCCGGCTTTCGGGGGGGAGGAGAGGGGGAGGGGGGCAGCATTCGTCCCGCGTCTGTCAGGTTTTCTGTTGAGTTTTGGAAGCGTGACAAGGAAAGAGGTCCTCTTCCTTTCTTAGCTTTTTGCCTAGAGCCAAGTCCTTTGCCCCCCCCCCCCCCCCCCCCCGCCACAGAGAAGCATCCATTCACTGTCTTCTTGGTATTCTGACCCAGCAAGCAGACGCAGACAATGACAAACCCTGTTATTTGTAAAATGCAAATCCAGTTGTTTGTTTGATCCTTTTGGATCGGGTAGTTACATGTAAAGTTTGTCATTTTGTATCTGACTATTCTTTCGTCGCTTTGTCTAACATTAAAATCACAATGTCCCTGGAATTCAGGTCCGCTTATAAAGACCCTTTGTCATGAGTCCGTGGAACCAGTAAATGCAAAAGAGTGAAGTGAAATCCTTTGTAGGATTTTTGTTGAGTGTGATGTTAAGTTGAGGAGGTCGGTGTCAGTAAAGCCTTTTATTAAACAGGACATCATTTGTAATGTTGTAGATCAAAGATGTTTTAAAATCTTGAGAAACAGGAATGCAAAATCTGCATATTTACCGTATTCTCCCTTTTATCGCCCCCAAAACAGATTTCTTTGTTTGAGCAAAGAATGTCTATTTGCAACTTATAGGTATGCATATTTGAAGGCTTGATTTCAAGGTACAGTTTTCCTCACAATACACTGGCTAAAATAAAGACTGCTCCTTTGTGTCACATGTAACCTTGTTATTGTTAAACTCATTGCATCATACGTATATACATTGTTTCATATATGTCTTTATTTATACACATTAGAGATGCTAATAAATTTTATTTTTAAAAGTGTTGAAGTTGTGTAACTGTCCGTGCATTGTGACTGTAATTCTCCCCACAGGGTCTGAATGTAACCACATAGTGGTCCAGACTCGAGGATTACTGTGGTAAATACACAAGGTTTGATTTATTCGATGCAGAGTAGTTATCACAATGTCCCATCTGGGGATTTCCATGAGACATTTAGTTCCAACACCATTTTATAATATAGGTTGAAAATTCTACACCAGTGGGACAAACTATATTTTAATAGCGCATAAAGAGTTACATAAGTAAGATAACTTAATAATAATAAATTATTATAATGTTCCTTTCATTTTATTAATATTCTCTAATGTCTAACGTCAGTCCGACATTTATTCCGAACGCGTCACATTTGGGCCTCCTCTCTTGCCGTAGTCTCTCCGCGTGTGACGCACTACAGTGAGGAACACGTGGTGTCCTCGCGCGCCGCCGTTCATCCCGAGCGAAGTTTTTTTCCGGAAAACATGGCGGGCGTGGAGCTGCTGTCGGACCAGGGCTACCGCCTGGACGGCAGGAAAGCCACCGAGCTGCGGAAGCTTCAGGCCCGCATGGGTGTGTTCGCTCAGGCGGACGGCTCCGCGTACCTGGAGCAGGGAAACACGAAGGTTCTGGCTGTGGTCTACGGCCCGCACGAAGTGAGTAACGTTAGCTTAGCAAGCGCTAACGCCACAACGGTTAGAATGAAGCGCAGCGGTGGCAGAAGATGAACAGCACGTTATTTATTGATCATCACCCCCCCCCTGTAATTCGTCCAATAAAACCAATGCGTGTGACGTTACAGAATCGTTTCAAGCGACCAGAAAATACTGAAATACCTTCATGAACTGACCTTATAGGTACAACTTTCTGGGGGAAAGTCTGTTTTTATCAATATAACTTAAAATCAATATAAATTAGTGTAACTTCATACGTCAGTACAGAAAGTTAATACTGACAGTGCCAATATAACTTGAACATTGATTGTCCTGTAAAGGTAGAATATGACTGCAGCATTACATTTAACAGGTGTACCCATTAAAGTGACCCCCCCCCTCACACACACACACCAGTGTTTTCAGTTCCTTTTATTTTGTATAGCCCAAAATTGCATATTACAAATTTGCCTCAGAGGGCTTTACAGTCTGTACACATGAGACATCCTTTGCCCCAAAACCCTCGCACAGGAAAAACTGAAAAAAATTAAAAACCCTTCTATGGGGGGAAAAAGGGAAGAAACCTGGGGGGAACGTCAGAGGATCCAATACGTTGAATTCCTATAACAGAAATGATTCACAATGTGGCAAGTGAAACAAAATCCCATCCCTATTTACCATAATGAACTAGGCTCCAGTTTATTAGAAGTTTGCTTTAAATCATTAATATGGGCATCAAAGCTTCAGAAAAGTTCAGACTCGATACGCCGCGATTCCCTTGAATCGTATTAATGAAGACACAACGATCGATCCCCAGGTTCGAGGTTCGCGCACCCGGAGTCGCCACGAACGAGCCCTGATCAACTGTCAGTACAGCATGGCCACGTTCAGCACGGCGGAGAGGAAGAGGAGGCCGCACGGCGACCGCAAGTCCACGGAGATGAGCCTCCACCTCAAGCAGACGTTTGAAGCCGCCGTGATGACACAGCTCTACCCGCGCTCTCAAATAGACATCTATGTCAAGGTGAGTGGCGGCGAGGTGGACTCGATGATGTGTTGGGGGGGGGTTATCATGTATTGATAACGATAATAATTATTTCCAACCAGATTCTGCAGTCGGACGGCGGCAACTACAGCGTGTGCGTGAACGCCGCCACGCTGGCGGTGATCGACGCCGGCATCCCCATGCGGGACTACGTGTGCGCCTGCACGGTGGGGTTCGTGGACGAGACGCCCCTCGCCGACCTTTGCTACGCAGAGGAAGGCGGCGGAGTGAGCTCGCTGGCCTTGGCGCTGCTGCCCCGCGGCGGGCAGATCGCTCTGCTGCAGATGGACGCCAGACTACATCAGGATCACTTGGATTTGCTCATCGAGGCCGCCATGACGGCGTGTAAAGGTGTGAGCAAGTTGCTGGATGAGGTGGTGCGACGACATCTGCAGGAGGTTTCTGTGCTCTCTGGAGAGTGATGCATGGAGGACCTCCAGACTGGGGTTTGGGTCGCAGACCGGAGAAGTTATTGGACCGAATGGAGAGGATAGATGAGAGAATTCTTTTGGAGTGATTTCTTTTATATATTTTCATGGTTTATACCTTTGTACAGTACATGTGTGCAGCTAACAATAAATGTATCAACCTTTCATAACTCGTGTTTCTTTCCCATTTGTGGGTGTTTGTATTTAAAAGTTCAATCCTCAGACTTAATGACAGGCCATTATAGAAAACTAATAATGACTAAAAATGATCGGCTTTTTAAAGAATACATTTTTGTAATGCAGGACGCAGAGTTTATATTTGTAACTAGAAATCTGAACTGTCTGTGAAATAAGAATATAGGCATCATTAACAAAGAAAACAAACGATTAAAGTTATTCTGTGGACGTATTTTCATTTCGTGTGAACCATTTATCGACCGGAAGTCGGTCCGCCGTAGTAATGTTCCCGCAGGAACAAGGAAATTGAACTGATCAAGCCTTCATTCGCTGGTGGATGTGACCGGCTCCCAACTGGAAAGAGGTGACGTTACGTCTTTATTAATATTATGGGAAATATTGAATCAAAAAAGTCTGCACGGTAACTGTTGATAATAACCACATTTTGCAGAGGAAAAACCGGGCGAAACATTGTGAAATCTCCCGAAGCCGGTACAGCTAATTAGGTTCGCTGTAGCACAGGTTGCTAGCAGTAAGCTAACCGCAGCTGTCAATAGATAATAGCCGGAAATGTACGTCAGTGAAATATTCATGACTTACTCGCGTACGAGTATTGGGCTGTGAGATAAATGTACGACAAATGGTAAAAGGTTCCTACGTGTAGTATTGACGTTAGTAATAGTGTGTGTGTGTGTGTGTGTGTTGCCTTCAGGGTCCGGCGTTACGTCACAACACGGCGACATGGGACTGCTGTCCGACCCAAACCGGCGGCGGGCTCTGATCGGCCTGCTAACCCGCCTCAATGCCCCCATCTGGTGAGACACGCGTCCGAATCGAGACCTCAAACGCGCCCGACGTGCACGTATAAGCCATTGACTGTGATTCCTCCCCTTTGGCCGCCAGTGTCGTGTGCTACATGGCGGGCGTGGCCTGGTTCATGGGGTTGGCCTTCGAGCCCTTCACCCTGCGCACCTACATGTCGGAGAACGCCATGGGCTCCACCATGGTGGAGGAGCGCTTCCCTGCCGGGGAGCGGGCGCTGGCCACCGGGAGAGAGTTTGCAGCCCATAAGAAGAAAACGGGGTGAGACACTAAACGTGGATGTGAAAGTCAGTCTGGCGTCTGCAGGGATCTGTGAGCACATCCGCAAGTCTTACCACTGTTTGACTTTATTTAAAAACGGTCCTCTTTTGTCAGATACCATGTAAGTTTACTGGCATTTGTAGTCCACCCGTCTAAAGGGACCAGTGGCTTGTCTGCAGGGGGATGCCGGTGGACTGGCTGGTGAAGACCATGCAGTCTCGGGGGCTGGAGGTGTTCACGCAGAGGTTCTCTCGCCGGCTGCCTTTTCCTGACGAAGACAAAGAGCGATACGTGAGTCCGATTGTTTTTCTGCGTTCAACAAGGGGCCGACTTGTTATTTATCTGCGTGTTCCGTGGTTCCTTCTCGGGTCCCTCCCTCCCCTCAGATGGTAAAAGGCACAAATGTCTACGGGATCCTTCGGGCACCGAGAGCCCCGCGGACTGAAGCCCTGGTGCTGAGTGCCCCCTGCACCGCGGGCGACCACAACAACCAGGCCGTGGGGCTGCTACTCGGCTTGGCGCAGTATTTCAGGAGTGAGTGCGAAACCCACCGCGCCCCCCCCCCCCTCCTCCGCCTTTCTGAATGATTCCCGTTTAACTGACCGCGTGTGTCCCTCAACAGATCAGGTCTACTGGGCCAAAGACATCATCTTCCTGGTGAACGAGCACGATCTGATCGGCATGCAGGCCTGGCTGGAGGGCTACCACCACACCAACACCACGGGTAATCCTCGGCATTCGCCCGGCTACAAACATCCACCAAACCCCCCTGAGAGCGCTCAGTCCTCACAGACATGTGACCATCTAGGTATGGACTGGTCCCCCCTTCAAGGCCGCGGGGGTTCGATCCAGGCGGCTCTGTCCCTGGAGCTCAGCAGCGACGTCGTGACCAGTCTGGACCTGGTGCTGGAAGGCCTCAACGGCCAGCTCCCCAACCTGGACTTGGCCAACCTCTTCTACGCCTTCTGTCAGAAGATCGGAGTGCTCTGCACCACCCAGGGGAAGGTGTGGTGCCCCGTGATGAGCCGCAGCAGGAGCCTGCGCGTTTTTCTCTGTTTGGTGAGCTGTTTGGACACCTCGTTGTTCTCTGTGCGGATGTTTCCACAGCTGCAGAGGAACGACTGGGACAGCGTGTCGGGCTACAGCCACGCGGTGCAGACCATGATGCTGATGGCGATGAAGCAGGCCAGCGGGCGGCCGTGGGGCGATCACGGCCTTTTCCTGCGGTACCACATCGAGGCCGCCACCATCAAGGGCATCAACAGCTTCCGCCAGTACAAGACCGACGCCACCACCGTCGGAAGGTCAGAGCGAGTGTCCGCGTCGGTTTCTGTCGAGCGTACCTTCATAAGCTGACGCTGAGCGTCTCACTTGAAATCCCGTAGGCTCCTGGAGGGGATGTATCGTAAGCTGAATAACCTCCTGGAGCGCCTCCACCAGTCCTACTTCTTCTACCTCATGTCGTCCCTCTCGCACTTTGTCTCCATTGGTTACTACATGCCGGCCTTCGGCCTCCTCGGCGTCATCCTGCTGCTTCGCGTATCCTCAACCGGTTATCTTACCCAGTTTGATGTTGTCCAACGATCCCTGCATGCAAAAAGTATCGTTCTTGCCCTTGACGGCGATGCAGGCCTTAGACCTGTGGGTTCAACTCGCGTCTCCACCTCCCAGAACAGAAGATGGAGTCGTTGACGCTGAGCAGGTTGGAAAGCAAGTCAAGAATAAAACCACCCGCCGAGTTCACAAAATCCGATCTTTTGATTTTGAATCCGCTTCCCTCTCAGGTATCCAGTCCGGGAGTTCTGTCCGTGCTGACTCCCCTGGTGATCAGCCACCTGACGGGGGCGGCGCTCTACACCCTGCCCATCCATTTCCAGGAGATGGCGGTGGAGCACTTCCCCGTGTCGGAGACCGAGGCCGTGGTGCTGACGGCCATCGCCGTCTACACGGCGGGCCTGGCTCTGCCTCACAACACCAACCGGTAGCTTCTCCCGCCTGCGACGCGAGCCCGTGTCTTTTATTGTAACCCGGTTTGTGATGTGAGACGCGTGTCCCTCTGCTTGCTGAAGGCTGCTGACGGGTCAGGGCACGGAGCAGGGCTGGAAGGTGCTGAAGCTGGTGGCCGTGCTCTACCTGGCCGTGCTGCTGGGCTGCACCGCGCTCATCAACTTCTCCCTGGGCTTCATCCTGGCTCTCACGCTGGTGCCCGTGGCCGCCTTCGTCACGCCCAACGTGCCAAAGTAACGCGCCTGCAGCGACTCGGTGATCGTTGTGGCTCTGTGCGTTCATTAACCTCACGGTCTTCTTCCCCCCCCCGCAGGGTTCTATCAGCCTTCGTCCTGGTCGTCCTCAGTCCAGCCTGCACGCTGCTCTTTTCTGTCTTCTTCTTCCAAGAGTTGCAGGAAATGCCTGTGAGCTTCCTGGACGGTTGGATGCTGTACCTGTCAGTCATCTCTCAGGGCATCCTGGACCACGCCCTCTACGGCTCCCTGGTTTACCCGCTGGTAGCGCTGCTCGTCTACCCCTGCTGGCTGCTTTTCTGGAACATCCTCTTCTGGAAGTAAAAGGGAGGACGGAGAGGACGACCTTCACAGGGAACAAACCCCCCCGAGGGTGTAATGTGAATCACAGTTGAATCCACTTGAGATCGGAAAAGACGAATATCTACAGTGACTCTGGACGTGTAAAACGGGGAAAAGAAATCAGGCTTTTTTTTTTCTTTTACTGAGTAACTCACATAACGATCTTCTCCAAAAAAAGCTGTAAATGTTATGGTTTGTTTGCTTTTGGTAACATGTGACTGGCTGAACTTATTTGTGGTACATAAACACGTTAAGCTTTTTTTTTTTTTTTTCCAGGCAGGGTGTTAGTGGGAAAACTGTCACCTTAAATCCAACTGTGGAGACAGAGGAAACTACCCGAATCTTTTTATACTTGTTTTGAGAACTTTCTGGAAATGTTATTTCATATTTATAAATGCCAAATTAAAAAAAAAAAAAACATACCTCAGTATTTGTGTATAAATGGATCTTGACAACTGACATGAGATCATGGTTCTTAAAAAAATGACACATTTCTTTGGATACGAGAGGAACTTTCTGCATCTAAAGACATAAGTCAGGTCTTCTCGCACTCAAGTGTATCCTAAAGTCCTTTATCTGGGAGACAAACCGTGTCAATGAATCATAACAAAGACGTTGGTTTTCATTACGTTTATTTGGCTGATGAGTTTTTACAGCATTACTGAAAACGGGTCATTCCTTTGCTGTCACAGGGAATTGAATAAAACTAGAACTGTCAAAAATAATACACTTAACACAATGTTATAAAAAAATAAAAGCACTTGACAGCCCTGTAAACGCAACACGTTTCTTCTTTTAAAACCACCATGCTTTTGGCGGATGACACTAAAACAGCAGGATATTGCACAAGGCTTCACCGTCCCACCTAATTTCATAGTAGACAGAAAATAAAGTACAACTTTCTCTTTCACCTAAAGTAAATATTAGGCCGTCCGGGATTTTTGCACACAAAACACCCTGTAAAATAAATAAAGAGGTCCGGGGAGAAAATGAACGTGTGGGCGTCCGCAGAACCAGTCCGAGCTGAAGCCTTCCGTCTGAGCCTCGACCAGTGACGGAGGACTCACAGTGCACCACACAGACCGTCGTTATGGAAGCATCTTCTTCAGCCTGCTCACTGTGTGTGTGTGTGTGTGTGTGAGAGAAACATGGCGACCTGACGGCGATGACGGATGCAGTCAGCTGCTGCTTGAAGCGGCGTCTCCTCGCTCCTCTCGCCTCCCTCGCTCCTTGGTGACGGAATACAACCATTAAAAAGAGGAGAAGTAACAGGAGGTACACGAAGGTGCTCGGCCGCTGGGGGTCGACGCGGTACCTGCTGGATGTGCAGCTCGGGTCTGGCTGTCGCACAGATTTCGCAGCCCGGCCGGGACGGCTTGTTGATGAAGGTGCACGAGGGACACGCCCACTCCGTCTGCTGGGAGGAGGAGAGTGAAGCTCCGTTTCAAGCAGTGACCCGAAAATCAGCTGCTGGCATGCATTAGCTTAGCTTAGCTTAGCTCGATTACAACGCACACAGATTAGCAACGTACCCGTGTTTTACTGCCTTTATTGTTGTGATCGTTCAGCTGCAGATTCTCGATATCGAGGACGTCTTTTATGTCCCCTGGTCGGTCGCTTCCACCACCTGTAAGTTTATGAAATCAAATGTTCTATTTGTATTGTTTGGACATTTGTATCTGTTTACATCCAATTCAAATGGAAAACATTGTAAGAAAGGACTGAATTAAAACAACCTTTAAACAAATAAAACTGCTTTTTATTGAAAATATGGATGCAAATCTTTGCGTCTGGTCTGTGGACAATAATATCACATGATCAAATGGAAGTGTGCGCACTTTGACCTCATGTAAATATCTTTAAATGTGTGTGGGGGGGGTGTGTCCACCTCACCCTGGTTGTTGTGGGCGAGCCTCGAGGGCAGCGTGCTGTAGCCCCTCCAGTCCTGGGAGGCGGGGCCGTTGCCCGGTGGGAGCGGCGGGGCGAGCAGGGCGCTCTCCAGGTCCTGCTGGAACAGCTGGCGGGTGACGTGCGCCTGCCGGGCGGAGATCAGGTACAGGTAGGCCGCGTCGCCGTCCTTCTGCACGCCGTAGGAGGCCAGCGACCGCGGCTCGGTGCACAGGCACTGGCCGATCACCCAGCGCTGCACGCGGGGATGGAAGCCGTACTCGAGGAACACCTGGTGGGGCCGAGGGTACGTGAACGGAAGGAGAGGAACACTTCGGCGTATTGAGGCGCTGGTTTAAAGCTCTGACCTGTTGCTTGAGCGCAGCCACCGTCATGAAAGGAAAGACTTTGACTGTGACGCAACAGGACGACGAGACGTCCTCCACCACCACCGATAAGCTGCAACGCAGACGCGACAGCGTTATAGAAGAACACGTGACCTAGAAGGAAGGAATCCTCGGGCTCTCCTCCTCCCCAAACCTGACGGCTCCCTCGGCGTAGTTCTTCTCAGACGGCTGAATGGTCAGCGCCGATCTGTGGCGGGCCAGAGCGGCGGCGTGCTGCGAGGCGGCCCGGGCGTCGCCGGCCTCGATCGCCCCGGCGAGCTCCAAGCACAGTTCCTCTGATAAAAGATTTCAAAAAAGAGGAAGCGTTGAAGGGCGACACGCTTCGAGCACGCGGCGAGGAAGACGGGAGAGCGGGCGGGTACCAACCGGTGAGCGGCAGGGAGGCGGAGCTCCACGGCTCCGGAGCCGCTGGGTCGTCGCGCCCGGCGTCCGATTCACACGTGTTCATGTTTGCGACTGCCGGAGGAGAGAAATGAGGAGAAACGTGGCGAATGGAGACGACGTCAGGAGACTATAAGGAGGGATGCGTCCTGTAGAATTCGACTTCAAGTAAAACTCGACTAAATTAGAAACACGAAGCTGCTGCAGCTGCCAAAAAAACACACTAATTACGAAGTGTGAGTCAATAAATCCTGAGCGACTTAAGACATGTGGAGTAAAAACACGCAAAAATCGTTGATCGGGATGCAGGTGTATTTGTTGCTGCAGACCTCTGTGCGCCTCCCTCAGCGATGACATCACCACCGTGGCCCACTCCTCGGCCTCGCGGTCGCAGCGGAAGTTGAAGCGGATGCAGTCGCGGGGCGGCGCGACGAGGCGCATCTCGTGGCAGCGCGGGGACTTGACCTCGTACTGCACCGAGCGCAGGTCGAACTCCGCGATGAACTAAGGACAGAGAGGAAGGGAATCTTTAAACATATATTTTACAGTTCTAATTTAGTTAAATTATATTTTCATGATCGTCGAACAATGGGCATCATTTTTTTCAATTGATGATCACATTGTCTGCAAAGATGACTTTGGAAAAATTTTCATCAATTCACCAGCAAATCAACATTAATCCCATTCACAAACTGATGATCCAAATACATGCAGATTGTTTCCCGTTTGTGGACTAATCCATAAATCATCTGATCGTCGCAGCCGTAAAGCGGCTTTGGACTTTTGCAATCAAACGTTGCAGACGACCTTTTCTTGGGTGTTTGTATCCAGCATCAACTTTGTCCCACACTGAAATCCTCCTAAAATATTAACTTCACCAGAGAAGCTGCAACCCGCCAATGTTTTCACATGAATGCTTTCAAAAATCACTAAAGCTAAAGTTGGTTATTAAAAAAATTGTAATTGGCATCTAAAAAGGATCATTCTATCTGATGAGGATCACAAGAAGCACCACCTAACCTGTCGAAGCGAAGTTATATTCAGTTCTTATTTTATATTAATGACATCATTTCCTCCGTCTTTGGAATATTTAAAGTTGGAGCACATGACGTCACAACATTTAAACCACTGAACCTTCCTCGCTCAGCCTTCTCTTCTCTACTCACCATCCAGATGCAAAGGAGCCACAGGGGAAATGTTATAAGCATCACAACTAACAGCTTGTTCTACACAAACCGCGATGGTCTGTGACTGCAGCTCATCTCACGAGGAGGATGGAGATGGTTCGTCTCTGCACGCGCACGACTGCCTTTAAACAGTCACGTGCTGCAGTAGGAATGATCTAATACCACTGGATGCGGCGCTTATGGGAGGACTGGAAGTGAAAGCGAAACTAAAAAAAAAAAGCCGCAACATCTTCACCCCGCTATCGGTAACAACAAACCGACCCCTCGTCATACAACCACGAATCAGTCGCAATTTTATCCCCCCCAAAAATCCGTGGAGCTGCGGAAAATGGCGCGTTCGGGCCTGCGGTTATAAAACGCGATCGAGGGAAGCGGGTTCCACCACAAGCACGTGTCGCCGGGTACCGACAGCAACGGGTGTGCGCCGTCTCACCACGCTGCGGTTCCCGCTCGTGTCCCGCAGCGCCAGTCGGAACTCTCCGGCCCGGCTCGGGTCCATGCCGAGCTGCAGGCGCAGAGCCTCGCCGCCGGCCCCGGGGAGGCACAGGGGCCGGATCCCGGAGTGGCACACCGACACCCGGACCGACATCAGCACGGTGCCGCAGCACGGCGTCGGGGCGGCGCACGCAGCCGGCTGGGACGAGGCGGAGGGGACCGCGGCCGGCGGAGCCCAACCGCCGGAGCTGAGCGCCATGTCGCGGGCACCGGAGGCTCGGGTGAGGGAAGGGGTCTGAACAAGCCGCCCCCTCCCCGCCGCCGCCGCCGCCGGCCTCTCCTCCCGCTGCTTGGGTTCCCGTTTACACGGTCCGCCGGTGTCCGGAGGGCAGGCTGTCGTCGAGTCGTCGCTCGGTCAATTCTTCCATGTCTCCCCGGGTCGAGTCGAGCGGAGGGAACGAAAAACAAAACAGGAAGTGCAGCGGTACGTCTTCTATTTATGTCCGTGGAGAAACGTGGCCGCGAGGCATCCGGACACAATGAAGGACATAAAGTAAAATTCAGACGGGAAAAATGTGATTTGTATGATTATTTCAATAAATAAATTATTTTGATTGTTACTTGAGAAAAATGACATGTTCAATGTACAGCCTTACAATATAAATCTACAGTATAAAATAGAAGGCTATAAACTAAAGGAATATAGAACGAAAAAGGTTAAAGTAAAGTGCACTGGCAGACAGATGCTTGATCTGATTCTACATGTACTACTAACTAGCTGTAATTGATTTACAAATATATTGTGATCAGTACATTGCAGTAACCGTGCTTAATGTAATGGATGGTGGTCACGTAAGGTCAGGATCAAGTTTCAACATAGATAGAAAAAAATATAGCAAATTGACACGAAACTGTTAATAAGACACCAAGTGCCACATATCTTCCATGTGTATCTTTAACTAGTAAAAACACCTCCAGGCAAATAATTGAACTTTCAGCAAGTACAAAAAGCCACAGCTCAACCAGACAGTCCCCGGTCGGAGAGAAGAAGATGTCTGCGATGCAGGAGATCAGTCCGCATGTGAGGAACATGAAGCAGTTGCAGTATGCCGTCTTAGCCAAACGAGCAAGCCGGATAAAGGAAGAGCTCAGACAGGTAAAGAAAAAGAGTTATTGATGTATTCTCAATATGGATTCTTGATTAGGTTGTCCAGCTTGTGCTTCTGCTTCACCTGTCCAGGGCGTGAGAAAGCCGTTCAAAGAACTGATAGAAGTCTGCTGGGGCGACCCGCACAGAGGCGGCGTGAAGCCTCTGACATTTGTCCAACAGGTAATTAGCGACGCATCTATTACAGCCTCGTGTGCAGGTCAACGCCTCTTGTTTAGACTCCCAACACCTCCACGTTTTGCAGGTTCTTGCAGGATGTGTTTACCCGCAGCTCGTGGACAGCGACAAACTGCCAGTGGACGTCAGACAGCGAGCCGAGCTGCTGCTCAAGGGATGTGCAGGAGGGAGCGTAGGTAAGAGCAGTGTGTGTGTGTGTGTGTGTGTGTGTGTGTGTGTGTGTAATGTAATATAGGTGCATTGCATCTTGTACAATGGGCTCAGTGTCAGACTCTTTAATGCTGAAATACAATGATTTTGAAAATAATCTTTAGCTGCAGCCCGTTAAGACAGTGAATAAATAAGAGGTTGAAAAAACACAACTGTTTTTTTATAAATTAATTGAAATGTGTGTGCACCTCTGGCAGTGATGTGTGCACTATACGTATAAATATGATTATTGAATAAACAGTTGTATGACACATTTAAACAAATCCTGTAGAATCTATAAAAACATTTAAATATATGTAATAGAAAGAACAAATACAACGATACAGCTCATGATATTAAGCTGCTACAATAATATCCTCATGCTGCTCTCCGGCTGTGCTACCTCCTCAGGTTCCTACACTGCTACACGGGGCATCCCAGAGATAGTTCACAGAATCTCTGAATTCATAACGAGCCGAGACGGCGGCGCTCCGTCTCACCCGGAGAACATTTACATCAGCCCCGGCTCGCAGTGGAGCCTCATGGTAACGGCCGCCGTCAAGGAGCAGCTCCAATACGTCTCCTCTTCCAGTAGGCGTGAACCTCCTTCCCCCCCGTGTGCCCCCGGTCAGAACGTTCTCAACGTCTTGGTGGACGGCGAGGCGTCGCCCAGAACCGGCGTGCTGACCCCGAGGCCGTGCTACCTCTCCTCCAACCTGTCGATGGTCGGGCTGGGCGCCGTCACCGTTCCCTACGACCTCTGCGAGGAGCGGGGGTGGGAGCTGCGGGTGGAGGAGCTGCACGGAGCGCTGGAGTCTGCCAAAGGGGTCTGCAGGCCTGTGGCCCTGTACGTCATCAACCCGGGGAACCCCACAGGTAGAGACGCCTCACGAGGTCGGGGGGGTCATCCAAGTGGATTTGATTCGAAAGAACAGGGTCACCTGGTTGTTTTCATGCTTTCAGGCCACGTCCAAAGCAGGGAGTCGATGCAGGAGGTGATCCGGTTCGTTTCAGAGAAGAGGCTCTTCCTTCTGGCCGATGAGGTGGACGTCTCCTCTATCCAGAGCAATGCAGCAACACAAAACAATGTGTGGAAATAAACCCTTGAATACTCGTGTGTGTGTGTGTGTGGTTCTGCACAGGTCTATCAGGACTGTGTCTACGGAGAACAGAGTGAGTTTCTCTCTTACAAGAGGGTCCTGATGGAGATGGGTCCTCCTCTCTCAGACACAGTGGAGCTGGCGTCCTTCCACTCTGCATCCAAAGGCTTCATGGGGGAGTACGTTCATCCCGACGAGGAGCTGGGCGGTTTATGACAAGTTTTAATTTAGAGAAAAGTCCTTAAGAGGACATTTGTCTCTCGTCATAGCAACATGTCAGAGTGATAAAAAAACTCTACAGGTAGATGTGCATTTTTAGATCTCTTTAAAGTGCCTCAAAAATGGAAGCTTTGCACTCTGCATTCCGCCGGTGCTCCATCTGATGAGATGTCACCAAGATCTCCAGACCTACTAGCAGTCGGACTCGTCTCTCTGCCCCCAGGTGTGGTCTGCGTGGCGGATACGTGGAGCTGGTGAATCTGGATCCTGCCGTCATGAAATGCATCTACAAACTGTTCTCAACAGACAGCTGCGCTCCCGTGTTGGGTCAGTTTGCTCTGGATCTGTTGGCGAAGCCCCCACAACCAGGAGACCCCTCGTACCCACTTTACAGAGAGGCGAGAGCTGCGCGTTCACGTTTACCGGCTTAGACACGAGACTCCAGCACTTCTCTTTTCTCACCTTTTAACTTCCGCAGGAGACGCAGCACATCAGGAGCATGTTGGTCCGGAACGTGAAGCGAGTCTTCGAGGTTGTAAACGGTCTGCCGGGTTTGTGCTGCCAGCCGGTGGAAGGAGGAGCATTCGCCTTCCCCAGACTGCACCTTCCGCCTGAAGCCATTCAGAGGGCCGAGGTATCCGAGCGGTCCCACAGAACCATGCGTCCAGTGCAAAAACCAGAGCAATATCTGTATTTTATCTGACACGTTTGTTTTAGGAGATGGGGATGCAGCCCGACGTGTTCTACTGCACCCGACTGCTGGAGGAGGCCGGTGTGTTCGTCAGTCCTGGTTGTGAATATGAACCCAAGAAAGGCACCTACCACTTCAGGTGCTTCATATAAACCAAGCATCGGTATTCTGGATGATTCCCCGCCATGCAAAACCTTTAAAGCTTCCTTCTTTCTGCAGATTTTGCATTATGGTTCCGGAGGAAGTTATGGAAGAACTACTGAGGCGCCTGAGCAGCTTCCACACACAGTTCATGAAAGATTTCTCTTAAAAAAGGTTAATGAGCAACATCTCCCTAAAATACAATGTGTAATCCCTCTCCACCATATATTTACGTTTATTGCTAAGCATCATGGGAGAACATTTGACCGACGTTTGGGTGTAAACAATCATTTTATGATCCATCTTTCTGCATCTTAATAATTCCTTCAAGCAATAGAAGAGATTCATTCTTTCGCATTGTGTCGCAAATATTTATTGCAATAAATATGACAAATTATTTCAATGAGCATTAGTCAATGATTTGAGTGTTTCAAGCAAAATTGAACTTTGCTTTTCAGAAAGCAAGTATATATATATATATATATATATATATATATATTTTTTATAGTTAACCACGGTCCAAAATACAAACCAATGGATTTCCTCACACCCAGTACGAGTTCATCATTTACCTCCAGAGGAAGTGCAGCGGTCGAGTCGAGCATCGACCGAGTAGACAAACGTTCGTTGACGACATACTATCGACCCCCCCCAGCGGCATCAGTCCACCTCGCTGTCGCTGCCGTGGCTCTGAGCCAGCGGGTTCGAGTCCGTGTTGTTGAGCAGCTCCACCAGTAAGGAGATGAGCTTTCCGTCTTGAGCGGAGTTGGCGATGGCGTTGCTGGGGTTGTTGAGGTTGCGGTACAGCATGGTCTGAATGGAGGTGCGTAGCTCCCACACCAGCTCCCAGGTCTCAACGGACAACTCGCAGCGCATCAGAGAGCGTCCGGGAAAGGACACCTCCACTCGGTCGCCCCTCACTGGGACAGGGAGAGAGAGAGAGAGAGGGGGATTTATGACGAGAGGAGCGTTCACTGCAAATCTAAGCGGGTGATAGGGTTTAGGAGGGGATCTAACAGCAGTAATACACATAGAACAAGCACGTTTTCTTCAGTGTTTACTCACCTGCAGGTGAAAAGAATCAGTCCTTTTCAGGACAAATATTTTTTGCAGTGTGTAATGAGTCTATTGAAGGTGTTTTTATAGAGCGTCCTACCCGTCTCTGTGATGTCACAGTCTGTGAGCAGCAGCAGGGCGAGTGGATGCACAGTCGAAGAGTCTCTGACGAAAACGTTTCCGTTGGACTGCATGGCGCTGAAAAAGGTCAACCAGCGACTTGGGAGCTCCTCTTTCCCCCTGCGGAACAAAAAACGAGGGCAATAAGCTCCCGCCTGCGGGACGAGAGTTACATTAAAACGCTGCGGCTGAATTCTGGGGCCTTTTTCAGACCTGTTCACTGAGGCGCGGTGAAGCATCACCGGCCCATTGACTGTGCGGAATCCAATGCTGTTGGGCCGGAAGCGTCCTCCTTTGGACACAACACCTTTCTTCACCTGACGGAAAAATGAGGAAAAGACAAGTCGTTTTCGGGAGCTCACAGTTTGAGCTCTGATGGAGTAAAAAAAAGGACTCCTCGGTCACCTGAATGAGGTTGGGATAGAGCCCAGCCAGCAGCACAGCTTTAAGCAGCTCATCCTGGTTGCTGTGCTCGTTGTAGAGAGAATCGGGACGCTGGCCGTCGCTGGCACGGGACACCAGCTTGGCTTCGTGCAGGTTCTCGCTGAACTGAGAGATGAGACCTGCAGCGGAGCGGCACAGCGACAAAAACAAGTGAAGAAGTGAATCTAGAATGCGGACAATGTACGGAGACGTTAGGTGGAAAGGCGCGTGTGCCGTACCGTTGATGAATCGAAGGCTGAACCTGGACAAAGAGTGTTTGTACAGATACGTGTCCCTGTCCTCCCTGTCCCCTTGGTGCTGAAGTCTCCTCCAGCCCAACACGGCTCGGATAAACACCAAGAAGTCGCTGTAGCTGTTGTCGCTCAGATCCTCTTTCACCTGGACGAACAGAAGCCAGAAGACCCAGCGGTTACTCCACCTTGTTGCGGCTCCGATGTGTCCTTTTAAAACCACGCCGGGTCGGTGAAACATCTCACCCTGTGGATCAGGCCCCGGTTCTGGAGGCTGTTGTGAAAGGGGTCTCTGGTCAGACACGCGGCCACGGAGAGCATGGGCAGAACGCATCTGAACATGGCACTCAGGACCAGCACTTTGGCCAGACGGGGGTCACAGGACATGCAGGCGACGCGCTCCCCTAACGGCGTCAGGGTCTCCGTCTTGTCCAGGACTCCTGCAGAGAACTCCGTTTAGACACACACACACACACCGTGGCTAACATCTCACCAGGCGCGCCGGGAGGTCACTCACCGATGTCCTGTAGGTTTCGGACAGCGTCTCTCACGGCTTGCTGCTCTGGACTGTCCAACACTTGGGACAAGAAATCCACAGCCTGCACACAAGGAAATGACACCACTCAACACGTCGGCGAAACACTAAATATTTAGAAAGACAGACAAGAGGCCATTGTCTCCGTTCCAGTACCTTGCAGTTGGGGCTGTGGATCTTGGCTTGCAATACTAAACTCTCCAGCGGCGTGCGCAGGATCTCAGGGATGGGGAAGGCAGTCATGGAGTCCAGCTGCTCTCGAGGAAACAGGTGGTAGGAACGTCCCGGCTGACATCGCCCGGCTCTCCCTTTCCTTTGAGTGACGTTAGAATGAGATACCCAAACTGTGTCCAGACAGGAGACCTGGATGAAACCAAAAGATGAAACGGACTGGATTATTCTCAGGAAATACAAGAAACGGCGAAGAGGTTTACACCGAGACGTTTGGTACCAACCTTAGTCCGTGGGTCATAATTGTGTTCTTTGTGAGTTCCCGCGTCCACCACATGGACGATGTCGTCAATGGTGATGGACGTCTCTGCAATGTTAGTGGCGAGGACGATCTTCCTCTGTCCCGCCGGTGGGTGCTGGAACACCGCCTGCTGGTCTGCGACTGATAAACTAGAGTGCACTAAAAGAAAAAGATGAAAAGGGGTCAAATAGAATGATTAATCTCTATTCTTGGGAGGAGAAAAAAAGCAGTCTTCTTAAATCTGTCGGAAACTCACGTGGTAAAATCATCTGTGTGCCGGAGGAAAAGTGGCGCTTCTCCTCCAGCTTCTCCTGAACGGCCCTGATGTCCTGCCACCCGGGGAGGAAACACAACACCGCACCTGGCGCACAAGAGGATGTCACGGCAAATGTCAAAACGGGCGTCTTACATACAACTTATAGCCAATTTATAGATGCTATTGTACGTTAAAAAGGTTCATATTTACATCTGATTGAAAAACGCAACGGATGCATTTTGTTCATATTTTGTTACCTGGTTCTCCACATTTGTCAATGTGCTCGATTACATCAGCTACTAAATCCACATCTGGTGACACGTCCTCTTTTCCTCCCTTAAAACGAATACAGATGAGACACAACAAAAAGCAGAAAAACCTGAAAATACTCCACAGACTTGAGTCTCACCCGCTTGTCCGCCTGCGCTCTCCTTTGGGCCGGCAGCGGGCGTCCCATCTCCGACAGCACGTCCTCCAGGTACGCGTCCCTCACCGGGTGCATGAATCCGGGCACCTTGACGATCGGGCAGCCCCCAAAGTACTCGGACAGCCTCTGCGTGTCCCCCGTGGCGCTCATGAGCACCACTCGCAGGTCGGGGTTCTCCTTAATGCTGGAGCGCAGCAGAGCCAGCAGCAGGTCCGTGTTGACGTCCCTCTCGTGAACCTCGTCCACCACCACGTGGCTGATGCCCTTCAGCGACGGGTTCGACTGCAGCTTCCTCAGCAGGACGCCCACCGTGAGGAAGAGCAGGGCCCCCCCGCTGTGCTCCGGCGGTCGGCTCTCGAGTCTCACCTACGCACACGGGTCATTTTTTTGGTCATTGCCAAAAAAACCTGCTCCTCCTAAAAGGTTCAAAAAGCAGCAACTGCTTATTGTTAAAACGAAGTACATTGCAAACGTGCATCTACCTGATATCCCACAGAGCTTTTCAGTGCTGGACCCATCTCCTGAGCCACGCGATGGGCCACCGACACGGCGCTGATCCGACGGGGCTGCGTCACCAGGACGTTGCACCTGGCGCCCTCGCCGCCTCTCACACACTCCTCCAGCAGGAAGCGGGGGATCCGCGTGGTTTTCCCACATCCCGTCTCGCCGGCGATGACGACCACCCGGGACGACTGCACCTGGGAGATGACGCGCTGCCGGTGGGCGTCGACCGGGAGCTCGACGCTGGGCCCGGGGCCCGCCCCCTCCCACGCGTCCCGCAGGTGGGCGCTGAGCCGGCGAGCCTCGCTTTCAGGCAGAGGTCTGTATGGCCGGCCCGTGATGGCGTCCGTCATGTCCTCTTCCTCCTCCTCTTCCTCCTCCTCGTTCTGCTGGTTTACAGCCTGCTGTCCTCTCGCCTCTTCTTCCTCCCAAAGCTTCTGCACTTCGGTTGCCACTGGGTACTTTTAGAAAAGAAGAGGCATTCTTTTTTTTTTTTTACATAAAATCAAACATTAAAAGGAGTCTTATATTTAAAGGCTGGAAAATCTTAATCTGTCGTATCATAATGAGCTATTAACCTTTAAAGCTGCTACCAGGAACTTTAACATAAAAAAATCAAGTCGTGATGGACACATGGACACAGGACTGACCTGTGCGAGGTATTCCCTCATGTGTTCCTCCAGGTATTGGGGGACTTCCAGGGGCAGGGGGCGTCTCTCTCGCTCTCCGGCCTCCCTCACCTTCTCTCGGTGGTACTTGGCGTGAGTCAGCGGGTTGTTGTCTTTATCCAGCAGCTCCAGCTCCTGGACCAGGTGACACGACGCAGGTGTTTAACAAGGTTCTAAACGTGTATGTGAAGATACAGGTTGTCCCCCCCCCCTCCCTCCCCCAAATATAACTGGCCTCACCTTCAGTTTCATGCAGGCAAGAGCTGCAGCCGCCCTCTCCGCCGTCTGCCGGTTTCTCGCTGTGGTGCAGAACTTCATCTCCTCCGGCCAGTGCAGCGTCAGCTCACACCTCTTCACCTTTCCTCCTGCCGTTTTGAACTGAATTATCTCCTGTAAATGGGGGAGGACGACAGACGGTTTGGAAAAGGCCCGGTTGAGAGCGCAGCTCTTTGTGGCGCAAAGGACGACAGCCACCAACCCGGATTCTGTGTGTCGACGTGGCCACCTGGACGACCCTGGTGAGGAGCGATTTAGGTTGTGGAAACAAGGAAAGAGCTTCAGCGGTGGGGTCTTCTTTGGGGGCCGGCCATCGTTCCCGGTCATCGGCTTTAGGCACAAAGTCGGTTTCTGCACGCGGCTCTTCCTCGCTATCGTAAAGTTGTGATTGTATCCCTCTTCCCCTGCCTGCTAATTTCTTCGGGAGCTGATTGTTCTGACCAATGACGCCCATTTCCTGTGCACAGAGAAAGAGAGAGGGGAGGTCAAACGCCACCATCACCTGCCAAGACAAACGCAAGCGTCGCGGCAACGTACTTTCAGCTTGGAACAAGCAGCAGCCGCAGCGAACCGCTCTGCATCCACCTTCTTGGAGGCGAAGCCTTCCTCCTCGATCCGGCAGGGCCACTGCACCGTGACGGTGGCTTTCTGCGGAAACAAACCGGTCACGATTCTGTCGCTCAAGGCAACAGCTGCGACGTGTCCACGCACGAGGCTGTGGGTTCTGACCTTCACTCCAGCGGTTTCCTCGCAGCTGTACTGGATGAGCTGGGACAGGTCGCTGACCCCCAGCGAACGGGAGATGGTGGAATTCAGCAGGTTTTTAGGGTCCGGGAACTCCTTCAAGAGGAGGTTCGGGCTCACGTTATCTAAGCGGATAATAAAAAGAGGAAAGGAGGTCAACGGAACTGTATTCGGCATCTACGGTGGAATGAAAATACACGGCAATGAGACGGTGTCGTGTCTTGGACCCCCGATGGATGTCCTTGAGCTTCATCCCCGGCGCGAGCTGTCACCGGTTACCTAACCCGGGATAACCGCTAACCGTCCGCTCACCTCTCCGGGTCTGGAGGTCCGACGTCCCGCTCTCCTGGAGGCTCCGAGGCTTCGCCCGGTACCACCGCACCGCTGCGCCACCGTTGGACGCTGTTTCGCCCGCTCTGTGCGCACATTTGTGGACGTTACGCAGCGCTCCGAGCCGCACGAGCAGAGCGCCGGGCAGCGCCATCTTGAAAACTACGGTTTGTAAACTCCGGCCGCGAAGAAGAAAGACGCTGACGCGCACAGCGCACAGCGCCCCCTCCGGCGAGGCGCGGTAATGACCGGCAAAGTAAAATTATTATTATTTGTCCAGTTCCTCAGGAATCAGGAATCAGGAATCAGGAAACATTTATTGCCAAAATATGTCAAACATACAAGGAATTTGTCTTGGCGGTTAGTGCACGACAGTAGACAGACAAGACAACAGTGCACAAGTAATAAAATAAAGTGGAATGAAATGCTAGTGCAATGGGTTAGTAGAATAAGGCTAAGGCTATGGGTTAGTATAAAAACCCACTCAGTGACTCAGTGGTCAAGTTATCTTTTTATAGGCTGTAATCATATTATTTCCTATGACGTCCTAATGCCCAAAATCAAACCCCCTTAGATTGTCTTAACTGAGTTGTAAAACATCCCAACAGCTAAACCAAAATGCTTCAACCATCATTTACAAAGCCAAAGAATTGCACTTTTATTTCCAATGTGGTTATAATAGATACGTAGTTCATTCTGCCAATGCCAAACTTGGTACACTGTTGGTACACTGCCAGGTTCAGCCACCTGGATATCGAGGAAAACTCCCAAGTTGGATCTGGTTTTGTCTGGACATAAATAGCTCTGCATGAAAAAAACAGTTAGTTTGGGCGAACAGATGGAAGTCATACTCGTCCTCCTCGTGGTTGTTACAGCCGGTGAGTTCACATTTAACCCACTCGTTTAGTGTTAGGAATAAATAGATGACAATAAATGCATGGTGTATTACGTGTGTGCCTCCCTGTGTTGCAGGGTCTGGCTGTGGTGTACCCGGCCACCAGCCCAACACCAGCCGGGTGGTGGACGGGGAGGAGGCCCGTCCCTACAGCTGGCCGTGGCAGGTTTCTCTGGAGTCTTTCTTCCCCACTTGTGGAGGAACTCTCGTTGCTCCCAACTGGGTCTTGACTGCTGCTCACTGCATCACGTGAGGAAAAACATCCCTCACGGACGGACGGGTGTTTTTAAATTAAAAATAAAAGGCGAGACATAAGAAAACGCACAACACACACTTATAAGAACTTTTTACGTTCTCCAATCCAGATTCCACACCTACAGGGTCGTCCTCGCAGAGCACAACATGGACAAAGACGAGGGGCCGGAACAGTTCATTATGGTGGACAAAATGTTCATCCATCCCAAATGGAACGACGACTGTGTGTCCTGTGGGTGGGTCGTCTTCACTTAACATAAAGATCTGTGCTGTAATATTAAGAAACACGGTTAGCGTCTACTTGGGAAACTGAGCCGAAAAGTGTCCCACGAACAGCAGCTGAGTCAACAGAAGTGTTCTTTAACCCTTTGTGATGAGTCGGCACGGTGTTAAGTCAAGACATTTATAAGTACAAAAGAACTTAAAGGTTATTAAAAGGCTTTTTCATGTCCTTGTAATTGTTTATAATGGCATCAAAACACAATTATTAACTGTTGAGATTGATGAATAATTCATGATGCATTTATAAACATTAAACAGCTGCTTATTGCAGTTAGCGGATCTAAAGCAGAAGCAATGCCTTGTGGGTAACGAGTAAGTTACTATGCACTTATTGATAGTTAACGAAGCTTTTTAGTTCTGCATCAAACAAACATGTTATATTATATTCTTAACGTCGCAGGAACGACATCGCGCTGCTCAAACTGGAGAAAAACGCCGTCGTCAACGACAAGGTCCGGCCGGCCTGCCTGCCTCAGCGCGACGCCGCTCTCGCCCACCACCAGCCCTGCTACGTCACGGGCTGGGGCCGACTCTACTGTGAGACCCCCCCTCTTAAACCTCCCGACCTCCAGCTCATTCGGGGGTGAAGGCGCACTACACTGCTGATTTCTAAATGCCGGCTTGATAACACGCTGTCGTCCCCGCAGCCGGCGGCCCCCGGGCGGCCGCGTTGCAGCAGGCCCTCCTGCCCGTGGTGGATCACGCCACCTGCAGTCGCGGCGACTGGTGGGGCAGCTCGGCGAAGACCACCATGGTCTGCGCGGGAGGAGGGAGCAAGTCGGCGTGCCACGTGAGCAGGAACGAGCGCGGGAGCCGGGCGACGCGCGCGGTCGGCCCGGTCTGATCGTCTGCCGCTGTGTTCCAGGGCGACTCCGGAGGCCCCCTGAGCTGCCGGGGCGGAGACGGGAGGTGGTACGTGCAAGGCGTGACTAGTTTTGTGGACGGACGGGGCTGCAACGCCACTCAGAGGCCCACGGTCTTCACCCGAGTGGCCTCCTTCATCCCCTGGATCAGCGAGGTGAGCAACAGACGAATCAACTCGTGCCGTTTGTGAGACGCGCTAACGTGTTCTTGTTCCATTGTTCTTCAGACCATGGCCCACAACTGAAGATGTCTCCAAAACCCAACAAGTGTTTGGACAATAAACTGCATTTCGACATGTCTTGTATTTCATCCAATTATTTGTTCAAATTTAGCGTGTTTGTACGGATAGAATTAAGATAAACCAACAGTTTATATTTGATTATGTAAATACAAAGGCTGCATATTATTACATTATTTTAATGGATTAAAGACCATTACACTTAAATGGTTAACTATATAAATCAAAATTCCCACCTCATATTTGAATAGGCTACTAGCTTAAAAAAAAAAAAAGATATTAGGACAAAATGTTTTTGTTCAGCAGCATCATCATTTAATAAGTCACGACGGCGTCCAGGTGAAGAAGTCGGTTCCCTGCAGCTCCTCAGGTAAGTACTGCTGCTCCACGGCCCCGCTGAAGGCCGGGTTGTATTTGTAGCCTTCAGCGTAGCCCAGCTGCTTCATCAGCCGGGTGGGGGCGTTGCGGAGGTGCAGGGGGACGGACGGCAGGGGCCCCCTGTGGTTCCTCAGACAGGCTTTCACGTTGCCGTAGGCCTTGTAGACGTCCACGGACTTGGGCGCCCGAGCCAGATAGACGACGCACTGAGCCAGAATCACCTGGGAGAGACACCGGCACGCGGCCGTCAGTACGACCGGCGGCTCAGCGCAAATCCATTCGCGCGGGCGAGTCGGGGCGACGCCTACCTCGCATTCGGGCATCCCGATGAAGTGGCAGGCTTGAAAGGCCGACACGGCCTGGGGAAGAGCGGCGGGGTCCGCCATCCCTGAGAGAGAGACGAAAGGATGCATTATCTCGCTCAAAGTATTTTCCGTCCTTTAATAATGAAGCACAAGCTTTCAATGATCCCATATGGTGTTTATCATGTTTCAGGGCGATTTAAATAAGCGTTAAGCGTTAATAAGGAACTAGAACCCAGTGCTTAATGAAAGTTTTAGAGAGATGTAATTCCAGTTAAAGGGATGAAATAAAATTAGGATCTTCAGAATAAAAGAGCGTGTGAACAGACTTAACAACTCTTGAGGAGCTTGAGTTGAAAAACCCCTGCAGGCACCTAAAGTTATGATTTATAATTAAAAAAGAGACGTCTTTCCGACGAGAAAACCTCCCTAAATCAGGCTACGAGCGAGCTTCCGTCTTTAGCACGTTAGCGCGGCCGTGCGAAGCTGCGAGCGCGCCGAGCGTGGACAGGACAAAAGGAGGCACAATGAATCGCGTCGCGTACCCACGTCCTCGCTGGCGAAGCGGACCAGCCTGCGAGCCACGTAGAGCGGATCCTCGCCGCCCTCCAGCATGCGGCCCAGCCAGTAGAGGGACGCGTTCTCGTCGGAGCCCCTCATGGACTTGTGCAACGCCGAGATGCAGTTGTAATGCTCTTCACCTTTGAGTAACGCACAAACGCACAATGTAGGCCTGTACATTGTGCTCCAGAGACATCAGTCTGTACATCAGTTAGGAGTCATGGATGTAAATATACATTTGTAAGGACACTGGGAACTTAATCAAATGGGTTTTGTGTAACAAATGGCCCTCCTGTAAATAACAGTGAAAGTGAAATGAATGAATAAAGTAAGTGCGCGTTGGATTACCAGCTCTATCGTAGAGAATGTGCGACCTCTGGAGACCTTCCTTCACGTGCTCCTCCTTCACCAGTATTTCCCGAGCGGCGTCTGGTCCTGATTGGCCGAGGCGGCTCGAGCTCACCTGAGCCTGGACGGCCAGCTGCAGCCCGTTGAGTCCCGCCCTCGCGTCGCCGTCACACAGGTGGGCGATGGTGTCCAGAGCCTTTTCTTCAATTAAAATCTTTGGGCTGAAAAAACAATAGTATACAAATATATAAACAGTCAGATCAGATGTAGCAAAAACAAACAAACATGGAATTGATTTATGTCGTACTAGCATCAGTTTTAGCGATGAACGTGATTTCGGGTTCATCGCCGTCGTCGTCGCACTCACTCGTGGGCGTCCGATTGCTCTCGCTGCCGAGGGTTCGCCGCTTCCCGCCCCAGGACTCCGATCCCCAGCCTGACCACGGCTCGATCCAGGATGGAGGCCATCGCCTCCACCGAGAGCTTCTCCAGAACCAGCACCCTGCACCTGCTCAGCAGGGCGGCATTCACCTGGAAGGAGGGATTCTCCGTGGTCGCCCCGATCAGGGTCACCGTCCCGCGTTCCACGTGAGGAAGGAAGGTGTCCTGTGGATACCGGGGGGGGGGAGGATAAAGCAAACATGGGAGGAGAAAAAAAACCCCACTGCTGTGGACTGACATCCCCACACGGCGATTTATGGTCATGTAGCAGAAGAACTCAAGTCTGAAGGGTTATATATTATATATATATATTTCATAGAAATATTTCATATATATTTCTTCTTTTAGCTCAGAGACTGAGAAGAAGAAAACATCTTAAAAGCACACATTTCAGGCTGCGTGCCGAACCTGTTGGGATTTGTTGAAGCGGTGGATTTCGTCTACGAACATGATGGTCTTCCTCTTGCTCAGCCGCAGCTCGTTTTGCGCCTGTTTGATCACCTCTCGGACGTCGCTGGTGGAAGCGCTGGTGGCCGACAGTGACACGTAACGGGCCGTGCCCGTCTTTTTACTGCCGCTGGCGATTATGTGAGCCAGTGTGGTCTGAAAGACAGAAAACACAAGCATAAGCCTCCGGACTGCCGTCTACGTGGCATCATTCATCTGTAGTTTTGGAGAAATTCCTTATTATTTTCTATTCCTGCCTCTTTTCTTCATTTTACATTGTTTTACTTAAAAAAGATCAGTGAAAATAATCAGCATTTGTCTTTTTCATAGATGAAGAGGTTGATCAGAAAATCATCATCAGATGAGGGTGCGATGAAAATAATTTGTAATTTAATGTCCTTAACCCTGAAGACCAACTCAAGCAGTTGATTATTATTATTGACAGGTGTTTTTCTTATGGTTTTGGACGTTAGAACCGGTGGACGCTTCACCTTTCCGCACCCCGGGGGTCCCCAGAGGATCAGCGAGGGTACCTCCTGGGAGTCCAGCAGAGACCGGAGGAGCGTCTGCTGACCCACAACTTTATTCTGCCCGAAGTATTCCTCCAGCGTGCTCGGCCTCAGGCTCTCCGCCAGAGGCCTGTTTGACGTCATCAGCGCCCGGGGAGACAACTCGCGTGATGCCTTCACGGTCTGTCGGTTGGCTCCAGAGTGCTGGCTCTGCACCTCCTCGGTGGCTTCTTGTCCCGGCTCTTCCTCGCCCGATAAATTACGTTTAACTCCCGTCTTGACGGCAGAGGCAGCCGGTTGTTTAGTCGACAGCGACGCGTTTCGTTCACCGGGACCGGAGGCTTTGCTCTTGCTGGTTTTAAACATGGAGAACAGCGGAGAGGACGGCGGGGCAGCCGCGGAGGAGGAACCGGACCCGGGGCACTTGACACCGGGCGGTTCAGCCGTCGAGCCGAGCCGAGACTTCTTCAACGGCGGCTCGCGTCGGTCTGTGAGACACACGTCGAGGTGTCCGTTGATTGTGCCGGACGCGAAGTCTTTTAAACAAACGGGACATTGCACCGCGTCCGGTGCGGATTCCATGCCGTTCGCCATGTTGAGTCCCGCTAAACTTTTGACCTTTTGGGTCACGTGACCAAATACGCGTTTTTTTTTTTTAAAACCATAACCAAAAGATGTTTTTCTGCCTAAACTTCGAGCCCAGACGTGATTTTCTTTTACGAGCTGATTTCAAAGTAACGCAGTTTTGTTTGGTTCACTGCGCTCTGTGTGCGTTTACGTCCTCATCCGACAATCCGACATCAGGGCATTTTCAGTCTAGTTTATGTTTTCGATCAAAACGAGAGGGTAAATAAAGCAGATATTGTGACATTTTAGTTATTTTTGGTTTCGTTCAACCCTTTATGTTAGTCAGTTGGATTTATGTGGCAAATTGTAGGTGAATATAACAGTTTTTTTCAATCTGGTTATGTATTTTCCTACAATCTGAAGTACATGAGCGCAGCAGGTCCGTACTTTGCCTCTGGAACTGAATTACTTCACTGATCTGAGATCTGGTCTACCGGCAGATACACTTTACTTGTAAAACATTTAATTGTCTTGTTAAATAGAATGCATTATTGCAAATCAAAGCACCCATATGAAGTATACAAAATTAACTAAATGTCAACCAGCTACTTCAACAACGTAATATATAGCTTTATTAACGCATTAGGAATGAATTAAGAATTTAATAAATCTGGCCCCTTTATGTGGCCCCATAAAGACTACCTTCTTCCTCCAGTAACCTCTGCTTTTTTTTTTTTTTTACAATAAAATATTTTTATTGTATTTTAACATTGTGATAATGCCACTTAATGCAAAGCTTTTTAGCATGTCTTCACCCTTTGCCGACAGCGCAATACATATATTAGACTTTACTGCAAATGGTAATATCTCCTACAGAACCGCTGAGGTTTTGACATGTTTGTCCCGTAACGAGGATAGAATTAGAGTTGAATTAAAACCATGAAATAGAATGTAAGTTATCCATTGGACATAAGTGCTTATAAAAATAATCTTACGACCAACTTTTCTTTTTCAAAAAATGATTTAGTTGAGACGAATTTACCCCCCCAAGAGTTCTGCAAATAAAAGAACATTCTTTTCTCAAAAAGTACCACAATGGTTTTTACTACTCGTGTCCCACGGCTACTTTGATTAAAGCATTTCGTTGTTCTTTGTGGTCGACGACGTCGCCCTCAGGAGAAGCGCCGGCGTCTTCGTCCTCGTTCGGGTACGACGCCGCGTCCACCAGAGACGGGAGGCTCCGACCTCGCAAGATACCTTTGCCCCTCGGAAGGCTGCCGAGCCCTTCGCCCAGAGGGCCCCTCAGAGGTAACCACAGTTTCCTCCCCAAAGAAGAATCTGCCCCATGGTGAAGCTCCAGATCGTCGGCGCTCGTCCTGCAATCACGACATTTTTTCATTGTGATTTTTACTGCGCTTGTCCAGAAGCAACCAGCAGAACTAAATGAAACGAACAAAGTGACCAACCTCATGTCAAAGGTGGAGCCCTTGAAGGCCGGTCTGAGAGTCTCAGCCGCCGTCGACAGCGTGTACGGGGCGGAGAAATGTCTCTGCGCCCAGTGCTTGTCCTTCTCGATGGGCGCCAGGTTCTGGTACATGTCGTCTACGGCCAGCATCGACACCTGCGGGCGAGAGAATGGAGCCCTCGGTGCCTATTCAACGGGGCACCGGGGGCCTCCCGCCGCGAGGGGGGGGGGAACAAACCTGAATGTTTCTGTCAATCAGCTGGTTGGTTTCAAAGTCATCGTCGTCCTCGCCGAACGGATTGATGATCAGCTCCCCCACCTGCAGGGCGGGAAAACCAGAAGCGCGAGACACGCGTCAAAACCACCGGGTGTTTCCCCCCCCCCCCACGCGGGAGTGCAGCGTGATGTTTTCGTCTCACTTTCAGCCAGCCGGCGTAGAAGAAGAACTGCAGCAGAGTGAAAACGGGGACGTACATGTCCATCTTGTGGTCCTTGTATCCCTTCTCGGGGTTCAGAAATTGTCGGCCGATCACACAGAATCCAAAAAAAGAGTAAACCGCCAAAGTAACTACCTGCACAGGGAAGAACACAAGCTGTGATCCACTGTATGGAACCAGAATATACCTGAAGTACAGTTGAACCAATTATTTTATGTTATACATTATAGTGTATTAACTTATTTGATCCAATTGAGCTCAGGTTCGCTGCTATATTACACATAATAAAACAAAGTAACTAGTAGTTGCGTAAAGATCATCTCAAATGTAAAGTATTAAGCTGCAGAAAAGGGAGAGTTTTGTGAAGCATTTTCTAAAATGTGAATGTATTTTAAATCCCATCTGAAGACAGAGAGGAAGTGACGGTTCTGATCCTACCTGAGTGTAGACCAGCGGGATGCTTATCCAGTCATAGTGGAACAAAAGGCTGCACTTGCCTCTGTACTTGTTCAGCTCCTGTGGTGACGAGTACACATTCTACCTTTGTAGTTGAACACGTCTTCGCTCATTGTTGCGTGAAAAGCGCGAAAAAAAAAACCAAAACTCACGTCCATCAGCAGCCTCAGGGCGACGTCGTCCCTCACCCGCCCCTCCTCCCTCGCCGCCGCCGCCAGGTTGGAGAACCAGGTCAAAGGCATCCAGTACTTGTTGAAATCAGAGTGGAGCGACTCGAACTTCTTCAGCTCGTGCGTGGTCATGAACCCTGCGGAGAGCAACCGGAACGTCCACCTGCTGCAACTTCACAGTCCAAAACGCTCCCAACATCTTACTCAGAGGACGTACCCGTTTACATGCACACGTAAAACACGTAAAATGAACCCAAGCGTGATCGAAAAGACGGTAAAGACCGAAGCGACCCCTACGGTTCTCTCCTCGTGCAGCGCTCTATAGAGGAGCTTCATCCCTCACCGGCCTCCACCACGTGCTCCAGAGTCGGGAAGCGCTTGTGGACCCGCGTGCTGACGGAGCGCAGGATCAGCACCGAGGACAGGTTGGCGTATCTCATGAGCGTCCGTCGCAGCAGGCGACCCCGCTCGTCCGCCCCGTGCACGTTCCCGCACACCGCCATCATCAGGTTGTCGGGCAGGGGGAAGCTGCTGTACTGACCCCACCAGCGGTTGAAGGCCAGGGTCACGTAGAAACCTGCGGTGGGACGCGACACGTCGGGTCATGTTCGGGGGGGGTTCGGGTTGAGGGGGGAGCGCGATGGATGGGACTCACCCAGCACGAAGAGGACCGGGATGAAGCTGGTGTTGGTGAACTGGTCGCAGTAGAGGGCGATTCGCTCGAACAGGTCCTGCTGCTTCGGCGAGAGGAGGAACCTGAGAGGAACGTGCCAGAAACGTTCTTGCCCCGATGGAGCCACAAACGCACACAAGGTGACAGTCGGAGGAGTTTACCTGTAAAACAGGCTGAAGAACAGATAAACCGCACAGAAGGCCAGGAGGTCCTTGTAGAGCAGCCTGTAGATGCTTCCCTTCCACCTGAACAGGAGCTTGGAGAAGCCCCCGAATCGCGCATCGGCCACTTCGAGGGTGTAAGACACCGTCATTTCCCCTTTTGATTTCTTTCTCCAACGGCCGAGGGTTCCTGTGAAAAACGGACGTGCGACACGTGAACCACGATGCATTCATTTCATCACAAGCATTTAAAGCGCATGCAGATGTGTCACCTGGTGCTGCTCCGCTGGGAAGAGACGTTCTTCCTCTGGGTCTCAATTTAAACGTCCGCGCCGCGCCGTCGTAAATGAACGTTTTAGATTTATCACCTGGGAACCTGAAGCTGTGCAGAGACACACCTGCGCTGACCAGCGAAGGATTCACTCCGAAAGGATGCTGTGAACTTGTCATTAGGGAGAGATGATTCTCATAAACGGATAAATAGTTTAAACATAAGCCATTTGAATAAAAAATCTTGTGATTAAAAGTATTGTTTGGTATTTTTGTTGGCTTAAACAACATTACAAATAACAATGAAATGTAATACACAGTTGTTTTAGGGCGATAGTTTAGAGGTCATAATAAAATAATTACAGCTGGTTTTACTGGTTTCTAAGAACAACATTTAATTTCCTCTCAATTTCTTAGAAACAACAAACACGAGCCTCTAAACTTAGAAGGACATCATATGATCAATACTGTCATCCATTTAATGCATTTATATTCCTTGCTGTTATTTTATCAATACCATTTCACACTTTTGTTTTATTACTCCTTGTTTCGTTCTTCTTTTTTGTCTTTGTCATTCATCTAATTCATTGTTACTCTTTTTAAATGCTTTGGGTGTGTTTTATCTTTTGGTGCTGCAGTACTGGCGAATAAACTCCCTGTAAAAGCCTTTTTTTTCCGATATTAACATTTTAAAATAACGTCCAACAAGAAAGAAGTAACTGTGTCCGCACCGTGCCGTCGGCTGCTCATCTCTCAGTTTGTTTTTCACATCGACTTGTCAGCGGGTTGTAAATCCGAGTCTGTTTAATCCTCCGACTCTGTTTGCTCTTTATATTTATGACCTCATCCATCCTCCATCATCTCTGCGCACTTCCTCATCCCTCAGCACATCGCTTTTACTACCAATAGATCATCAATAGATCATCTCAATAAAGGCACCCGGGGGTGGGGTAGGGAGGGGTGAGGGTGGGGTGAGGGTGGGGTGCTCTGTGGCTGATTGGCCGTAGTTTCTATTCCTCTCGCTAGATGGCGCTGTTGTGAGTTGCAGCCGGGCTCTCAGGCCAGAGGCCTCACTGTCCCATAAACACACACACACACACACACACACACACACACACACACACACACACACACACACACACAGACAAATCTACTGGAGCAGCAAAGACTGGAATACACCGAGTGTCGGACAGACGAGGAACGCGTTAGTTTATGCCCCCCCCCCCCCGTCTTCCTGATGTTTTCCCCACTATTTTACCCCCCCCCCCCCCCTCTCTCGTCTCATCGGCACAGACTTCTGTCTGCGTGTCTCTACAACCTTGCATGCTTGGCCTCTTATCACGTCTGTGCGTCTCTCTGTAAATCATTACATGGGATTCGTCTGCAGCTGGACCGACACGTTGACGTCACACGGAGCAGTATGTACAAAAATACGTATGTTATGAAATAAAGTGGTGCCAGTTTGCCTGTTTTGAATTCAGAATGTGGGACAATACGTCCCACTTAGATGTGGAAAAGAACACGTGGTTTCCCCCAATGGGCAGGTTATCATCAACCTTACCTTTATTGACTACAATGAAATACTATAAGTAACGTGTCGCTTAAACGTGATGGAGAAACTTTTTATTTTTTTACTGAAGCGTATTTAATTGTCTGCCCCTCACCGACAACACAATGCAAAATAAACTTTGGAAAATTATTTGCAAACTGGTATTTAAACTGTGAAACTGAACAGAATAGTAACTTCTTCTCCTCCCACACAAACACACACAGCGCTCTTCTCTGACATCCGGGTCCTCCATGCGGTTTAACGTCGGATTGGAATGTGAGCAGTTTAGGTCATTTAAAGCAATCTTGTGAGAATGTGCATGTGAGAGCAAACTTCTCTCCTTCTGGCCGGACACGTTTTCTTACTCAACATGGTCAGGAAACGCGTCGATTTACATCACCGAGTAAATAAAGGTGGTTGTCAGGGGCTGCGGTTGCTGGGCAACGCATACAAATATTGCGATGATTCAGACTTCAGCATTGACAAACATTTAGTGTTTCAGAATGAATCAACCCACTTCCTGTTAAATCATTCGAAATCAGCACTATTTAATCCCTCATTTTATGGGTTAAAGTGGATTCCACCTTCGTTTTCATGAATGACGACACGATTTGCAAAATGCATTCAGAGAATTTAATAAATCACCGGATAAAAATAAAAGATTTCAAAAAATACTTGATATTTTTTTGTGTTGACAATAGTCAAGTGTTGCCTAATCACATGGGATGATAAAAATAAAATCCTTAAGTCTAAAGTCTAAACCTTTATTTCCCGGACATGTTAAGCAAACTGAACACACCGACGTGTAGTTTAGTGGAGGGTGAACTTGTGCTGCACTGGGCGTGTTCGGCTGCATGAGGAGGAGGAAGAGGAGGAGGAGGAGGAGGAGGAAGAGGAGGAGGAGGAGGAGAGCTGAGACAGATGTGAATAACGGTCGCAACAGCCTTAAAGCCTAATTTGGTTTGCAGGGCGGGGAGAAGCTCCTCTGAGGCTCTGCTCGAGTGAAGGAGACGAGGAGTCCGCAGCCACGACCCCCGCGCCGCTGCACGTCCCGCCGACACGACGAAGGTAAAACCCGCTTTGCTACTTTTAACCCCCGGGGAAGATGCTGTGAGCTCAAAGGACCTCGTTCGGCTGCAACTTGTTGCGTCTTGTTCCCCTCCATGACAAAGTGATGCAGCGGGTTTATTTGTGTGCACGTTTTAGGAAATGTTTTTTGGTCATCATCGAAATTAGCTTGATAAAAATAAAAAAAGAGTAAAATAAAAATATTTTGTGTTGATTAAAATAAAGTATTTTAGTGGCGAGATTTTCAGACTTTTGAAAACCTCACAATAAGTTCCCTTAATATCCGTGCTCACAAGATGTCCTGAAGGAGAAGACATCTCTTGACATGTATTTGTGTGTGTGTGTGTGTGTGTGGAGGGGCAGGGGGGTGAGGGGGTGAGGGGGGGAGCAGGGTGCGGCAGGCGGCACACCCACCATCACTCCCAATGAATGAACCTCTGCAGGCGCTCAACGCTCTGGAGACATTTACTAGACTTTTTGAATGTTATTGATTATGTTTCTCACCAACAAACTCCCCTTATTTAAATGCAGAAATGCAGCCAAGTCCGAGAAAAAGAGCCACAGCCCAAAATGAGCCTATATTCTGTGGTGCTTCGACCAACAGGTCTCCTGTAAGTGGATCACGCGTGAAATCGAGTTAGTGACGTTGCGTCATGACAACCAAACCAGGCTCCTCCGCCTGAGACAAACACTGGTTTCCTGAACATCTGTCTGCCTGTGTGTGTGTGTGTGTGTGTGTGTGTCCTGCTGTCTGCATGGATGTGACCGTATGGCCGTGGAGCACGATGCTGTCACGTCCTGTTTGCTGTCCCTCGTGTGAACCCGTCGTCTGCTGACCCTCTTCCCCACGTCCACACTCTCGTTTTTGTTTCCCTCTCCCCCCCGCTGCCATTTTCTTCCTGACTTCACTCCACAAGCAGCGAAGTGGCGGCGGCGGGATTGATTTTTCCATTACGACCCCCCCCCCCCACTCTCCCTCCCCCCTGCGTTTATTTTGAGTGGTTTACACGATACGTAATTGGTGCCCTGACCTTAAAGCCGTGAGACTCTGGGGAGGGAAGAGAGAGAGAGAGGAAAGGAAAGAAGTTGGCAAATGTGACAAAGTTACCAGTTGTTCATCACATCTGGAATTCATCAGCCTGTTTGAAAATCCTACAAGAAATAAGAAGAGGAGGGGGGGGGAGGTGGTGGGAAGCGAGGGGGAAGTGGTTGGAGCAAGCGGCCCCGTCGGTGACTCACGCCTCTGCTGTTCCACTCCATCACTGTGTGTAAACTGTCCTTCAGGGACACACAGGGGTTTCCCTTGCGCCCCCCCTCCCTCCCCCCGTGCTTTTCCTTTTGGGCCTCAAAGGAGTCACCCTGTTTTTTCCCATTTCTCTCTCCTTTTGGGGATCCCCCCCCCCCCCCCCCCCTCCGTCAGTTTTTCCTACTATTTCTTTAGGTGTTTAATGGAACTAATGTAAACAGGCCGTTCTCCTTGTTTATAACTGAGCTCCTCTGTAATCTGGGGGGGGATGCAGCCAAGTGGGTGGTGGGTTCCAGGAGGAAGGAGGGGGGAGAAACAGGATTTATGGCTGGAAAATGGTGTTTCTTTAAGAGCCGATCAGCTCGTTTCAAGACTTTTTTTCCCCACTTGAAGCAGGAAACACGGAATGTTTGGTGTTCGCCACGACGCCTCGGAATCGGAGAGCAGGAGCTTCTTTACATCACGGACCAACGTCCGTCAGAAATCCATGGCAGAGGCAGAGGAGGAAGAGGATGTCCGTGCTGGTCGCATTAGATCAGTGCATGAAAAGGAGAAGGCGTAGTTTCGGCGTAGAAAAGGCGTAGTTTCGCAGCATTAGTCAAATAATCGATGAGCTCATCAGGAGTCACTTTTGTGGCCGTAGTCACTTTTAAAGTTACAAAGCCTCAAATGTGAGGATGTGGTTTCGTCGTGGTTTTTACGATTGTACATTTACAACCAATTAAAATGACAAAACAATGAAGTATTAAATGAAGAAGTAGCCAACTGACAAATTGAGCTGCATCCAAAACCTTTTCCTCGGACTCGAAAGACATGAACTTTAAAAAAGAGCTCAAATTCCTCACCGATTTCACAAACGAGCCGTTCAGCTCGTGAGCAATAAATCACGGCCCGGCTCGGTCCAACAAACCTCTGGTGGGACCGGCAGTGGTTTGCCGACTCCGTGACTCTTTTCCACTTTTCAGCTACTCGTTTACAGACGAATATTTTTGTCTTTCACCAAGTAAAGACTCGACCCGCCATTTGAGAGAAGGAAGGAAGGAAGGAAGGAAGTTTGTCGTCACTTAAAATAAAAACAACAAAACCTTCATTAGTTAAGGTCACGGCACAGTCCCTCGCCAACAGTGTGAATTCTGTTGTCTTTATAGGTTCTGAAACTTGACGTCTAATTCTCTAAATCGAATGAAATATTCTAACAAAAAATCAATTTTTCTAAAGGCGTTTAATAAGAATCATAAACATTGCACGTCATCTCTTTCCAACCGAGCCCGACACACAGCACAAAAAACGTGAAATAACCCAAACTGCGTTTACTCCGACAAGTAACTCCATCCCTCTTTTTAAGTAAAAACACCAGAACGTAAAACCCGGCACCACTGGATTCAAAGCCTTGTGTGTGTTGTTTTCCCCCCCATACTTTAGATAGCTGAGGTCCCTGAGGGAGTCGGGGTGGAGCGGGTGAAGGATGGTGGTGGTGGAGGCATGTTTAGAGCACACGATGACGGACAATGTGGGGGTCGGTGGAGGTTGCGGCGCCACTCCCGCCAGAGAACATGGCCGCTGAGGAATGTGAGAGTGCTCCCAGCCCAGAGACGCCGTTGACGGAGGAGTGCGGGGGGGGGGGGTTTACGCGGCGACCGAAAGTAACGAGGGATAAAAGGAGCAAATGCAGAGCAGATGGTTTGAACTCACGTGAAATGTGCAGCGACCAACATTCAGTTGTAAATAAATCGTGGTTTTGAAGTGCGTTTTCATCATGTACATCATCCAAAGGTCCCGACAAAATCCTGCTAAAACGGTATTTTTTTTTCTTCTCACAGTTTTCTCTCTGTGGCTGATTTGATAAATCCCAGGAAGTGACTCCGAACAGGAAGAGCCTCGTATCTCACAGGAGCCGTTTGATCTTCCCACATCTCCTAATAAATCATGGCGATAGTCCTCCACTCCAGCCCCCTCCTATGGACAAGGGTGGCCGCCATGATCTTCTCCTGCGTGGCCTTCTCCCTGGCCGTGCATGGAGGCCGACTCTTTGGCGGAACCGGAGACTGGTGCATCTTCTGCTGGGCCTTCAGTTTCGCCGGGACTCTGCTCGTCATCCTGGTGGAGCTCTTCGGCCTCCAGGCCAGAGCTCCCGTTTCCTGGAAGAACTTCCCCATCACCTTCGCCTGCTACGCCGCCCTGCTGTGCCTGTCGGCCTCCATCATCTTCCCCCTCTACTTCCTCAAGGGCTCCTCGGGCCACGGTGACATCGGCACCTACCGCATCGTGTCGACCGTCTTCTCCTGCCTGGCCACCATCGCCTACGTGACCGAGGTGAGCATCAGCAAGGCGCGTCCGGGCGAGGTGGCCGGCTACATGGCCACGGCCCCCGGCCTGCTGAAAGTCTGCGAGACCTTTGTGGCCTGCGTCATCTTTGTCTTCATCAGCGACCCCGTGGTGTACGACCGAAACCACGCGCTCAAGTACTGCATGTCCGTCTACTGCATCTGCTTCATCCTGTCGGCGGTCATCATCCTGCTGTGCATCGGCGAGTGCACCGGCTGCCTGCCCTTCCCCTTCGCTCGCTTCCTCTCCGCCTACGCCCTGCTGGCCGTGGTCCTCTACCTGTCGGCGACCATCGTCTGGCCCATCTTCAACTTTGACCCCAAGCACGGCGGCTCGAAAGATCGGCCGAGCCATTGCAACTCCGACATGGGCCTGTGCGGTTGGGACAAGCTGATGGCGGTTGCTGTGCTCACGGGGGTCAACTTCGTCCTCTACCTGGCCGACCTGATCTACTCCTCCCGCCTGGTGTTTGTCAGCGCTTGAGGTCGGGAAAAAAAAAAAGGGTGTACGGCCGGCAGATAAAACCCAATCTGGCTGCATCTCGAACCGCCGTCAAATGTGGCGGTGCTATGAAATGCTATTGTAATCTTGTCAAACGGCCTCCACGTGACGGAGCCCATGGGTCACGATGGTCGCTGGTGTAGTTTACTGTGTGCTTATAATTTAGAAATTTGCATGTTGAAGTATTTGATTTTTCAGAATTGAGCTGGTGCAACACAATAGTAGAGGAAGTACCAGGGACTCGAGCTCTCGCGTAATGGAGTTAAGATCTAACCGGAGTTTTGGCCGGAGTCTCACGGTTCTGCCTCTGCAAACCTGCCAAATTAGCTTTTGTGTAACGCAAACTGCTTTGGACCTCAGCGGGAGAGAGAAGGGGGAGAGGTCGAGGTCAATGGCTGTGTTTAAACGTACAACAATGTTCCCTTAATGTTCTGCCCATGTGATAGAACGGGTCAATGTCCACTCCAATCGGCATTAGACCTCCATGTGATCGCTGGATCTTCTTTTTGTTCGTTAAGCAGATTATTGCCCTTTATCAAATACAAACATAGAAGATGTTTAGTGAGCTATTTAAAGAATCTCAACAAGGACACAAGCTAAGATCCCAAGTACGTGTGCATGTAAACATATCTGTGATGACAAGTGAAGGAAGAACAAAGATATTGGCGGCTTTTCATTGTGTTTTTTTTTAAATCTTTTCAATAATGTTATAAAAAAGACTGCTGATCAGTATTTCTGTGTTTAATTGTTAGAGGACAAAGTGTAGAACATATAATGACTCCATCATTTCATTCATGCAATTGACTGTTTAATCTCCTCAACAGTATAAAGAGCAGCTGATCAGATTGTTTTCTTTATGTCATTTTTAATGTTGTCACATTTACAGATGAGTAAGAGTTTACACATTGATAAGATGATGCCGGCTTGCTTTTTTTGCTCCTGTTATGATAATTGCGTATCTGTATCTGCAGCTACAATCAATGGGAAGAATATATTTGTGAAAAGAACGTAAGAATGTGGAGTTTAACAAAAAGAGAAAATTATATTTAAAGTGCACTTAATATCAGTGTGTATAAATGTCTATTAACACCAAACTCACGCCACTAAATTTATATGTGTTGTCAATTGGCTCCTTTGGTTTTGTACTGCTGTATTAACAACTCAGAGAAAGAGACCACAGGGGTGGTGTTAGTGTTATATTCATCTGCGTTTTTATATTCCACACAGTTTTGACTGTGCGTACCACATCAGTGTTGTATGAAAATAATCCGGTATGTCAATAAAACCACATGTTGAATGTGTGTGTGTGTGTGTGATTGGTTGTATTGTTTTAAGTTAAAGGAGAATTCTCTTACGTTCAGACATTTATCGTCAGAAAGAAATCTAACAATAAGATAATTAAAACTATAATATTTACATGTTATATCTGCAGTACACAGTAGAGCCACATGTGTGAGTCTTCTGATAATTGTACCCTATTTTTAAAATTTAACACTTTTTATTTACACAGTATTAACACATATAAAACTAATAACTATGGCTGGTTTACTCATAGAAGATTTACTAAAGTCATAATGTGGTCAGTTCAAAGGGTCATGAACATTAGTTTATGCACAAATTGTCCCTTCTCACAATTTATTTTGTTCGTTCCCATAAAAAAGGTTTGCGATGCGTTTACAGCAAAAACAACCCACCGCTTTGTCACAAAGTGTGCGCTACCTAGCACGGGCGCTAACACGAGCTAATTGTGTGACACTCGGCCCTCACAAGGCCCGCTGATCTTTAATTGTCTCACATATGTAAAAACTTTCCCGAGAGGCATAAATCAATTCGGCGCTGATTGTTTGAACCGAGAGCGTAAATCAGCATCTGCCCCTCTGCACACTATTTATCCTTCCCCGTTCATCTTCCTCCCTCCACAGATCCTCTCGTCTCTCTGCGGGCTCTAAGGCGCCGACGGTTCTACCCCGACCGGCCCGGAGGATCGGCGGCTCGGGACGCGGAGGGAGGAGGAGCGCAGCCCCCGTGGACATGTGGGTCGGAAAGGAGGCACCCGGTTGTGACACAATGACACGAGGCGAGGGTTTATTTTACTAAGGGAAGGGTTGTGCCCGCTGGCATGTGAACGTGGCCACTGAAACACGTCAGTGTAACCTGGACAGGATGCAGGGACATAAATCACCAGCAGACCTGCTACATACATGCAGTTATATATTTAAAAAAACTATTTATACATATTCATCAAATCGTTCAAATCCTGGAAAAAATGGCCTTTAACATGTTGTATGGAAAGTGAGAATGAGAGATGAGGTTGAGGATTAAATATATTTTATATTTTACCGTAACTTTTACCATGATTAATACCATGTTTGGTTCGATTGATTTACATCTGATTTGTTTTACTTAACACTGAACTGACTTTTTCCATTGGCTTTGTATCTAATGTATTTCTATCTCATAACCTTTTGAAAAAATAAATAAAACATGCATTAATTCATTCACACAGCTACATTCTATGTGATACAGAATAAACCTGCTCATTTGACTGGGTCTTATTTAAATGTTGAAGCTTATATCATTTGAGGTTCTGTATAGATGACAAACGCCATAAACAATGAATAGCAATAGTGTTGAAAGTATTAACCTTTTTTATAAAGATTATTGACATGCTGCTGAGCTGAAAATGGGGTGAGAAAGTCCGTCTCAATATAAAGTTCCTTCTTTACATCTCATGCCCCACTTTTTCTCCCAGAGAGCTTTGCTTCTGTTATGAACAGCAAACAGTCCTGTGGGGAAACGCGTTCCTCCTCAACTAACCTAATTAATTCTTGGCCTTCCTCCCAGTTTGCCCCCATAAAAGGAACAAAGAGAGTGAGTCATCGGCACTACAATAGCGTGATACAATCCTCCAATGTCCACAGAAAGAAGTCTGTTTGAAATGCAGAGTCGCTGCTCGCAACACAACCACGAGACAAGTGTGTAAAAGCGACGACCACGCGGCCTCATGTGACGCATCGCGCACACAGACGGACTGATGGAGCGACACAAAGCTACGCTCTGACCTCGCATTGACCCCCGTCGGTGTCCTGAAAACAAAATGACATTCACCTGTATTTATGAATTGATTTAAACGGATAAAGCAAGCGTTAAGACCACTACTGATACCCGCGTGCTGCCAATGATGGAGCCAGTGGCATCGGGATACGAGTACGAGTCAGTAGCAGCAGTGGTGACACTGCGGCTGCGTTAATGTCGGTATTGTCATGTTGAACCTGTGTGTGTGGAGTCGTGTGTCGAGGAGGCAGCTGCTCTGTGTGATTGACACATTCCTCGGTGGTCCTGGAGGTCCGGTGGTTAAACATCCCATAGTTAGCAAGTCTTCTAGGACCCCTGCTTCCCTGTGCTGTTTTTAGACTTTTTTTCCCCCCCGTGGGCTCTTTATGACCTAATGGCGTTCGTTTAGGCGTCCACAAGCTGTTTCGTGGACCTGTTTGTGTCAGTCAGATGGACCCGGAGCGCCCGTCGGATGTTTGAAATTATACCTCCCCCTGCTGACAGTCTGGGTGACATGAAGACACGGAACAGAAGAAAGGTATCAATGCAGGAAGTTAGAACATTAGAACTATTTGGGCGTCTTCATTTGGGATTTTTTTTATATTTCTTTTACCCTCAGGATTATTTTTATGAAGGTGTGCAAATTAACTCGAAGCCCCACTTCCTCACTCTTTGGGTGTTTCAGCAGCTTTGATGGTCACGGTGACCTTCTGGTCTGTCGGAAACGTGTTTTTAAAACATTACATTGAGAAACCGGGAAAAAAGAAACCTCATTGCTGCAGATTGTTACAGAAGACCTAAATTAAACCGACCCTGACGAGCCGTCACCAAACTTCAAGTTGCTCAACGTAAAGAAGGGAATTGTATCGTCAGTGGACTGTGACGAGATAAAGGCAAAGTCTGTATTTTTTAACGTTTTACACCAAGTAGCCATGCAAACATTTTAGCGCCAAAGTTTACCAATAAACAGGTTATAGATTAAGTGCATTCATTCTCCTCCCTTCTATCATTTGTAGCCACATTTTACTTCCTGAGCTGCAGAAAAGACAGAAAAGGAAAAGAGCCCCAAAAGCAAATGTCCAGAATGAATTACGGCGTCAGATTCCAACGGTGAGTTGAAAGCCCTGCACCGACTACACCTATCCCTTACCGATAAGGCCTCTTCTGTCTGAAGCTCCCAACATGCCCATCTATGGCTGCACCGAAACATTCACACTCATAAAACTGTCAAGGAAACATATAATGCTACTTTACGGTGCCGTTTGTTAGGTTGGTGCATTTTTACTGCCTTGGCTGCAATTATTTGCAATAATTAAACGCCTTTTGTCCGTCTTCCTTGTAGCCACGATACTTTTAGTGAAGAAAATAGACGGAGCAAAAAAAAAATGTTTAGACCTGTGACAACATTTGCTGATTTATGGCCCGTTGTGGCGTCCCGGGTCCCCGAGCCTTTAACCACAAAGGTGATGTGATGTGTTAACATGAGATTACACCGTATCAAGGTGATTTAGGTGAAGTCTTTACCACTTTTAGTCACTTAGTCTTCTCCATTTGATAAAACTACTCCTCCTAAATCTGGCAATGTAGAAAAACTAGATTTGAAATAATTGCCGCAGGGTCCTAAATCCTGTCGCCAGATTTCCACCACATCATCTGAGCAGAGAAACTACTGCGGAATGAAGTTTCTGCCGGTGCAATCTTATTAATAATATCTCATTATATTACATTTAGCTGACGCTTTTATCCAAAGCAACTTACGCTACATTTTTGCCCACGGAGCAATTAGGGGTTTTGTGTCTTGCTCAGAGACACGGGGCTCAAACCACCAACCTTGCAGTTCCCAGCACACCCTCTCTACCCACGACGACCCCTGTTTTAAAAATTTAAATTTAAATAGTCAGGGGGGGATTGGCGAAAATACAATATTTTCCAAAATATCTCATTAAGCCATTTTGTTTTCCGTAATGTCTCCGACTTTTTCCTTCAGTCTCTTTATTCGCGCTTCATCCTGTACGAGTCTTTTCCTTTCGCGAGAAAAACACACACGACACAACAAACCTTTGAACTTCCTTGTATAATTTATATGTTGAATTAGTTTCCCTTTATAAAAGCACATAAAACAGTTACCTGTGTCATTTTTATAGACAGTCTCCCGGTAATCGAACCGCTCTGCCGACATCACATGTAACTGGAGCGATGGATCTTAATACCAAAGTGCATAATAGATATGAAACGCTGCTGATGACGTCCAACCAGCTGCTCTGAGCTCAGTTTGGCTGATTGTCCATCCGTGAGACCGACTGGAAGGACTGGATGTCTTCCCCGATGTACTCCGTCACTGTGGAGAGAGAAGAGAAAAATCACTCCGTCCCTCGTAAACAGCCCGCTCGGCGTATTTGCAAAGCGGCGAGAAAAAGAACGCGTCATCTCAAAAACGTGTCACCTCCTACGTAAATCTCTGGGCTGTGTTTATTTTCCCGGCGGCAGAACAACACACACACACGTTGTGTGCCAATAACATCGCATATTTATGGTCTCTTTATTTGCTTTACAAGTCTGCAATGTGGACTAGTTCGTCCTCTCAACATCTGCACGCGTTCAAATGAAGACAAATACGTCCAGCTCACCTTCTTCAAATGTAATGTGGTGCATAGAAGAGCTGGTGAACTCCAGGGGGCAGTCCTGGATCTTGGCATCCCTGTCTCCCCCATGTCCCATCCCGAGCACCCTTCCCTGGGGGTCCCAGCCCTCGTAGTGGGGGTAGGGTGCCGGGTACATGTCCTGATATGGACTGGGGTTGGAGGGAGGTGAGGGACACGCGTCCTGAGGGTAAGCAGAGTACTGGGGGTAAGGGGAGGTTGAGATGGGACTGCCGGCGGGAAACGGGCTGAGAGAGGAGGAGTGGGAGGGAGAGGGCGAGGAGGAAAGGTACGGGGAGTCCAGCCAGGGGGAAGGGGAGGGGGAGGGAGGCTGCGGCCCGCGGGGGTACAAGGGGGGAAGGAGCTCGGTGAAGCCCAGCTCCAGGTTCTCGAAGCTGGGCTGACGGTCGGAGAGGGCCGCCCGGGGCTCCTCCACGGCGGCGTCGCCGTTGGGGCAGTACTCCTCGTGGTAACCCATGGTGGGGCAGGGAGGGGAGTAGGTGGAGGGGTAAGGGGGCAGGTGGAAGCCCCCGTCCATGCCGGGTTGACCCCCCACTGGGCACGCAGTCCCCCCGTCCAGGGGTGGCACGGGGGGCCGGGACAGCAGCGGGTCCTCCTCTTTGAACGTGGCTGTGAGGAGAAACTGTTCCGTTAATGAGTGGAAATGATGCTTTAACGTTTTGCATGTTCTTAATTGAACGCCGTTTGATACAGAATGTCTTTATTTTGCTGCTTTTTTAAATTATTATTTGTACGAACTAATTGTTTCTATTATTAATATTAATGTATAATTATTATTGAAGATGTTTTCAAAACAGAACCCCAAAAAAAACACCTGGGACTAAAGAATAAAGTCATCACCCAAAATGTCTAATCTTTCTTCTAAAAGACATGTAAATATTCTTTTCTTTATTCTAGAAAGACATAAATAAGCATAAATGTATACATGTGACTGCTTAGTAGTAATCTGATTTGTTCCCTTTATGAACTTGAGGGAGAGAAAGTCTAAATACGAACATATAATACGTGTTAGTGACAGCGAAACACACTGAGCATGATGTGGACACTCACTGGGGAGGTACTTGAAGCAGTGAGTGCTGCTCCTCTTCCTCTTCCCGTTGGAGACGTAAAGACTAACGGACATGGGCCGAGTGACGGACAGGTCGCTGTAGGCGGGGACCCTCACGCACAGCAAGCTCTTCAAAGAAAGACCCAGAGTTTAGTTTTATTGACCCACACTGTTGGAACCGCGTATGTGGCTTCTAGCAATGCGGCATCCATGACACACATTCTACATTCATAGAAATGAATAAAGATAAAACCTAAAAAAAAGAAAACACTGCCAGTGGAATAATAATCCATCAAAAAATAGGTAAAAAATTATTTTGTTTCCATCTTCGTTTCCACATTTATTGTACAAACTATTCCAGCAGCTTCAGTTGCAGCTTCTCAATACGATCAAAGCTCAGTGATTGTTGATCAGATCACACATTCAAAATTACCTCATTGCTGTTGTCACGGTCAACATGAGCCTCCTCCTCCCACTGTAGTTTACCATCTAGAAGATGGAACACGAGGGAGAAGTAAGTGTAACCCAGACACGCACACAAACACAAGGACACGGTCACGTTAGCGAGTGGAGCGTTCGGCTCATAAACTCGTCTCCACTGACGCAGAGCTTAACGCCAACTGAGAATATAGAACGGTTGAGCTGGTTGAAAGGAGCTGCATGACCATGAAGAAAAAAGACGTCCAGAAGACTGAATCTACTTTCTGGTGACTTTACAAACTCATCTCGCTTCCATGTCTTCACGTTACCTGTCCCTCTCTCCATGAAAAGGACCCGGGAGATGGCCAGGAAGTTCGAGCCGCTCAGCAGAAGCTCCTCTCCGCCCTCCACGGAGCAGGAGGCGAGGCTGACGGACTCGATGACGGGCAGCTCCTGAGCCGAGCGCTGAGCTGAGGCGGGAAGAATGAAGGGAATTAAACCACGGAGCGCGTTCCCGCTTTAAAGCCACCACCAAAGAACTGCTGGGTTTTTTTTTTTTTGGCGGCTCGTCGGGTGAGTATTAAGTAACGGCGTGCTCTCTACTCACAGCACTCGATGGCCAAAGAGGCCGCCTGCAGAGCCAGGACGCGACCCGGCGGGGCCGCGGGGGGCGCCAGAGGGAGGTGGGTGCGAAACACCAGACGGACGCGAGTGTTCTTCCTCCCGACGTCCGTCTCCCCTTTCCTCAGCTCGATGTCCGAGTTCCTCAGCTTCAGGATGCCGGCGCAGTCGATGCTGAAAAACCAAGGTGTTTCTAGCCGTCACGCGCTCGGCCCACTAGCACGACCCCCCCCATGCGATGAGAGACGTAGCACGCGTCCGTCCGGTACTCACAGCGCCGTCATGTTGTTCTCGGGGCTGAGGGGGATGTCCAGCACTTTGGTCCCCGCCTGGACGCTCTCGTGACTGGCGGTGCCCACCATCTTCCCCGTCACCCTGAGAGAAAAGAGCAAATGGGTTTTTACTAATACAGCTTTTCGTGAAAAGAGAAAAATGTCCGTAACGACGACAAATAGTATGCTGTTGAGATCCAAAAGGTGGCAAAAGACTGAACCGCATTAAACAAGGACGGGGCAGAGCTGCATCACCCAGTTACATCGATAAAAACTGATTCCTGCACTAACACGGGAAGTTGCGCAATTTTTTTTAAGCCTGCAGCTGTAAGATGGTAAATATACAGAAAGTCAATGCATTCATTGATGTTTGGATTTCTGTGTAGAAATACAGTTCAGTACCTCAGGAATCAGGAATCAGGAAACATTTATTGCCAAAATATGTCAAACATATAAAGGAATTGGTCTTGGCGGTTGGTGCGTGACAGCAGACAGTGTAACAATAGACAACAAGACAGCAGTGCACAAGTAATAAAATAAAATAAAATGAATGAAATAATGCAATGGGTTAGTATAAAATAAGAGAATAAAGTTAAAGTTAAAAATTGAAAATATTTTTAAAAATTATAAAAATAAAGTGCACTAGGGAACAAGTGACAAAGTGACGAGTGACAAGTGAAAAATGACAGTTTAAGTGACATGTGCGGTACCTGTGTATCTGATAGAAAGGATGTGGCCTGATTGACCGGTCGTCAGCTGTTCCCACGAAGACTTGCAGGGAGAGCGGCTTCCTCTCCGCGTATCCACACAGCTGTACAGAGACACGCGGCGCGAGGAGACAATATCAAACTGTGACCAGGCCAACGGCAGAGAGCCACAACACGTGTCCCGAGACCTTGGACCGGCGCCGCCGAAAACACAACATTCAAACTAAAGTTCTACTTTCGGCTGCGACAGAAATGACATTTAATAAAAGTCAACGAGTGCAGTTAAATCACCTGCCGCCACGTTATGAAAATCTGCTTAGTCGGCATTTTTAATCAAAAATCACTGGGCCTTTCAGCGGCCTCCTCGAGCTGCAGCTCTGGGCGTCACCTTGACAACCGGATGTCCCGTTGGCGTGGCCTTGACGGCTCCTCTGCTGCCCTCCGTCTCGTAGTGGGCTCTGTGGTGCGGCCGGGGCTGCACCTCAATACGCAGCTCGTACTGGTCGAACTGGGACGGCAGCGGCCAGTCGAGTGGCGGCAGGGCGTTGGACCTGCCGGTGGGTGGGACGAAATGGGATTAACGATCGATCTTCAGGGGGGGGGTTTCTTTTTTTAACGCGTGTTCTCGAGTACGTGCGTCGCGGGATTCTTTGCCTGAACAGAGGGCTGTGGGCGCTGGCGCGAGTCCGTCCCCAAGCGAGGGCGGGAGGCACAGAGAGGTAGTCCATTCCCAGCAAAGGGGGATCTCGCCTGCTCTGCTGGCCGTCCGGCGGCGGGCAGGGGGAGCCGTGGCCCGGAGCCGGCTCCTGGTCCACCTCCCTGGACGACAGCTGGGAAGCCAACAGGTTTTTCTGTCAGTGGCGGGTCGAGACACTGACGGCTTTGACGGACAGGAAAAAAAACCAAGCCAGCACCCTCACCTGCTCCAACGACGTCTTCCTGGTCTTCTGCGGGATGCTGAGCTCGCAGCCGCCGGGCGGCGCTTGCGGCTGAGGGGCGGAGGGGTCTCCGCCCTCGAGGTTACATCCCTGCAGTTCTTCCGAGTAGCTGCCCCTCCGTGAGGTGCAGGGAGAGGCCAGGGGGGAGTTTCTGCGTTTTTTACCCCCGGGGGACGTGGGCCTCGAGGACGGCGAGAGGCCGAAGCTGACCGCGGCCTCGTTCAGCTCCTCCTCCTCCACCAGCAGGGAGTCGCAGCTGGAGGCGGGGCTGAGCCAGCCGCGGGACGAAGGGCTGGAGCCGGGGCTGGGGCTGGGGCTGAGGGAGCCGGGGCACCTCTCGCGGTAGGTGAAAGGGTCCAGGAGGGGGAGGTAGAGGCGCTCTCGGTCCCACCCACCCCCGCCACCCATGTCCCAGTAGCTGGAGATGGGTGGTGCTGGGTCGTCTTCCGGGGAGATGGTGGTTATCTGGATGCTGGGACACTCGACCACACGAGACTCTGACACCTGGAGGAAAGATGAGAGCGAGGAAGAAATATTTAATTTACTCGAATATATAAATCCATCAGTTAGTTTATCCGTTAATACGCCCAATATTTTACAATATTTTATTATGATCGACTGTTTGAATTGACAAGGTAGGAAATCCACCTGAAAACCCTTTAATGTGATGTTTGGGTTTTGCATCAACAGAACTGGAGAAACCCGTTTGTCTACGTTGACGTTGCATCAACTAAGGCCTTAGTTGATCAGCAGAAACAAGTGGACTTAGGTGGTCAACAGGTTGTCTCACCTGCACAGAGCGTGCCGGCAGGCTCTCATAGGTCCCACTGAAGTCTCTGGCAGCGGCCCTCCGTGGAGGCGGGGAATGCATCCCGGCGCGCTGATTGGCCGACGGCGGCGGGCTCGGGATGCCGATCGAGTGCTCCGTAACTGACGGGAAGAATAATCAGACTGAGTGTTCAAAGGAACCTAACAAACACTGGCACCGAGTCACAATTCGGAGAGTGAAGTGGCAAACATCACAAGTTGAGAGCACAGCGTGAAAACACTGCAGAGCACTCACAGCACGATTCCATCGGCGGCGGCGGAAAAGAAAGTGGGTCTAATCGCTACAACAACACTGATTAAGAAATGCAGAACATGAAGAGTTTACAGTGAGTTCATCTGAACGATATGCACCTTTACTTCAATTCAATGGCTGGTGTTTTCTTTTATTCTGACACACGTCCTTTATCATCACACGTTGCAGGTTTTCCATTGATCCTTTTTTGTGACGGTCGTGTTTTACATATTTTGTGAGAAAGACTCATTAGGTCCAAATACTGTGAACAGAATTTGTGGTGGGAAGATATTCACTGTTTGTTTTATCATCAACTTCATCTTGATATACTTCTTACTTCATCTTGATCGGTAACATATGTAAAAAATATGCAACTGGTTGACGTGCACGCTCACTTTGAAACAAGTCATTACGTTTAATGCGAAGGAGTAGTTTGACTTTTAGTTTTGTTTCCTGCTGAGAGCGAGATGTGTCCAGAGTCAAGAGACGCTTAGCTTAGCATACCGCTAAGAATGAAAATCGGAAAATTAACAATATTCCACAGAAAATTGTAAATCTCCTCAGGAAAATTAAAAGTTCACACCTTTTTTTTTTAAACTCAACTTTGAGGGTAGAAACTATTTCAATACTTTTCCCCCAAGTCTTATAGTCACAAGTAGTGCAGCGAAGGCTGAAGTGGGTATTGTAACCAAACATTTGACTCACCGATCGGAAAAGAACCGACCCAACTATCAACAGATGATTTGGGGCTGTCAAATATATATTTTCTGGGGACTCTCGGCCAAACCGTCAGCATAAAACCCCTGAAGACAACAGTCCTCGCCACAACATGCGTGCTGTGGTCGTCCTCCGGTCGGAGCCAAACAGTAGTTACTGTGTAATGAGCGAGGCTCCAACTGGTCGTTGTTGAGCTGCAGTGGCGACGGGCCCTGCAGGCAAAGTTTGGGCAACGCAACTGCCAACAAATTAAGACTCGGGGTGAAAAATCTCTTCAAATGTTTCCTGGCAACAGAAATATTTCCAAGTGGTTAAAGCTGCAGTGCCGAGGCGACTTCTCTCTTTTCACGTGAAACGATAATTCCGATGCTTGTGTGCAGACCAACAGGGAGGTTTACGAGCCACGAAAATGTACGTTAACACTTGGGAAACACAATAAAGCTAATCTGAAATAATATTTTAATTCATGTCCTGGGTTGAACCTTTTCACAAAAAGTGAAACAAGAGCCCCACAAGAGGTCGCAGTACGATTATCAGGGCAACAAACAAAACGAGGATATTTTTGCCACACTGGGAACAAACGTTTCCGGTAGTTTTTCAATCTTTCACTGCTTTGTTCTTGTAAAAAAAACACTGTCTTCAGGGGTCTAATACTCAGGAAACAATAATTAACTGTGTTCAGACCAGCAGAGGTTTGTCACTTCAAAATGTACCTCACAGTTATCGTGAAAAACCTCAGCTTAAAGGTGCACTGCCTATTTGGGCGACACCTAGTGGTGGGCTGGCAGATTGCAACCAAGTGAATTTTCTCTTGTGTGCCAAACGTTTAGGAGGATCTAAAAGAACTACCCTGTCTAAGGCCCGTGTTTGTCCCTTCTGGGCTACTGTAGAAACATGGTACCTGTCTCTGTGAAAGGGAACAGCTCTGTATGTAGATAAAAAAAAAGTGTACTCCGTTTCAGGTCAGTATATATTCAAGAAAACCTTCTCAGTTCTATTCTTTATTTCTGCCCATGAAATGAAAAACTTTTCAGGTAACATGTTGCCTCATGTTACCCAAAATCTACCCGATTCCAATGGGTTCCATGCAGTGCGTATCTTAAATCTCTTAAAAAGTAGAAGTTGAAATGTACTATTTAACCTCAGAGATCCCTATTTGACGTATCACTAATGAAAACGCGGGATCGGTAAAGCCTAAAGTGTTCAACGTTTCGGTGGGACCGGACGACGACCTCGGGTGGCGAGTTGACTTGAACACCGGCCTTTGCATCCACGGACATGCAGGGCGAGCTGTGCACATTGCATGAGAATGCCAGCTGAGGACACAGTGATGCTCCGAAGATTTTAACTCTTGTCACCTTGTGAAGAACTGAACGCTGGTTTCACCCGCAGGTCACTTCCAGGCCCTGGGTCGCGGTAACCCAACAGAACGCCAGTACGGGGGCGGGAAATTAATAGGAGAGTGGATGTGAGGATACGAGGTGTGTGCGTGCGTGTGTCTGCGTGTGTGCAGTAAAAAGTGGGGGAGACGCAGGGAGGTGTGTATGTGGTGCCTGTTCAGTACACAGAGGTTGAGGTTTCTTTCCCAGATGGCAGCTGTTAACTTTACTCACACGCACAGCTGATTAGAAACACATTGAGTCTGGGGCCGCACGCACGCACCGAACGCACCCGCGAGCAGCGCCGCAGCCGGATATGCACACAAAGCACACAAAACAAACACGCAACAACAATATACTCGTGCTCGCATGCTTACACGTAGAGGCACGCACACGTTTCCCGTGCGAGCTCAAACGCACACTGAGCACATTTATGCACGCGGATGACGGCCCTCGGTACCGCACATGCAAGATGCAGCGCCACGCGCGCACGCACACACACACACACGCGCGCAAACACACGCAAGTTCCCATGCACCAGGCCGCAGAGACCTCCTCTATCTACCGTGTCCCTTTCCTTCAGTACATTAAATCGTCCAGGGAAGGAGTCTAACCAGGGCCGCTGCTGCTGGAGGGCTCCAGGCGCAGCGGCGCGCCCTCGCTCTCCTCCCCGGGAACGGAGCTCCGCGGCTCGGCCGTGCGCGCCGGGGACGGCCGGTGGCTGTGGCGCGGCAGCGGGTCCTCTTCGAACACCAACTTGAACTCGAACTCTCCCTCCTCCCAGCCGGAGCCCGGCGCGGCCCCCATCGACGAGGGGACCGGCGAGAGGGTGCGCGGAGAGCGGCTTTAACGTCCTGCGTGCGCCTCGGGGGTAAAGAAAATAAAAAATAAAAAATAAAAAGTTTCCCGGAGATATTCCCAAAACTTCTTTAAAAAAAGGAAGGCTTTCTCCTACGTGCGCGTCACAGTCGCCATCCTCTCGAGACGTTTGGATGTAAGTTCGGCAACTTTTCCCAGCTGTGTCCACACGATGAGGGCTACTTTTTCAGCCTGGATGCCTTTCGGTCCAAATCAGATCTCCGCTTCGGATATCTCACAATCTTTTCCGGAACGCGTCTCCCACAGAGACCCGGGCCCTTCATTCCAGCTCCATCGCCATCCCTCCGCTCGAGACGGAGAGAAGGGGGAGAAAAAAAAAAAGCTTATCAAATATTTTTTGTCGTCCTTTACCCTTAATTGCCTTTGGGTGGGTTTCCCAGCGCCGGTTGGTCCGTTACTCACTCCCCATAGGACCTTGTGCCTGTCAATCATGATCCCCCCCCCCCCCCCCCCCCGCCCAAACTCCAGCCTCCCTCCTCTCCCCCCTCCTCACTCCGAGGGTCCTCTTTTACTCAAACTCCCTTCACATTCACTTTAATAAACCCACACACGAACATCTCTGAACAACCTCCTTCTCATGAGCGCCCCCCCCCCCCCCACCCCCCATACACACGACCCCCCTCCTCCAAAATTAAGATTATCTCCATATCATCTGGAAAAAAAACAATGATTTTCTCACATTTGACCCCAAAACAGTGTGATGGCTGTTCACATCCGGAGACTCACGGCGGCCGTCATGGCCGTGATGTCGGTTAGAGGACATAAGCGGGCCTATTTCCTGTGGAGAGGAACCAGGCAGCCCCCCCTCCTCCCTCCTTTTCCCCTTTTCCTTTTTTTTTTCTCCCTTTACCCCACTCCTTCCTCTCCTCTCCCCACCGACTCCTCCTCGTCTCCCCCCTCCTCCCCCAAACCCTCTCTTCTCCCCTCCTCCCCCTCCCTCTTTTCCCCTGAAGATCTGTTTCTCATTATCCTCTGTAGTCTGCTCTCTGTCTGAGTCAGGAGACGAAAAACTTGGATAAACATCTTCTTTTGTCTCCCCCCTCCTCCTCCTCCTCCCCTCCCTGTGTCCCTCTCTCTCCTCCTCCCCCCATCTGATTTCTCACACCCATGGGGTACAACGAGGGGGCCGCTCCGGCTCTCGCCGTCAAGCCTCCTGGGGTGCGTTGGCCGGGCCTTGGGTCGCCGATCTCAAGATGCTGCGGACCGTTTGGAGAGAGGAAAAAGAGCTACGAGGAGGGGTTGATGCGATCTTTTTTCGGGAGGGGGGGGGAGGCAGAGCAGGATAACTCATGCCCCCCCCCCCCCGAATCCCTCAGGGGAACCATTGGGAATGATAGCGATATTAGGAAGTGTACATTTCCAAAACACCAGAAGCAGAAGTGAATCCAAAAGGGGTCTTGAGCGGTTTCTAATTAATAGTTAGAATAAGTAGCTACGCTAACTATTAGCTAGTAATGGATACTGGTCCAAGCGCTGTGTCACAGCCAGCGGCGCCAATGTATCCTCACCGAGGCTGATGTGCCTTGAAAAAGTATTTTTAACGCCCATCAGGGGTCGACTCTTCTGGTTGAAAATCAATCAAATCGTACAGAGGTCTGTGAGAGCGTTCCTTAGGGCGGCCCACCTGGCGGCCCACCTGGCGGCGCTGTCACAGTCCAGAGATCTAGACCTTTTGCCGGTTTGTATTTTGACTTTACTGAAATTGGATTTAATTCGCACCTCCTTCTCGCGTCACTTCTGGTTGCAAAACAAACCCGAGATGGCAACAAGTCTAAATGCAGAACTTAAGAGCATAAAAACGTCCGTCCACAAACCAACCGGGACATCAGGGTACGTCCACTTCTTGTACTCCAGTCTATGGTCCACATGGAGACAAAGTTCAACCCTGAAACCACATTGTGTTCTCTATTAAAATAATCTTGAGCTTTAAAGGGGGGGGGGGGCAGCGTTTCCCCTCTCTCCCTCCGTCCTAAAGTTGCAAATCATCAGTTAAGAAATCACTTTCCTCACGGAGAAAACAACTCAATTGCGTTTAGACGAAGGACCTTTTTGAAGAGGAGAAGGAGAACTTCAGTTAGCCGAAGGCAAAGATCGTCGTTGGGGTCGAAAATAACCGGAGTGCCTTCACTGAAGCACGCGACCAGCGTCCCTGAAAGATCACCGTTTGTCGGACCCTCTGCCCCGCGTTCATATGGACTTTATCGTCCAAACTTTGGTGGACAAACAAAATAACTTCCTGGGACAGAATTACAACGCGTCATTCTTCGCTTACGAGGCCCCGACTGCAGCTCCGGGGTCAACCTGCCGTAGAGGCCCCGACTACGCAGAACGTTTCAGACCAAACTCCTGCTGAGATGTCACGTGTTGCACCGGTTGCCTGGTTCTTACACGAGGTCGCGCAGCAACGAATACCGAGCCGACTGTCTGTACGCACACGAGAGCCTCTATATAAGTGGAAAGTTTTTTTCCAAGGGGGGGGGGGGGGGCGGCGGCGGCGGCTGGTAGATTGTTTAAAGGAGCGCTGGAAGGAGACGGATGAGTGCGGCGCACAGGAGGAACTGCTGAGTGTCAACTTCATGGGAGGAAAGGAACACGGAGGGAAGGATTCCTGCTGATGTGTTGCCATCATGTGGTGAAAGACGAGAGTCGCCTTCTGTAATCGTCCTAGAACGTCGGCTTCCGCGGCCTGAGGACGAGGATTTGAGATGTGAACACACGGAGGTTCTGAATCAGAGAGATTTATTGACCCATTGACTCAGTGGATTTAATTGCATACAAGCGGATGCGGGAAAACACTCAGTCAAACACTATGTAATTTTGAAATATATGTAAGAAAAACATAAATTCCCTGTAAAGAGAAATATTTAGAACGCTTACGTAATATTCTATTCGGTATTGATCAGCTAGTACAAAGTATTTACACATATGTTAGTATTTGTTCGTATTGATGGGGAAGGGAGGTCAGACAGTCAGTCTATGACATTTAACTGTTTGAAATTGCAGTTTTTACAGTTTAAAAAGGACTGTTTTTATTCAAGAGTCCTTTACCCAAATATTGAGATACTTCTGGTCTCCGTGAATTTCTGTTACTGTTTTCTGTTATAGTGTTAAATACAGAATTTGTACTCACAAGTTCTTGTTACAGCGTTTAAATGACATCACCTCACTTTTGGTGAACAATCATTTCAACAGTTTTTTTTTTAGTTTTAGTGACATCAAACTAGAAATAAAGGATGATGAATGTTCCCCCTTAAACTTCTTCTGTCACTAAATTACCATTCAAGGGATTACAAACATGCAACAGCGTCTCCGTGCTGACGCCGCATTAACCTGATGTCACTCGACATGATCACACCTTCCCCTGAGGGAGGAAGATTTCGAGCCTCGTCCATTTCCATCATTCCTGCCGTTGGGAACCTGTGTGGGCTGGTTGCATGTGTGTGCGGTGCACCGGTAGGCATGTTTGCACTTGTGATTCACCACATTCATGAAGCAGGAGGCTTTTGCAAGAGAGACCCATCCAAACGTCTCCTTTGCTTCAGATTACTCAACCCTTGAGTGAAACGTGCCCCCAGGACGCCCAAATGTGCATCATGACACTAAACCGTCAGCCAGGTCCCCGAGAACAACAGGTGCTAGTTGACCGTTGCACACAACGTTATTGCATGAAAACATTCCAGGAGATTATAGTCATACGTGGGGATGACACAGCAGTGAACACCCCTAGGGGGGGAGTGAGAGTGAGAGGGAGGACACACCTCTCCCCCCCCCATCCCCCCTGCCTCTCTCCAACCGCAGCATGTTGCAGCCTGAGTGGCCGGATGTGGTTGAGTTCATTATGGGCCGACGGAACCGAGACGGCGTTTAGAGGGCAGCGGCGACGGAGCGACCGGGTAATTCAAGCCGACGTTCGCCGCAGAGAGACGTCGAGGCCTGTGAAGGTTAGTCACGCGGGATCACTGGAAAACTGGATTTTGGACTTGTTATTGTAATTTTCCTTCCATCTAAAAGTGACAACCGTGGCTCGTTTGTTTCTTCAGCGACTCGTAGCGGTACAATCGTTTTAAAATTCTTTTAAAAATGTTTTCAGGCCTTTCTTTTTTTTAGAGACCAATCAGATAGAAATGGTCAGAAAACACATATTTGCTGTTTGTACTTTGCATCATTTTTATCGGTTTGTCCATTGCAACAGCACGTCCGTGTGATGTGTCTGCTGCAACATTGGGTTATAATTTAAAAATAGTTGTATTTTTACTAAAACTTTCTTGCAGTTTTCTCAAGAAATAAAAAAAAAATTGTATATCTGAGAATTGATGCTTTCACCTGAACGTGTTGTTCAGGTGAAATAAGAGTTTTTAGTGTTCATGCATCGCTGTTCTTAATGGCTGTCGGGGGGAAATAAAGCGTTTGCTTTACTGGGACCAGAGCAGGGAAATTAGGATTTAACCAGGAAACAATTGGACTTGATCTCTCACAGGGAGAAATGTCATTTTGCAGAGATCTTATCTTTCCTCTTTTTCATCTGCCTGCCTCACGTTTACATATTCTATTCAGCATATTAGTGTACGATGACAGTCGGGGACGATCAGAGACACACCGTTATGGTTTTTCCTTCAAGGTCAATGCTGTGTGATCTCTGAAGGTCACTGGCATCCCTGCGAAAGAAGAGCGAGAAACTAAGATATAAGAAAAGAAGAAAAAAAAAAAGGGCACAGAGACTGTGTCGAATCCCGCTGATCTGTGACGCACGAGCGCTATAAAACTCGGCGTGTTTAGCACGCTGCTCGGAGTTTGAGCCCCACGATTGGCCGCATTGTTTAATGGGAATATTTCAGAGTCTGCATCGGGGGGGGCGGGGTTCTGAAAACCGCTTTAGGCACAATCATGTGCAGACGAAAGAGCCAAATCACACTTTCCATCGTTTGTCAATGCGGTTTCATTTCATCCTGCAGATTTAGACAATTTCTCTTTTAAGTTCTTTGTCATTTCACGTTTGTCTGTTGAACTATTTTGGAAAACACATCACGGTTAGACTGAAAACACTAAATGAGCAACGTTAGATGAGCATGGAGTCTCATTGGAGTATCAACCACTAACTCTGGGACACAAACAGCTGTGTGTCAGGTTGAAAGTCCTGTGTTTGTTGAACATAAACACCTCTCCTGGAGTGTGAAGAATCTTCTCACTCCCAGAGAGAGTATGAGCCTGGTGTGTCTCATACAGACGACAAAGGGCCCCTCGTGAGCCGGCATCGTATGAAGCGTTGGTATTCGACTGCTTGTTCAGGTTCCGACTTTGTCTCTTTGTCTCCTCAGGGTCAAAAAACCTCCGTCCAGCATGACCAACTCCGTCAGCTCCTTCCTCACCTCCGCCCCCAATGACACGAACGTGGAAAATGACAGCGTGGTGAGCAACGACTTCTCCACCACCCTGGGCGCCCTCATCCTCGGCTTGGTCTTCCTCGTGGGCGTCCCCGGCAACGTCTTCATCGTCTGGAGCATCCTGGCTCGCACCCGACGACGCTCGGTCACCACCCTCCTCATCCTCAACCTGGCGTTCGCCGACGGCTCGCTCATGGCCATCACCGTCTTCTTCATCGTCTACCTGGCCAAGCAGTCGTGGGTCTTCGGCGACGTCATGTGCAAAGGCCTGTTCTACCTGTGCAACACCAACATGTACGCCTCCATCTTCCTGATCGTGCTGATGAGCGTGCACAGGTTCGTGGCGGTGGTGCTGCCGAGGAGGACGTCCTCCCTCATCACCATGAAGGTCGTGAGGAGGGTGATCGTGGGCACGTGGGTGTTGGTGATGGTCATTTCCATCCCCTCGCTGGTGTTTCGCGACGTCAGGGAGGACCACGACGAGAACAACAAAACAAGACACGTGTGCGCGCCCAATCACACGCTGCCTCGACACGTGAGTGGACCGCGGCGGCGGCGGCGGCTTTCATCGTTAATCAGATCTTTCATTTTTCAAGCACAGACTCGATTTTAAATACTTCCGTCATGTCCACAGAAGCAGGTGTGATGATTATTCGTGTCCTCTCGCCTGCAGGTGAGGTTCCAGTACGCCTTTGAGACGGTGGCGGGATTCATCCTCCCGTACGCCGTCATCATCACGTGCTACGTGCTCATCCTGAGGCGCCTCAGGCAGACCAAGTTCCGCAGAAAGGTGCGCAGCGAGAACCTCATCCTGGCCATCGTGGTGACGTTCGGCCTTTTCTGGCTGCCGTACCACGTCATCAACATGATGCAGGTGCGCCAGGTGTTGCTCCTCACGTTTCTTGTGATGTTTCGTGCGATCTGTTGAATGAACGACGGGTGTGTTTCGGTCCAAGGTGGCGGCTGAGTGGTACGACAAGGATTCTCCCAAAAGACAGAGGTGAGCGACAAGATTACACAAGTTTTCATATTTAGTCCAACGGATTCTGTCAATGCTTCCTGGATTTTACGTTTTTAAATTGGGGGTCTGAGTCGTTTTGGTTTTTCCCGCAGATTGGACCACATCACTCAGTCCAGTCGGGTGGTGACCTCGGCTTTGGCCTTCATCAGCAGCTGCGCCAACCCCATCCTCTACACCTTCGCCGGGAAGTCCTACATCAAGCAGAGCGGCTTCGCCTTCATGGCTCGGCTCTTTGAGGGCACGTCACTGGACCAGGCTGCGACAAAGAAGGGCAAAGACGCCGTTGGACTCACTACCGTTGACTCGACAAGCGGCTCAGGTCCTGGAATCCACATTACGCCCAACGGGAGTTGAGCACTTTGACTTTGTGCACGGGTGAAAAATCTGTAGGAACACAGGTGGAGCTTGTAGATTGTTTTAAATGCAAAACCTGAGAAAATATTTTGTAGTTTGTGGATCGTGTTGAAAAGTTGACTGGACAGCTGTACAGGGACAACACATCCGTTTAAAACCTGTAGCGTTACCAGGACTGAACTTTGTTCGGTCAGTTACAGAACATTCACTTCTAAAAATGTTTAAGCAATTTGGTCAACTACTTAAATTTTGACTGCTTGAGACTCAAACCAGCTGTACAGATTTCTAAAAATCAAATGAGCAAATTATTTGTAAACTTGAATTTGAAGTTTACGGAGTTAGTAGAAATGTTTGTACAAGGCGTCAAGTCTCCATTTTATTTCGTCATGACAGCATTTCACAATGAGTTCAAATGGATTTACCCCAACCTGAATCTGTCGTCACGCAGCCTTCTTGGGAAAATGGCTTCCAAAGCTGGAAAAGATCCAGCTTTGTTAAATTAAAAGGTTACCTGCTTAGTCTACAGCAGTGGTCCAACCACAGAACGCTTACATTTCTGGAAAATGTTTTATTTGGAAAAATTACCAGACTTTCGCCTAATTACGTGCGCTCGTCCCTCTGACAGATTCCCCACGACGTTTTTCTTGTCCTTTTACCGTGCACGGCAGTTTCGCCGACCAGCGAACACAGCACACGACTACTATCCCCCCCCCCCGTTGATCGTTCTGCCACCGCCTGTCGGACCGTCAACCGGTCCGTGAGGTAAAGGTTGGGGACCACTGGTCTACAGTAGTTTTTGTAAACCCATGGGTCATCATCCAGACCCCCACCCATAAACGCCCCTTTTAAAAACAGCTGAATGAGAATATCTAAAAGCTCGAAATGACAGCAAAGAAAACACAATTTAAGTAAATTTGCTTTATTCAGCAGTGAAAAGTAAGTTTCACAACAAAGCTGTTAAAGACATTTGATACACAGCAAACGACAACGTAAACACAAACTCTATAAAGTGGGTGATCCGTGGACTGTTAGGGGAACCTTCCAGTTACCTGTAAACACAAAAAGGGAAGCAGATATGTAAAAAAATAAGTTAAACAACCAAAAGTAGTCAGCCAGCGGTGCTTTTCAATCAGAATTAAGTTACCGCAAAGATCACAGACAGACAATAGCTGCAGGAGATAATTTTTCCAAAGCTAAACATTCACTATATTATCAAGTGTCTATACGGTGTATTGTTCTGCTGCACCCTTACGCATTACTAAAATAAAACTGGTTTTGTCTGGCATGCAGAATCAAATAAATCTTTATATGATGCACACAGACAGATTAAGGCAATCTGAACAGAGCCACTTGTACGGCAACTGCAAACCCCAAAACATGTTAATGCAGAGATGTGGTTTTTAATTTGCAATTTGACCTACAGAGACCCAGTAAACTGAACGTATTAACATTAAGTGTGAATCATTGTACACAAGGAGATACTGACCTCATCGAGACAGCCAAAGTCCAGGCTTTTCGTTCCTAAAACAAAAATAATAAAAAGGTTAGTTTCTGCTTTGAAACCAGTGAGCTTCCTCCCTGCGTCGGTTCTTCAAACCCATCAGTGCAGTGAAAGAGTAATCATGAGTTTCAGCTGAAACACGGACTCACATGCAAATCATCATTGATGTTTGAAGGTTTAAAAGTGGCTTGGAGATGTAAATAAAAGAGATCAAATTACGTTCTAAACGACTACAGTTACCGGTTCATGCGTTAAACTAGAATAGTACCAATGATGCAAGGTTCGGAATAAAAACGTACGAGTTTACCCAACTTCATAAACCTTAAACACGTGGACAACGCTGAAGTCTGCATGAATTGCGCTAAAGAAATTCCACAGTTGATGAAAGTTTAACAAAATAAACCATGATTATCTACAACAGTACGGTTAGATTAATCGCAGAATCAATGAGGGCCAAACTCTGCTCAGAACCACAGACCACGTGGTCGGTTTGGAAACGAACTTACTGAAGCCACAACGCTAACAACAACGACAAAAACTGCGAAGCATCGACTTGACATGACGGTAAGACCAGCAATTCCAAAATGAAATGTAAATGCGTACCAATAGCGAGGGTTTGGGCCTCGGGTTCTGCCTCTCTGCCACGGCCCATCCTTCTCGGTTCACCGCAACGAGGAAGAGAGGCTGGCACAGAGGCTGCGGCGCCTTTTATGTCCTCATCAAAACCACGTGGTCACTGGGCGGGAACAGGCAGCTTCCGGGTGTGACGCGGTGGGCTTAAAAAAAAAGAGCCAGAATTAGAGATTAAAGAACACATGTTTACATAAATTATGAACGGCGTATTGTTTTTAATGCACAGGGCATATCTTCATTACTATTAATAATATTATTTAATAAAATCAACAAGCATTATGTGTTTGAGCAGGGAGCTATATAAATGATTGAATCCTGATATATATTGTATTTTTTGTATTTTTCTCTTTCTCTTTCAACCTTATATTGTGTGTGTGTATGTTTTGGTCTTTGGTTATTATTTGCAGCTGATATTTCGTTCTTTTCTTGAAGCCAGTAACCACATGCGTTTACAAATGAGTGTGTGAAGTTTTCCAATAAAAATATTATATTTACACAAAAGTGTATCATAATATTGAATGATTCTAGCAACAAAATATTTAACCCCGTTGTGAACACAAATACATTTTTTCTCATTTTAACTGACCCATATAACTCACATATTTACCAGGATTTAACCACGAGAATCAGAATCAGACACAGAATCCCTGTTATTGCTTGATATGATTATGGTTTTCTTTTTGGTCTCACGTGCATACAATAATAGTAATAACAAACAAGAAAATGGATATTAAAAAAGAACAACAAGAACAACAAACGTTGTAAGCGTAAACATTACACAACATTTAACTGTACCAACAATCCTGGAGCTAAAGATCCAAGTAAATTCATTCAACAATCTCCCCAATGTTACATCCACCAGATGTAAACTGTATCAAGGATCTTAATTCTGTTGAGTTAAACTTAAATCAAACTTATGCATTAGCTTGAAGTTGTTATTAACTCATTAACATGTCATCCACCCATCAGTAGGTACATATTAAAAGATGTGTGCAATAAGATGAATGAATCCTGTTCTTATTTTTAAAGTTAAATTCGGTTCTGTTAACTTCTAAGGGGCGTTTCAGCCTGTCTACGGAAATCCCGTTGGTCCAAAACCAAAAGGCAAGAAAGAATTCCCACAGTCACTATTCATAGTGGTACAGTCATTAGCAAAGGTTCTAACCTGCACCAACGTTACGTTGTTTAATTCAACACCGGACGACACGCCAACGACCATGAGGGTATTGATAGGTGTGTACGCTATTTATTACTATCAATAAACTTTATTAACATCTTTTTGGAAAGGTCAACGTGACATAACGCTATCAGCTAGCTGCTAGCTACCGTTAGCATTGCAGAGACATTGAACAGCTAAGTTAACGTTAGACATCGGGGAACTTCCCAAGTCAGTTATGTGTTCTTAATGTTCGTACAGACAATGCTAGTTTGCAAAGCGTGCATGTTATATGACTAAATATAGAACTGTCATTGTGTTTATTGTCATCTAAAGCTTGCGAAAGTCCTGTTTTGTAAGCATGTGTAGTACGCATGCGCAGTCAGCACCATTCTGACTCTTGTTACAATACTAAATTGATTGCATCCATTACATTTTGCATTGAGTAACTTACATCATAGTGCAGCAACATTAATGACATTATATTAAAAAAAACTTGTTTCCTCTCATCCACGTGCATTAAAACTGGTAACGGAATAATGGATTCCGTCTGCATATTCTGTTCTTCTATTGTCATTATGAGCATTTCTTTCCATTTTCTAACTTGCAGGAGGAGGATCTGGCTTTGTGGGCCGTGAGCTGACTCGCCTGCTGAGACACAAAGGTCATGAAGTCACGGTGATATCCCGCCAGCCTGGTCCGGGGAAGATAACATGGGTATGACCTCAGGACCAGGCAGAATTGTAGTGACATCGTGGAACTCCTGATTCATGACGTCATTTATTTGGTTTAAAGCAGTTCCCCTTTTTTACTGCATTGCAGATAACTGTACTTTATGTAAATCCAGACTCGTTCATAAACTTATTTTCCGTCTGTGCTTCTATACAGGCTGAGTTGGAGTCGCACGGCCTCCCACCGTGCGACGGCGCCGTCAACTTGGCTGGAGAGAATCTGATGAACCCACTGAGATGGTGAGCGTGCAAGTCAGGCCTTCAGCAGGCGACTACTAACTCCTGTTGGTAATATAAATACGTGTCATTTTATTTGGTTTCAGGTGGAATGAAAGCTATAAAAAGGATTTGTTCTCCAGTCGTATCGATACAACAAAATCAATGGCTCAAGCCATTGCTGCTTCCTCCAGTCCTCCTCACTCCTGGGTCCTGGTATCAGGTGTAGGTAAGTGTCCCGATAACACAACTTGTGATCTCCTGCCGGTATTAAGTCGGATAACTTCCGCTGTGACACTCATGACCTTCCTCGTTTCACCTGCAGCTTGTTACAAGCCCAGTCTGACAGCGGAGTACACAGAAGACAGTGAATGGACTCCATTCGACGTTCTCTCCCAACTGGTGAAAGAGTGGGAGGCCTCGGCACTTCTTCCTGAGGGTGTGACCAAAAACACCAAACAAGTCGTCATCAGGTCGGGTACGTAAAGACCCACATTTCCCTCGAAAGTCGCGTTAGGAAAAATCCCGTCAATTTAGAGTCCAGTAAATGAAGCGCATCTCACACACAACACGTGTGTTTGTGTCATGATTTGATCCAAAGACAATAACAATGAGAAAGACGGCGCACTTTAACAAAAATTATGCTTTTCTTCTGAATTTGATACTTTTATGTCTTCAATTTATTTTGGAATACATTTACTTGCAGTGTAATAAACATCCTTTTTAACTCCTCGTTATTTTAAACAGAGATTATATACTTTCAATGTACACTGGACTCAAATAAAGAACTTATGTCGACGTACTCTGCGTTAAACCTGATTCCTTCCCTCCACCAGGGGCAGTATTGGGCCGCGATGGTGGCGCCATGAAGCAGATGCTGCTCCCCTTCTGGCTCGGCCTCGGGGGCACCCTGGGGTCAGGAGCGCAGCCGTTTCCCTGGATCCACGTCTCAGACCTGGCGGGCATCATCGCCAAGAGCCTGGAGCCCCCCGCCGCGCCCCCCCCGCCCTCGCCGCAGGTGCTCAACGGGGTCGCCCCCGCGCTGAGCACCAACCTCGAGTTCACCAAAGAACTGGGCCGGGTCCTGAGGAGGCCGACCGTTTTGCCCGTGCCCGGCTTCGTGATGAACGCCGTGATGGGCTCCGAGAGGGCGGTGGTGCTCCTGCAGGGCCAGAAGGTCGTCCCCAAGAGGACTCAAGAGGCCGGATTTGTGTACACGTACCCGGACTTGACCTCGGCCCTGAAGGAGATCGTTGGGAGTTAACAGACGTCGGAAGAACGTGTGCCGACGGCCGAGTTTCTGTAGTTGTGTGTTCATATTTACGGGCTTAGGAGACTTTTAACAAATGTGACGGCCCACATGGATCGTTGAGCAGCTGCAGATATATATATATATATATATATATATATATAGTAATCGGTCTGAGGAGTGTTTGTCATTGTTTCCCGTTTAGCTGCTTTTGCTCTTTTCTTTCACACAAACTCAAACGAGAGCAAACGTGCAAAACAAGTGGTGCTTTTTTTCAATAAAAGAGATGATATTTATGAACTTTTAAGGCAACAAGGAGGAGGAAATGTCTTATGCTCCGTCTTGTGACTTTTTAAGTATCACATTACAGTCCAGAAGGCAGCATACGTGTTGCAAGAAATGGAAAATCAAAATAAAGCTGGTTAAAGAACTTATGTTACGACTTTTTATTGGAGTGATCAGAGGTTGACAAATTAGTATCTTAACAGTTCTGCTGAATTAAAAACGACGCCGAGTGGGCAGTTTTTACGGCGTCTCAAAAGTCCACATAAATGTCTCTTTATCGTTGAATCGTCACTCTGAATCACTCTGGTCGTCGTCGCCTCTCGGCGCGGTGGGAAGTTGATCTCCCCAGTCGCTGCTCCGGGCGCAGCGGTACACGTCCCTGATGGAAGAAAACAAACGCGCTCAGTCACGCTGAGATCACTGAGCTCATCGGATAATACCTCTAACAATACTAAAATATGCCGCACATGCATCATAGACGGGGTACGAAACACCTTCTACGCGCTGTAATGCCGCTGAGCTGTTACCGGCTGTGCTTTCGCGCCGTCACCACCAGGTGCTGCAGTCGCCCGTCGGAGCAGCAGGCGCGGCAGTGGACGTGTCGCGTCCTGCGCTGCACCGGTGCGATCAGCCTGGCCCAGTCCGCGCCGTCCGCCTGCGCCGGCCGCGCGCGAGTCAGGATGAGGTAGCTGAACTTCTCCGTCTGCCGCTCCTTGTGCTGGAAAGGAATCATTTAATAAATAAGTGGAACGTGTCCAGGATCTGCTGCCTGTTAGTAGCGGCTCTGTTAGTAACTTCTGCGACGTATCCGGTAATTCCCGTTAACCAGTGAGTCTTACAGAGGAAAGTGAGCAGTGAGTAGTTTGTCTGACAGGTTGAGCTTCTTACCCCCGGTAGAGGCAGAGGGTGGTACATCTGCTGGAAGTTGCAGGGTGCGGTGGGTCCGACGGTCAGTTTAGGACATGACAGGTCGTGAGGACACTGCAGAAAGAAGCCGATTGAGAGAAGAAGAGCGCGACACGGCTGCTAGAAAGTACAATCCTGAAAAGCAGCTGGGATGGAGACGTACCGGAGCGAACACCGACGCTGGCCTGCTGTCATGCACCGTCTTATCTAGTTTCTGGACAAAAGGGCAAGTTATTCGCCTGCTTTCATCGACCGCGTCGAATCGTTTACCCAACAGCACCGGACACAATCCTGCGGTGTTTCCGTACCTTTAATACAGCGTCTCTGGCCTCCATGAGCATCTGGTGGCCTTCTTTAGTCCCATTTTCCACCAGAACCTACACAAAGAAATGCAATTACATGAAACGAGAGGCGACTACAATGGCTAAAAGTAAATGGAAAGAAAGTGCACGACTTCTCTCCGTGATGCTTTGTGCTTTGAACCCACCAGGTACGAGCCCGTCTTTCTCCACAGAGTCAGCACCGCCTCTTCGCGGTCCTTCACGCTCAGGAGCTCCGACAGGGTGAAGGCCGCCGCCACCAAGTCAAACTGCACCTGGAGGGAGAGACGGAGCACCGTCACGGCTGCTCGCCCGCCGAGCTTTGACGAGAAGTCGCTCCTTGGGTACAAAAAGATGTCAGAGAGAAATACGAGCGTAGAGGCTTTTACCTTAGGGGAGACGGGGAGGAACTGTCTGAAATAGACTTGTTTGATGTGAGGTTCAGCTCTTTCTTCATCGCCTGCTCAGCATTAAAAAAAAAGACGTTAGATTCTCCGATAACAATGTTAAAAGTAAAGCGGATTTCCGCATGTTGACCTTTAAGAAGTCGTTCAGCCAGGACGTTCATGGGCCCGGAGCTGTCCACACACACCATCTCCTTCAAAGTGTCGCCCCAGCACGAGTGCGACGCCCTGCGGGAGGAACCCAGAGACTCGGTTCGCGCTGGAGGGATTCAAATGCGAGCGATTCAAACGGGGCATCGGTTTGTATTTTCACCAACCAGACAACTGTTCCCAGCCCCGATCCAAAGTCCAGGAGAGACTTGGGGGCAAAAGAGGGATCCCGCTTTTTGATCTGAAACGATGAAACGGATACGTAGGACAAAGTAGGTCGCCTGATGCATTCAGGGTCATAATCCTCAGTAATAAGGACTTTTATTTGGTAATTGGCGTCAGTTAGTCGGAGACCTCCTCCGCTTTGTTCATTACTTCATTTATAGCTCTCCTCACTGCGGCGTAGCCCCCGGCCAGCCGAGCCGCCATGTAGACCACGGCTAACTCTTCATCATACCTGAAACACACACAGAGAGAAAATTAAGTTTCAATCTTCTCCACAAATATCATTTAAATATATATTTCTAGCAAAGAAGGAGATAAAAGTAGCTGTTTACTTCATGGGAGTCCAGTGATATGTCGTTTTTCTCAGCTCTGAAAACACTTTCTTCCTGATGCGTTCTTCCAGTAACTGTTCATCCATATCTGAAACACAAAGCGCATTTTCCTCCAGTTGCTGCTTCGTTTGACGTATTCTTTTGTTCACGCGTCACCCACCTCCTCTCTTCTCCTTGGCTTCATCCCACAGTTCTTTCTCCAGGCTCACAGCTTTCCGCCTCAGCGTCCAATCCTCGACGGCTCTTTTTCTGCTCCACAGGAAGTTGGCGAGGGTTCGCGAGCGGTCGGTCAGCTGAGTCACCGGAGCTCCTACGGGCGGACAGGTGGGAGAGTCCCACGGTGAGGCCACACAGAGACACTCGCCACGACAGCCGACACGACATTCACGGTTCAAGCCTACTGTTGATGATCGTCCGTGCGGCCGCCTGGAGTTCGTCGGGCAGGCGCAGGGTTTTCAGGTTGGTCACACCCGGGTGCTTCCTGTGTGGTTCTCCGCTCAGGAAATCCCCCTGGGACTGTGCGCCTGCCGCCGCGCTCATTCCCTGGGGATGAGGGATAAACGCGAATGTTTATTCACCACCGCTTTAAGCTCTAGTAAGTTAACGGTAACTTCTCTGCATCTGTTCTAATATGCAAAACATAATTATAGCTTCAGAGACAATATTTGGGGATTTGATTTAAATCTGCAGTCAATCCATAATAATAATCGTGTAATACTAATAATAGGCTCATGTGTGAAACATTATGATAAAATCTCATAGTAAGTACATATAAATACATATAAAGTATGTGAGAATAATAGTCAAATCAACAACTAAACACAATCCAGAAAAGCATTAAAAGGAAAAACTCTCTATTCTCACTCTCTATTCTATCTAACTTATCTTCAGAAAGAAACTGCATTAAAACAGGAGCCTCAAGGAATGCGATTAGTAATAATACATGTTATATGTATATGAATACGATCATTTCTCCTCTGTAAACCAAGCTGTGAGGAATGAACTCTATTTATTAATCTCAGCCCTGTTCTAATGAGTTGTTCTGTGACCTCCATAGTAAAGATGATGCATTCAATGACACCCGTGAACGCGCTCACCCTGCTGCTTATCTTCACCGCCGCCCTCCTACAGAGGACACACGCGCCAAAGCTCGCGGAAGCCATTTCTTACGTCGCGTCGTCGGGGACTTCTAGCGTGAAAATGGCTTTAATCTTTGCACATTTCGACCCGCACGGAGACACGTTACCGTCGTCTCGTGAATCCTTCAACAAAATAATTCCGACTATCTTTGAGGCGGAACCTTTTGTGCCAGAATTCTGTTCCGCGCGGTGAAGTTGCATACAGGAGTTCTCACTCCGTCGTTGTTTCTGACTTACTTAGGTCACTTTTCCAAAAAAACATATTCACTTTAGCCCAAATAATTGAAAACTAATAATGTTACGGGAACTTATGGACTATTGCTGTGCTATTTTGTGGAGGGTCGACGGTTGTGCGCGCATAGTTGCGACGGCAACGAAATAAGTACGCGCATGCGTCAATCATAGGATTTGGTTTTAAGCGCGAAGTGGCTCATCTTCATGCTAAACGATCTTTGGCGACACCGGCAGGGAAACAGTGGCGGGGAAAGTTTTCCGCCTCCTCTTTGTTGTCACTCCATTATTGTAGCCAAGCTACGTTCCCACCGCTGCTTATTTATCGAAAAACCACCATGAGGCGCACTAGAAGTTCGAGAAATAAAAGTCAGAGTGCACAAGAAACTGAAGAGGTCTTGCCAAAAGCAGGTTGGTGCTTGTTAGCCGTCGGAAGCTAACGCTAGCATGTCCGGCGAGTTGGGGAGTTATTGTCACGCTAAGGCTGTGTTGTTGTTGTTGTTGCGACAACAACACAATGGTTGTGTGGTAAACCACCGAGTTGTTCCTTCTTTACCAGTTACAAGTTGACCATGTTCGCAAAACATGTAAACCCCAACCATTATAGCACAAACCTGAAGGTCTTGGATGAGCATGGATGGGTCTCACAGTTATTACGTCACAACTGGTTATAATCAACTAACGTTACAACGCTCATGCAATACGTCACGCAGGATAATATAATAATAAGTAAATAAGGAGATGTGGGATGTTGATTGTCAGTTTTGGAGGCTGTAGTTTGTGGTGCAGTAGAATCAGCTGATTTGTATTTTAAGGCATCTCACACTTTAAACATTTGCTTATAATATTTTTATAAAGGGACATATTGTTGGGAAAACATGACTTTATCAGACAAATATCAGTCAATACTTTGGGGAGATGATACCAGACTGTATTGATTTGGTAATACATTTATGCTTCTATTAAAATTCTTCTATGGTTTTGCTCGAGGTTGACGATATTTTTTTTAAATTAAGGACTTTTTCACATATTTTGTTCTTCAAAGGGGCGTTTTTAAATATATCCATATAAACATAGAACATTTTATTTTCATAAATGTTGTCATTCCCAACTTTTTAAAAAATTGATACGGTTGATCTGTTAGTTGTAATCTGTAATGTTGGTTCCTCGCACCGTCATTAGACATTAGAAATGATTTAGTACAAATATCTCTGTTATCCAAACATTAATTTTAAGTTCTATACATCATTCTGTGTGTGTGTGTCTCAGTGTGGCAGTGGGAGGGAGATGAAGGACAATGGGAGCCGTACTCGCCTGCACTCTGCGCCTTGTTGGACTCTGCCGTGTCTTCGGGAGACGCTGCTGTCTCTCTGCCTCTGGGCTCCGGGACGAGCTACGAAGTCGACCTGAAGAAGATGGTCCAGATTAATCCCGTCACCAAGTACAAGAGGAAGATTCGCTCTCAGACGGTAAAACCAGGTGTGTGTGTGTGAGTCATGTTATATCGGTCTGTAATTTCGCTATCATTGTTCATTATTTAGCATTATGTAAAAAACTTTGTCTTGTTGACTTTTCAGTGTCTTATAGTTTTCTCAGTATCCAACAAAGAAAAAGAAAAACAATCCTTTGACTATTTCACATTGCCTCAACTGCTTTTTAATTATGTTTTCACTTCTTAAATCACTGAAGTTATTTATTGTGTTTCTTCCGTCGCCTCCCTTTGTTCAGAAAGTTTGGCCGAGGCAGGTGAGTTGGCTGCTCAAAACAGTTCAGCTCCACTCAAAGAGGAAGAGACGGAGAAGCAGCCTGCAGCCAAGAGGAAGAGAGCGCAGAGCAAGAGTCAGACTAAAACCGAGGAGATGCCCAAAGAAGAAATAAAGAGTGAAGGTAAAGTGGATTTTATTGCCATATGTGTTGCATACGAAACATGAGAAATAGGACTTTAAAGCTGCAGAGTAGCCTTCAAAGCGCAGTAGCTATGGCAACGTTATCAAGTGGTCTTTTTTTTGGGGGGTGGGTTTATACGTGGTTTTAACTGGGACCTCATTAATGTTTTTTGTCTTGGGATGCTGAACAGAGGTCGTGAGGACGGTGATCATGAAGGGAAAAGCCCCAGTGGACCCTGAATGTAAAGCTAAGCTGGGAAAGGTAAAGTAGACTCGCGTCTTAAAACCGGCTAAAACTCAACATTGTTCTATTACTGTGGTTGTTACATACAGAGCTAATGTGACATGTTGGATTCTCAGTGAGTTTTATTTCAGCAGTTTATCGCTGGTAAATAACAAAGGTATCTAATATGTTCATGTTCTTGCTGTTGTGATTTAATGAGTAATCATTATAAAGGACATGTTCTTATATAAATAATAAACCAGTTTAAGGACAATAAATCACCCTCATTCATATAAGTAACTGTTCATTTTTCTCTTCCAGGCTCATGTCTACAGTGAAGGAAATAATGTTTACGACGTGATGCTCAATCAGGTAAAACATGTTTTTTGCCCAACTCAAAGTTGGAAGTGCTCTTTGTTTGAAAAATGTAAACGCTTCAGTGTCCATTTCTGTAAAAGATGGAAAAACACATGTGATTCTTCACTCTACAACAACTTTCTTTCCCATATTTGATCGGTGGGAAAGTGAACGGATTCCTAAGGCTTTCGCTCTCATTCTTCAGACAAATCTTCAGTTTAACAACAACAAATATTACCTGATCCAGCTGCTGCAGGACGACAGCTCCAAGGCGTACAGCGTGTGGTCGCGATGGGGCCGGGGTGAGTTCACGTGCCCGTGATTCCTAACGTGTGAATGTCTGCATTTCTGCAGCTTGGAACTAACTGGTCTTTATTCTGTTCATGTCGGATTCTTTATTGTTTTGTCCTTAGTGGGAAAGGTGGGTCAGAGCAATCTGGCACCTTGTGGGGGAGACCTGCTGAAAGCCAAAGATGTCTTCAAGAAGAAGTAAGATTGTGCTGATGGAAAAATGTTTCCAAATCTTTGACATTGACGCGAGTTTAGTAAAATTCTTGTTTGTTTCGCCACAGATTTTTAGACAAGACCAAGAACGATTGGGAACACCGAGCGAGTTTTGAGAAAGTACCTGGAAAATATGACATGGTGTTCATGGACTACAGCACGAGCAAAAAGGCAAAGAACCAACAACTTTTTCATCCATTCATCCTCTTCCACAGTTTTCATTGTATTGATATATTTCCGTTGTATTATGACGGTTGCAGGAGGAGAACCAGACCGCTGTTGATGCTGCACCCAAAAAGAGGACCTGCAAGCTGGATGTGAAGGTCCAGTCGCTCCTGGAGCTGATCTGTGACATCAAAGCTATGGAGGAGTGTGTGCTGGAGATGAAGTTTGACACCCGGAAAGCTCCTCTCGGTCGGTCCCGCTAAAATATTCCCATTAGTCAACTTCATGGTAACGAGTCTATATACTACCGTTAGTCATTCACATTGCTCTTTTTTTTAATCCAAAAATAAAACCGGACCAAGCGAGTACATTCCACAGGTGAGAAACAGGTATTTTTTCAATTTTAAAATATCATATTTGTCCTCTTACTTGCAGGCAAGCTGACCACAGAGCAGATCCGCGCAGGCTACGCGGCGCTGAAGAACATCGAGGAGTGCTTAAAGAAGAAGGGCAACGGTCGGGATCTGCTGGAAGCGTGCAACCAGTTCTACACCCGCATCCCTCACGACTTTGGGTACAGGAAACGTCTCGATGTCTAAAGTGATTTCTCTTTGATCTCTGTCGATGTAACTAAAAGATGTCATTCTCCAGGTTGAAAACGCCTCCAATTATTCACACGGAAGATGAGCTTAAGGAAAAAATTTCACTTTTGGAGGTAAATGGGAACAATTTTTTATAGTTATTAACTCTGACTACAATTTGTCTGTTTACGTCTTGACTTTTCTACATATATTTGTTGGTCTTATTTCTTCTTCTTTTAGGCTCTGAGTGACATTCAGATAGCTGTGAAAATGGTCCAGTCCAGTAAAGACGGTGACGAACACCCTCTGGACAGACAGTACTGCTCCCTTCAATGCCAGATGCAGCCTCTGGACTCCGGCAGCCACGAGTACAAGGTCCGTGTTTCACTACTCAGAACGGCTGCAGTGATGCTGGGGTGAACATAATGGATGCAGGATTCCTGCGGGGTGTTTAATATTAAGTCGAGCCACAGAAACTGTGTCATAGCAGTCGAGTTAGAGCAGCCGGGACGGAGGGGTTCAAGTCTGTCAAAAGCGCTCCGTTGGCCCCATGGTGTGACATATATCTCACATCATCATATTCATAACATCCTAACATTATGTTTAACTCATTTTATATGGTTTACACGGTTGACACAGAGCCCTTCAATGTGCACACATGCAATGTGTGTTCAATTCATAATACAGGAATCATTCTACTGTAATGATATAATGTATAATAACACACATACTATTCTAAACTATACTAATTCTACCACTAGTCATGATCCGATATATTATTACAATTAATCGCACATTTTGAAATTACTTAATCTCGATTAATGGCGATTAATGAATGTTACAATGTTGTTTATAATGAATGTTTGTTTTTCTTCTAAATATTAAAAATAATGAGTAATCACTTTGGAAAGTGTGTATTTTAGACACTTAGCAGCTAGCTTAACATAGCAATTCCCTTGGAGTAATGGAGTAATTCCTCTGCACAGTTCTCTGCTGTACGTCACACCACTGTTTTACTTCTAATGCGAAAAGCTCTCTCCACCTTGATGTAACTGACTGCAGCTAGCGGCCGTTTCGTTTCACCGGTCAACTTCCAGTAACCGGAAGTAAACAAACAAACGTTAACGACGTTAAAATATTTTGTTGCATTAATCTAGGCCACATTAATCGCATAGATTAACGCGAATAATGTTGACAGCCCTAATTATAATTTATACCGCTAAGCGGGATTTTCTCCTTGAAAACAGTGTATATGATGGGAAAAAAACTTTAAAAATAATAGCGTTCTAAATAAAATTGAAATATATATATAAAAAAATAAGTAATTCACACAGACGATCCGAGCCCTTGTTTGGGCGTCACCCACAACACAAAACCCTTGCAAGCGATTCAGGCTGTGTGGATTCCTCCTCATTGCTCCTTTCTCCGTTCGAAGGTGATAGAAAAGTATCTCCATTCCACTCACGCCTCCACGCACTGTGACTACACCATGACCCTCCTCGATATCTTCTCAGTGGACCGACAAGGGGAGAGGAACAACTTCCTGTCACAGATGCACAACAGGTACCCCCCCCCCCTCCTTGTGGCTGTTGCTTTACGAGCTCCATGGTTACAACTTGTGTGTGTGTCCGTCTGTCCACCAGGACTCTGCTGTGGCACGGCTCCCGCCTGTCCAACTGGGTCGGAATCCTCAGCCAGGGGCTCCGAGTGGCCCCCCCCGAGGCCCCCGTCACTGGTTACATGGTACAGTGGGATTCGCTTTGTTCTCCTTCCAGCAGCGCGCGCCTGTGATTCTGACTTCCTTGCTGCTCGTTCGTCTAGTTCGGTAAAGGGATCTACTTCGCTGACATGTCGTCAAAGAGCGCCAACTACTGCTTCGCCAGCCAGAACAACCACGTGGGCCTGCTGCTGCTGTGTGAGGTGGGTCGCTTCACCTGTGCACGTGCTCACATTGACAGCAGAAACGGGGGGAGAGGGGGAGGGGGGGGGCATGTCGCGTGCACGTTTGTTTACCGTGCGCGTGTTGCTGCAGGTCGCCCTGGGAGACTCCAACGAGCTGCTGGACGCCGACTACGAGGCCAACAACCTGCCTGCTGGGAAGCACAGCACCAAAGGGCTGGGACGGACCGGACCCCACCCGCAAACCTCCGTCAATCTGTCAGTGTCTCTCACTCCGCCCAGCCAGCCCATGCAGCTCTCTCTCTCTCTCTCTCTCTGCTTCACCAAAGATATCGGGACTTTCTTAATGGTTTTTGCAAAGAAAAAAAGCTGCTGAAGAACACAGAAAATAATAATTATAATATACAATAGTGTAATTACGTAATGCACAATGCACTTTTCTGTTTACCTGCAACCTGCTCTGCCAACTGTAACGTTACAGGATTAGAATTATTATATTTTCCTGTTTTTAGAAGGTAAAGGAAATTGGTTAACTTAAGAACTTTCAACTGCCCAAAGTAATAGACGCGCTGTGTATTATTCTGCAGTGGAAGGATTTTTTATCAATCAGTGTTCACAAGGCATCATTTAGACTGTCTGTTTATTTAATAGACATTTAAATAAGACATTAAAGCACACTAACTGTCCAAACAGTTCATTTTTGAGAATGAAAATTTCAAATGGAATGAATGTTTTTCTTGCTAGTTTCAGCCCTTTACCTGCAAAGGAGCTCAAACATTTGAACAATTGATCAGAACTTTGCCGTCATTACCAAAAATCTTCAAATTGCCGCCTCTCCAATGGGAAAATGATTTGTTTTATTTTGTAGCCTACGCCTGTAAACGGACTTCTGGTCAGCTTTCAATGAATATAGTTCACGTGATTTTCTCTTTTTTTCAGATATTAGTACGTTTCATCTCTGCCATCGGAATTCTTCTGTTAATTGTCGTCTCTCTGCTTCTCAGGGACGGCGTCACCGTGCCGATGGGCCCGGCCGTGGAGACGGGCGTGGGTAAAAACCGTTGCTACTCCCTCCTGTACAACGAGTTCATTGTGTACAACCCTGCACAGACTCGCATGCGGTACCTGCTGCGGATCAAGTTCAACTACTCCTCCTTGTGGTGAGACGGAGGTGCTGCGTCTTTTTGAGTCAAATCACTTCTGAAAATGGTTTATAATGTTGTTCATGCTGCTTTGTCTCATCTTCATATCAATGTAAACTGTATCGTGTTCAAGTTCTTCAGGCTGGTGTGACGAGAGCATTTCTACTGAATAATTATCTAAATTGATCTTAATGTGTCTTTTAATTGGCATGAACTGAAATGGAATGTTTTCATGTGTTTTAATTCTCTGTAGTGGTGAACATGCTCTGACAACATCACATACAGTACAAACATTTTTAATGAACTTTATATGTAAGAAGAGAAATGAACAGCAGAAATCATATTTTAGTTAATAGAGGAGTTACAGTGTATAGAAATAATAAAGACATTTTAAACGTGACGTGTCGGCCTCCCTTGTGTGTGAATGCACTTTAGTTTCACTTCCTCCCCAGCTGGAAGATGAGGATTGTGTGTAATATTCTTATTATAGAATATAACCATCATCGCTGGTAAAACCGTTGCACCTCCGGGTCAAAGGTGACGAGGGAGTAAAAGATGTAGGAACGCAAACGCCACCACGTCCACGGTCAGAGTCATCAGAAGACCGTCCCAAACGTCGTGATGATGAGTCTGTAAGAACACAGAGACACGTTATTCCACATCTCCAATCAGACCTTCTTGGTTTTCTACAACCGTAGAAGTGTGTCACCCTGAATCCTGAATTTGTAATTGTTTTCTTGTGTTTTTATCACATCTGTGTGTGAGACAGTAACGCTGATGTGTAACATTTGGGGTTTTCTGCTCCTGTATGTGTCACCCACCCATCCCGCGATGTTCCAGGGGTGACGTCGGCTGAAGGACTTGCAGATGCTGAGGCCGGCGGCGAAGCCGCTGACGGTGAGCAGGGAGCTGACGTAGTCCTTCCCAATGGAGAAGGACGCACACAAGACAGCGAAGGAGAACAACATCTGGAGGGTCAGGACCCAGAACACCTGCTCGGGGAGAGGAAGAGAACATCGGCCACAGCATCGGAGTGTACAGTTTACATGAGCCGTGACCTTTTTATTATGTCTACAGGTAATAAAACGATCCGTTAAATACGGTGGAGCGGTGCATAGAACAGCAACACAACAACCATGAGAGCAAAGAGCAAAGATCAGGACAAAAGCTAGAAAAGGAAAAATCATTCTTTTGTGTCAGGAAGATCTAATTGTTCTTCTCCGTCATCTCGTTAAGCATCTCGTGCCGTATTTGAACTTGAGACCTCTGGAGGAAAAGCAGAGTCTGGTGCAGGAAAACGTTCCACGGCGAGTCGTTCAAACCTTTTTAGCAAACGCTCTCCTCGCTTTCTCGTCATCAAAAGAAGACGAGTCCATCAGCAGAGTTGTGTCCGGCGAGGCCTCGGGGTGGAAGTCCAGGAGGGAGCCGTACCCGGCAGCAGGCTGATGGATGCCAGTCATCTCCGTTTTGGACGGAGGGCACGTTGCCGGGGCTGCAGGGTAGAATGGAGATGGAGGTCCTTTGCAGGAGAGGACTGGTGGAGCCGCTGGTGGTGGTGAGGACACATAACGAGGAGCGTCCTGGGTCCCTTTGGAGACGAGGGGCTCGGATGAGTTGGACATTCTGGAGGAAACTGGGGGACAAACACAGAAGAGCAGTCAGACAACTTCTGTTTTCTGATTGACACGTTGAGCTGAAGAGAGACGTTCCCGGTTTGTACAGGCTGCTTACTTTGGACTTTATTGAACAAGGGCGTGAACGTTATAAAGTGAAACTAGAGCCGCGGTGCCGCTTCTTTTATATTCAGTAAACAAGCTTTGAATTCAACGATTAATAATTTCATCTGGTCAAAAACTTTAATCTAAGGTTTAATTTAAAGTTTGAAAACACTGCAGCAAATTAAGTAGTGAGACAATGAGCCTGAAATCAGAAAACGTGATGTTGAAGAATGTTGATGAGCAGGTTGGTGCAGCATATATGATGCTGATCAACAAACTGATGCCAAGGAGATGGAGGGAAGATGTAGGTGTTGTGACAAGAAGCGACGGGTATCGCACACAAACCAAAGTTCCCTGTGCTACGTGACCATTGTGGAGTCATTTTAATGAACCACCAGTGGGGTAAAAAGCAAATGAACATTTAAATGAACATTAAATGAACATTTTAATGATGCAGTAAGGTGAGCAGCAGCGGTCGATGGTTTTTAGGGTCACAGGAAGCAGAGTTGTTACAGCAGAGAGCAAGTTGTGTTCTTATTAAATGTCGATTTTTCTTTAAATTCTTTTTTTGGTGTGAATGCAACATCTCCGATTAAAACCAAAGAAGAAGAAAAAGAGTTTGTTCACCCTGATAGAAAACAAGTAAACCAAAGTGGAGGACTGAGGCATTAAAACTTAATGTTGGGTAACGACACCAGTGACGTCGTGTGGATCCACCTTGTTTCACATCACAATGTTTATGAAGATTTAACACTGAATTCATGCGATCAGAGCTGTCGGGTTCCAGTGAAAACTGTCTTCCTCCGTCTAATGAACTCAATGAATACAGAAGCTGTTGTGACCTGAAGGAGCACCACCCTCAGCAGGTTGTTAACCCTTAATGTCTGTGATCTTGTTAAAAGCCCCGATAAATACGACAGGTGAACAAAAAGCAGAGTGAAAGCAGTTTGCTCACTTTGGAAACAGAGCAAGTTAAGAAGACTTAGTAGAGTCAAGAGAATGTTCTCACCTGTGTGACGGGCTGTGCACCACGCAGTGCTGAGCGAGGACGAGACAACAGGAGTAAAACCTGTGGGTTGGTACCTACATTCATTTGCATTTCATACAACACCCGATGTAACGTTTCCCTCCCTGTTGCCAGGAAGTGAAGCCGAGACAAATTATTAGAAACTGTAGTTAATTAGTGATTTGCTTTTAAGATAAAATAAAAAATTCAAACTCTAAATATCTGCGTTTTGGACTGTTGGATAAAACAGGTCAACTTATAAAGACGCCACATTTGAATTATGGAAAACTGTATTCAGCACTTTGAAATGTTTACACTTATATTCAAAACACATTTGGCTGAATGTCTCCATAAAGAAGCCAAACAAAAGGAAACTGTCAGACGGGCCGGAGCCGGGGAGGAGGACAAGGACGCAGGGAGGCTTGACTGCAGGAGATTTATTCAAATAATATCATATATCTAATAGCACCAAAGTACAACGATCCCTTTCACATCACAATACTAACGCGGGTGAACATGCAAAACTACAAGACACACTGGCACAGGACAAAGGGAGACGCAGACAATAAGTATCCATGGGGGAGGTGAGGGAACAGGTGGAGACAATTAGGAATCAGGGGAGACAATTGACAGGAGACACCTGAGGAAGGGCAAGACACCTGAAACGAGAGGGGGTTTAGACGCCACAATAAAACAGGAAGTCTCAAAATCAGACGTAAGACGGGACACAAACACAAACTTCACCAACATGTATGACAGAAACCACGATTATGAAGAGAGAATGATATCAATCAGCCAGTCAGAGTGAAAGGGAGGATCTGTAGAACAAAACTAGATTATAAGGTACTGCTATTCAAATACAAACATGTTTATTAAACCATCTTATTCAATAAACTTGCATTTACATTTTTACTGTTTATTCTTATAGTTAATCAAATACAAAAGAAATGGTAGAATCAGCAGTGCTTTTACTGTCCATTCTTTGCGGACCACAAGCAGAAAACCCATCTTGTGTTCTACAACATGTACGTAAATATGTTATTCCACTAATCATCTACGTTACGTATCAAACATGGACCACTTAAAATCAAGATATCACAGACGCAATGCCTTTGAAGACACTTGTCCTCTGTCCCTCCGCAAATGATGTCACTGGCTTTGTGTCGCTGAGGCAGAGAAGTCGTAAAGGTTTTTTTTCAATGTTCGATGATGTTGCCATCTTGTGGCGGTAGAGCAGTATTGATCAACTAGAAAATGCATTTGGAATGCTTAAAGCTGAAATAAACTTCAGAAAATTGCTGAAAATACAGAAGGTTTAAGGGAATTTAAATACATTTTATTATAGATTATAGATATTAGAAAAGCTGATATTAGTTTGAAATTGCTGAAAATACAGAAATAGGAGAAGCTGAAAGGAATTTCAATAGATTTGCTGAAAAAGCAGAAATGAAAACAGCTGAAATTATTTTGAAAATTTGCAACAAAATACAGCAATGTTAAATTTCAATAGAATTTATAAAAAATACAGAAGTTGCAGGAGCTTAAATGAATTAAAAGAAATACAGAAATAACAAAAGCTGAGATGAATAAAAAGAGGTTTTGAATTGTTTGTAGTAATATTAGTAGTAGTATTAGTTACAGTTTTAATTGTGGTATTCGTAGTACTAGCAGTAGAAGTAGTAATAGTACGTTTAGTATCATTAGCAGCAGAAACAGCTGTAATACAAATACTATTAGTCATAGTAGTATTTGTAGTAACATTAGTAGTAATTGTAGTATTAATACCAGTAGAAATACTAGTAGTACCTTTTCCTAGTAGTGTCAGTTGCAGCTAGTAGAAGTAGTATTTTAGTACTACTACTAGGAGTAATTTTAATAGCCCTAGAAATACTACTAGTAGTAGTGATAGTAATAGTATAATTTGTAGTAGTACTAGTACTTGTAGTAGTAAATGAGTGGTTGTTACAGTATTAATAGCAGTAGAAATACCAGTAGTATTATGTCTGCATGAGTCAGTGCCACAAAGGCAATCAAAGACAGCCTAGCTAGCTGTCTAAAGACATGAGAGATTTTCACTGGCGGTTTTAGCCACTTGTCAGCAGTTTGGTCCTGTTGTTGCTGGTGAAATGCTAGCTAGCGCCATGTTAGCTAGCACAAAACTATAACAGCTATCTAAAAAATAAGAAGTTTGTGAGAGACTCAAGACTCTACCGAACGCAACAAGGTGTTTTTTATGCCTGTCCGGTAATAAATACGGCTCCTGTGGCAGTTAACGAAACGTGTACCTTCTTGTTTTCTTGAGAAATATGTCGGCAGATTTGTATTGGAGCCTATGGGGCTTTTGGCAGAGGCTGTGTCACTCTTGGACTCCTGAAGCCAAAACTAAAGAACTCTGGGATTCCATAGCCACATTAATCCAATCAGCACAAGCATGCCATCATTAAACTAAACAACTGAAGTCTCAAAAGTGTATACTTTGGCTGGAAGGACAGAGGTTCCATATTTTTTTAACCAGATTCTGATGCTGCTCTACACTCTAGCCTCGCCAGCTCTCACTCTAACAAACGCAATACACACTTATGTTAAACTCAGAAACGGAACGAAGAACTAGTGAAACTTAATCAGTGATTATGAAAGAAGTAGAATAGATATCAACAAGCTGTTTTTCTATAAAATATTTCATAAAATAAATACCATTTACGGTATAATACCGTAAAATGTTTTTTACACTATGTTACCGTAATATGGATAACAGTAAATTGGCGTGAACTTTACAGTCAATTAACGGAAAAATACTGGCAGAGGATGCGAGTAATTTACTGTTTTTTATGGTACACTGCGCACCGTATAATGGATTACTGTAAATTATCGTAAACTTGAACCAATTTGACTGTGAATAAACTGCAATTTACTGGCAGTCGACGCTAGTAACTTACTGTTTTATTTACAGTGCCCTACTGTAATATACGGTATGTTGCCGTATATTGGATTACAGTTTGTTACCATAGGATTACTGTTTTTGTGTTATAAATACCAGAATGTTACCGTTAACTTATAACCGTATACTTTCGCATTTAATTCCCCACAAATTAAAGACAACCAACCTCATTTTGGTCATAGTGGTTGGAGTTTATTAGATTAGACATTTGTAACAAAGAGCAAAACATAAAATATGCTGCATGTATACAATAATAAAAAAATGAATCATAAAATGATTAGGAACAAGGTAAACTCACTGCAACAATACGCTATAGAACACTTTCAATTGACCGCAGCAAACGGCTGGCGTCCTTAATCCAGTGCCTCTGTAAAACTAACCAAAATAAAATATTTAGAAACACTGTCATTGGTAAAATATTAAAATTACAAAGATGAGGAAGACAACAAGATGTAAGGAAGGAGAATGTTAATCATGCTAGGCAAATAACACCAACGTTACTTGGAGAGACGAGGCAATGAGAAACTCCTCCGATGTTGATCTGCACAGGTGTTCTGGATGAACTGAGACTACGTGTCTGACGTCACTCAAATGACTTTTAGGCAATAAACACTTTGAATAATACAAATATTTATAATCTTCAATCTTCATTCGTCATAATTGTGGTTCCATTTGTCTGGTTTCCTTATTGGCGAAGGAGAAGAAGCTGTAAATCCAAGTAAACATTCCAACAAATAATCACAAGATCTGTAAAATCCTCTTTGTTTACTCTACATAGAAACTCAATGTTGTGTGTACTATGTACCCACCTATTTGGTTAAATAGGCCAATATCACCCAGCCGAGGAGAGAGAGGGAGGATCTGTAAAACACAACAAAAACAACCAGATCAGAAGAGTCTTCCTGGTTTAAATGACAGCACAACTGAGAATGTGTCACATGTTCACAGCCTGATGTGCTTCTGACGGACTGAAGTTTGGATTCTGAAAACATCTTTGTAACGTGATCTATAACAAGGAATCGATTAATTTCTTCAATTAAAACAGAGAATTTAGTTCTACCGACTGTCATAGTCATTAATGGTTGACACTATAAGGTGTTTTTGAGGGGGGGCAGAGGATGCATTATTATCATGAAGTCTTCTCCTCTTTCAGTCTTACCAGCATTTGAGGAGAAAAAATGATCAGCAGGAATCAAGTCCTGAGTCCAGTGAACCTGGTTGCTATGGTTACAGATGATGTTGTTGTTCAACATGCAGACCAGGGCTCCGTTCCTCCTGCGTGGATAACTGAGTTAGCCTGATCAGGCTTTTCGGTTCCACAAAGCAAATTTAGCAAAATCGCCCCAGCAACACATCCAAAAACTTGAACCTGCTGCGGCTGGATTAGTTCCCCCGGAAAAAAAGGGCCGCTGTCTTCCTCATTGGTGAAGGAGCAACATATAAAGTACAACAATATTTCATTTAGATTTTCATTCTTGCAACATTGAGTCGGTCAAACAGGAGCACGTCGTCGTTGTTTGTGTCCATCCGTCTCTCACCGTTGTATATGAGCACCGACGGCGTGACAAGAGCATTTCTACTGGATTCATTTGTGTCTTATCATTGTGAACTGAAACGGAATGCTTTCATGTGTTTAATGATGAGGGAACTGTTCTCTGTACTGGTGAACATGCTCTGAAAAACATCACATAGTGTACAAACATTTCTATATTGAACTTTGTATGAAAACAGAAATCCTCTTTCAGTTATTACAGGAGTCTTTTTTTTTACTCAACTAAAACTAAAGAGGTCCAGTTAGAGAACATTTCCAGAAGCAAGTGTGACTATTTTGTTGTGATGTAATAGAGGGATAGAGTTGTATCAACATCTGCATTTAATCAATACACAACTAACAAGACAAATGAATTCAGTACGATTCAAAGACCCGTTGAGATTATTTATTGTCACGAAACAAAGAACTGAACATATATGAACATATATGTAACAAAGAACTGAACATATATGAGGGCTGAAGGCTGCATTTCAAAATAAGAGAAAATAAATCAAATGAAATTGTGCCTCCCTTGTGTGTGAATGCACTTTAGTTTCACTTCCTCCCCAGCTGGAAGATGAGGATCGTGTGTAATATTATTCTTATTATAGAATATAACCATCATCGCTGGTAAAACCGTTGCACCTCCGGGTCAAAGGTGACGAGGGAGTAAAAGATGTAGGAACGCAAACGCCACCACGTCCACGGTCAGAGTCATCAGAAGACCGTCCCAAACGTCGTGATGATGAGTCTGTAAGAACACAGAGACACGTTATTCCACATCTCCAATCAGACCGTCTTTGTTCTCTACAACCGTGTTACAAATAAATCCTTTGACTCAGACAACAATAAATTCAAATGAAATGCATCTGAAGTGTTGATGCTTGGATTCACAACGCAGATTCTAAATCAGGAGTTAAACATAACTGTTTAAATTCCAGACATCAGTGAGACCTTGAGGCCCCGTGGCTTTTGTTGGTACGCTGCATGCAGTGGTGTCCAGCGTGTTCAAACCCAAACAACATCTTACAATGTCTGACCTTTGCAGAGAAGGCAACGATGGCGACAGCAATGACCATCAGTACTCCGACAGTGATGAAGACGTGGTTCAAATCGAGGAAGGAGGCGATGGTTCCCACCATGTGCGACAAGCTCACGGTGACCACGACCTGTGGACACAACTTGTTAAACACCGCCGGCCTCTTCTGGCTTTTATAATTACGTATAATCACATCTGTGTGTGAGACAGTAACGCTGATGTGTAACATTTGGGGTTTTCTGCTCCTGTATGTGTCACCCACCCATCCCACGATGTTCCAGGGGTGACGTCGGCTGAAGGACTTGCAGATGCTGAGGGCGACGGCGAAGCCGCTGAAGGTCAGCAGGGAGCTGACGTAGAGCCACTTGTTGGTCCGTCCCTCCTTCCCTCCGGAGAAGGACGCACACAAGACCCCGAAGGAGAACAACATCTGGAGGGTCAGGACGCAGAACACCTGCTCGGGGAGAGGAAGAGAACATCGGCCACAGCATCGGAGTTTACAGTTTACATGAGCCGTGACCTTTTTATTATGTCTACAGGTAATAAAACGATCCGTTAAATACGGTGGAGCGGTGCATAGAACAGCAACACGACAACCATGAGAGCAAAGAGCAAAGATCAGGACAAAAGCTAGAAGAGGAAAAATCATTCTTTTGTGTCAGAAAGATCTAATTGTTCTTCTCTGTTATTCTGTTAATCATCTCGTGCCGTATCTCCTGGTGGAGCCGCTAGTGGTGGTGAGGACACATAACGAGGAGCGTCCTGGGTCCCTTTGGAGATGAGGGGCTCGGATGAGTTGGACATTCTGGAGGAAACTGGGGGACAAACACAGAAGAGCAGTCAGACAACTTCTGTTTTCTGATTGACACGTTGAGCTGAAGTGAGACGTTCCCGGTTTGTACAGGCTGCTTACTTTGGACTTGAAGGGCGAGAACGTTAGAAAGTGAAACTAGAGCCGCGGTGCCGCTTCTTTTATTTTCAGTAAACAAGCTTTGAATTCAACGATTAACAACTTAATCTGGTCAAAAACTTTAATCTAAGGTTTAATTTACAGTTTGAAAACACTGCAGAAAATTTAGTAGTGAGACAATGAGCCTGAAATCAGAAAAAGTGATGTTGAAGAACAAGGTTGATGAGCAGGTTGGTGCAGACTATATGATGCTTATCAACCAACGGGTTACTGGCACGATGCCGAGGAGATGGAGGGAAGATGTAGGTGTTGTGACAAGAAGCGATGGGTATCGCACACAAACCAAAGTTCCCTGTGCTACGTGACCATTGTGGAGTCATTTTAATGAACCACCAGTGGGGTAAAAAGCAAATGAACATTTAAATGAACATTAAATGAACACTTTAATGATGCAGTAAGGTGAGCAGCAGCGGTCGATGGTTTTTAGGGTCACGGGAAGCAGAGTTGTTACAGCAGAGAGCGAGTTGTGTTCTTATTAAATGTCGATTTTTCTTTAAATTCTTTGTTTGGCGTAAATGCATCATCTCCGATTAAAACCAAAGAAGAAAAAGCGTTTGTTCACCCTGATAGAAAACAAGTAAACCAAAGTGGAGGACTGAGGCATTAAAACTTAATGTTGGGTAACGACACCAGTGACGTCGTGTGGATCCACCTTGTTTCACATCACAATGTTAATGAAGATTTAACACTGAATTCATGCGATCAGAGCTGTCGGGTTCCAGTGAAAACTGTCTTCCTCCGTCTAATGAAGTCAATGAATACAGAAGCTGTTGTGACCTGAAGGAGCACCACCCTCAGCAGGTTGTTAACCCTTAATGTCTGTGATCTTGTTAAAAGCCCCGATAAATACGACAGGTGAACAAAAAGCAGAGTGAAAGCAGTTTGCTCACTTTGGAAACAGAGCAAGTTAAGAAGACTTAGTAGAGTCAAGAGAATGTTCTCACCTGTGTGACGGGCTGTGCACCACGCAGTGCTGAGCGAGGACGAGACAACAGGAGTAAAACCTGTGGTTTGGCACCTACATTCATTTGCGTAGCACCCGGTGGAACGATCCACTCCCTGTTGGCAGGAAGTGAAGCAGAGACAATTTATTAGAAACTGTAGTTAATTATAGTCATTTGCTTTTAAGATAAAAAGATCAAACTCTAAATATCTGCGTTTTGGACTGTTGGATAAAATAAGGTCAACTTATAAAGACGCCACATTTGAATTATGGAAAACTGTATTCAGCACTTTGAAATGTTTACATTTCATAAAAAATGTTCAAATTACATTTGGCTGAATGTCTCCATAAAGAAGCCAAACGAATGGAACCACAGTTATGAAGAGAGAGAATTATATCAATCAGCCAGCCAGAGTGAAAGGGAGGATCTGTAGAACAAAACTAGATTATAAGGTACTGCTATTCAAATACAAACATGTTTATTAAACCATTTTATTTAATAAACTTGTATTTCTATTTGTGCTGTTTATTCTTAGTTATATATGCAATATGTGTGTTATTCCAATTATTCCGACGTTACGATGACAAATGTAGCCGTTGCCCAATCAAATACAAAAGAAATGGCAGAATAAGCAGTGCTTTTACTGTCCATTCGTTGCCTGCTGTCATGCACGCCAGCACGTTATTTCGCTGTACGCGTATAGAGATTACAGAAGAGGTGTGTAAGAACTGACTTCAAAATGAGGGCACTTCAACTGAAAGTCTGTAAATCATATAAAAATGTGATTGTCAAGGATGGGTGGAGGAGGCAGGACTCAAGCGCAGACTTGTCAGGAAACAAAAGACTTGAATTGTCAAAAGGCAAAATCAAAAGGCCAAGGGGCAAAAACACACAGGAACCAGGGGAAAGACAGCAGGCAGGAAACTACGGACATCCACGAAAATCGACAACGACGCGACAAGTGACACAAGAGACACACGGCTTAAATACACAAGGGAGGTGCAGGTGATTGGACACAGGTGGAAACTATTAGACGATCACAGGGGATGACGGGACAAGGCAGGAAGTGAAGTTACCCGGGGACACGAGTGGCAGAAAACTACAAAATAAGACAGGAAGTGAACCACACCGTGACAGTGATAATATATTAAAAACAGTCTGTGAAGGATAATGTGATTTCAATTGTGTAATTACTTATTCAAATACATTTATAAAGAATTAATTTACACAGAGCAGAAAATATCAGGAATATCAGGGGCTCGGGCCACGTAACCACCACCTCACTGCTCGTGCGATTGTGCGATTGACCTCCTCCCGGGAACGTCGTCTCCCAGAGGACGACTGTTTTCCCTGTCTGTCCCGGAGACAAAGACCGTGGAGACGTACGTTAACGACCCCGCGGCTGCTGGACTTATTGGACCGTCGTCAGACTAATAGAAGGTGTAAGAGGCTTTAGACACACTGCTGACAGTGAGGACTCCACCCTAAAATAGTTCCAGTAGCCAAGTCAATATGAGGATTAATTGTAAGCCATTGAAAAATCCCAGTCTGACCAGTTATCCAGGTGCATGAAGTATATGAAAGGTGAGCGTTTCATTGAGCTTTTATGCAGCTCACTCAAGTTAAATGAAAACACCGGTTATGTTGTGGTTTCTTTTCTTGGAATATAATGCTGCGTCTTTTTGAGTCAAATCACTTCTGAAAATGGGTTATAATGTTGTTCATGCTGCTTTGTCTCATCTTCATATCAATGTAAACTGTATCGTGTTCAGGTTCTTCAGGCTGGTGTGACGAGAGCATTTCTACTGAATAATTATCTAAATTGATCTTAATGTGTCTTTTAATTGGCATGAACTGAAATGGAACGTTTTCATGTGTTTTAATTCTCTGTAGTGGTGAACATGCTTTGACAACATCACATACAGTACAAACATTTTTAATGAACTTTATATGTAAAAAGAGAAATGAACAGCAGAAATCCTATTTTAGTTAATAGAGGAGTTACAGTGTATAGAAATAATAAAGACATTTTAAACGTGACGTGTCGGCCTCCCTTGTGTGTGAATGCACTTTAGTTTCACTTCCTCCCCAGCTGGAAGATGAGGATTGTGTGTAATATTATTCTTATTATAGAATATAACCATCATCGCTGGTAAAACCGTTGCACCTCCGGGTCAAAGGTGACGAGGGAGTAAAAGATGTAGGAACGCAAACGCCACCACGTCCACGGTCAGAGTCATCAGAAGACCGTCCCAAACGTCGTGATGATGAGTCTGTAAGAACACAGAGACACGTTATTCCACATCTCCAATCAGACCGTCTTGGTTTTCTACAACCGTAGAAGTGTGTCACCCTGAATCCTGAATTTGAAATTGTTTTCTTGTGTTTTTATCACATCTGTGTGTGAGATAGTAACGCTGATGTGTAACATTTGGGGTTTTCTGCTCCTGTATGTGTCACCCACCCATCCCGCGATGTTCCAGGGGTGACGTCGGCTGAAGGACTTGCAGATGCTGAGGCCGGCGGCGAAGCCGCTGACGGTGAGCAGGGAGCTGACGTAGTCCTTCCCGATGGAGAAGGACGCACACAAGACAGCGAAGGAGAACAACATCTGGAGGGTCAGGACCCAGAACACCTGCTCGGGGAGAGGAAGAGAACATTGGCCACAGCATCGGAGTGTACAGTTTACATGAGCCGTGACCTTTTTATTATGTCTACAGGTAATAAAACGATCCGTTAAATACGGTGGAGCGGTGCATAGAACAGCAACACGACAACCATGAGAGCAAAGAGCAAAGATCAGGACAAAAGCTAGAAGAGGAAAAATCATTCTTTTGTGTCAGAAAGATCTAATTGTTCTTCTCCGTCATCTCGTTAAGCATCTCGTGCCGTATTTGAACTTGAGACCTCTGGAGGAAAAGCAGAGTCTGGTGCTGGAAAACGTTCCACGGCGAGTCGTTCAAACCTTTTTAGCAAACGCTCTCCTCGCTTTCTCCTCATCAAAAGAAGACGAGTCCATCAGCAGAGTTGTGTCCGGCGAGGCCTCGGGGTGGAAGTCCAGGAGGGAGCCGTACCCGGCAGCAGGCTGATGGATGCCAGTCATCTCCGTTTTGGACGGAGGGCACGTTGCCGGGGCTGCAGGGAAGGATGGAGATGGAGGTCCTTTGCAGGAGAGGACTGGTGGAGCCGCTGGTGGTGGTGAGGACACATAACGAGGAGCGTCCTGGGTCCCTTTGGAGACGAGGGGCTCGGATGAGTTGGACATTCTGGAGGAAACTGGGGGACAAACACAGAAGAGCAGTCAGACAACTTCTGTTTTCTGACTGACACGTTGAGCTGAAGAGAGACGTTCCCGGTTTGTACAGGCTGCTTACTTTGGACTTGAAGGGCGAGAACGTTAGAAAGTGAAACTAGAGCCGCGGTGCCGCTTCTTTTATATTCAGTAAACAAGCTTTGAATTCAACGATTAATTAACTTAATCTGGTCAAAAAACGTTATTCTAAGGTTTAATTTATAGTTTGAAAACACTGCAGCAAATTAAGTAGTGAGACAATGAGCCTGAAATCAGAAAAAGTGATGTTGAAGAACAAGGTTGATGAGCAGGTTGGTTCAGACTATATGATGCTTATCAACCAACGGGTTACTGGCACGATGCCAAGGAGATGGAGGGAAGATGTAGGTGTTGTGACAAGAAGCGATGGGTATCGCACACAAACCAAAGTTCCCTGTGCTACGTGACCATTGTGGAGTCATTTTAATGAACCACCAGTGGGGTAAAAAGCAAATGAACATTTAAATGAACATTAAATGAACACTTTAATGATGCAGTAAGGTGAGCAGCAGCGGTCGATGGTTTTTAGGGTCACGCGAAGCAGAGTTGTTACAGCAGAGAGCGAGTTGTGTTCTTATTAAATGTCAATTTTTCTTTAAATTCTTTGTTTGGCGTAAATGCATCATCTCTGATTAAAACCAAAGAAGAAAAAGCGTTTGTTCACCCTGATTGAAAACAAGTAAACCAAAGTGGAGGACTGAGGCATTAAAACGTAATGTTGGGTAACGACACCAGTGACGTCGTGTGGATCCACCTTGTTTCACATCACAATGTTAATGAAGATTTAACACTGAATTCATGCGATCAGAGCTGTCGGGTTCCAGTGAAAACTGTCTTCCTCTTTCTAATGAACTCAATGAATAGAGAAGCTGTTGTGACCTGAAGGAGCACCACCCTCAGCAGGTTGTTAACCCTTAATGTCTGTGATCTGGTTAAAAGCCCCGATAAATACGACAGGTGAACAAAAAGCAGAGTGAAAGCAGTTTGCTCACTTTGGAAACAGAGCAAGTTAAGAAGACTTGGTAGAGTCAAGAGAATGTTCTCACCTGTGTGACGGGCTGTGCACCACGCAGTGCTGAGCGAGGACGAGACAACAGGAGTAAAACCTGTAGGTTGGTACATACATTCATTTGCGTAGCACCCGGTGGAACGATCCACTCCCTGTTGCCAGGAAGTGAAGCAGAGACAAATCTGACGGGAACCTGCAAAGTTCACCATTGTTTCCTTGGTCAGATGTGGAGAAGCACTCGCTCATCCCGACAAGTAACAAACCAAAACACAGAACACGTCAGCGAATTAGCGTTTATCAAAATGGGACCATAATTATGTTTCAGCTTTCATCCAGCAGAAACATGTCAGTTGTTCGTGTTGAGCCCGTTTCCAGATGTCTAAATGTCTGACATCAAGGGAAGGTAAATGGTAACAAGTGTGACGTCATTGTAATCTGCTATTTCAAGTTCAAAATCAATTAAATGTTTTAATTGAAAGTTTACAATTGAAAACAGCTGGTTGAAAGACAGAGGAAGACAATTTGACGGACACCATTTGCGTTGAGGAATCAGGAAACATTTATTTGCCAAAATATGCCAAACATACAAGGAATTTGTCTTGGCGGTTAGTGCGCGACAGTAGACAGACAAGACAACAGTGCACAAGTGAGGTCAACTACGTACAGTAGATGTTGCTCATTTTCTTCCTCTTTTAAGTAAGAAAATGTAACGTTTTTTTCAAAACTGCATTCAAACAATTTACAGTGTCTTTCTCCGCATTTCAACGTCGACGTGCGTTCAAGTGAACCATTTTTTAAACTTTCCCTTTGGCACAATAAAGAAATAACATCTGAAATGTCTAATAGGATGCCTGAAAATAAAGACGCCACCTTTGAATTTTGGAAAACTGTATTGGGCACTTTTAAATGATTACATTTAATGAGCAAAACAATGCAGAACACATTTGGCTGAATGTCTGCACACTGAAGCCAAAGTGGCCTTTGACGGATCCAAAGTTTGTACAACTCCCTTTACCTGTGAATTTTTAATTCTAGTAAAAATGTTTTTTTTTTTGTTTTTTTTTAAACAACCAATTTCTGTATTTTGTGTCCGTCCGTCTGTGTTCTGCTTTCATCTCCTCCCCAGCAGGTAGAGGAAGATGAGCATTACGTCCAGGTAGATGGTGAGAGCAGCACTGATGTATTCCTCTGGATCCAGGCGGTAGCTCATCGTCCCCATCATCAGCTGACAGTCCACCATCAGGAACTGATGAGACCAGAAGGCGAATAGCACATCGATGACATCTCGCTCCTTTCACATGAGCACGGCTGTAGATAATCAAACAAATGACATCTTTTCGTTCTTTATGTCCTACCCGTACCAGCGAATACAGCAGAGCGCCCAGACACCCGTAGGCCACTTCGCCGACGTGCGAGTAGTAGAAGGTGCAGAAGAACCCGAATATGATCACGTCCGCCACTAGAACCAGCAGGACACCGCTCCACATCGTGAAGTCGTAACGAGCCTGCGGGCGACACGGTGAAAACAAACACGCACGGATGGAGACGATGGTGAAGAGACGCAGCTCGCTCTGACCTGTGCGGAGAACGCGATGAGGGCCACAGAGATGACCGCCGTGGCCCCCACGGTGATGACGACGGCGGTGGTGTCGTGGAAGGAGGCGACGGTTCCCACCATGTAGGACAAGCTCAGGGTGACCGCGACCTGCGGGCGACAAAATGACAGGAATCGATCTCCTTCTGTCGACGAAATGCGCGTTTAGATATTTAGGGGTCACTCGTAACCCACCAATCCCACGATGTTCCAGGGGTGGCGTCGCCTGAAGGACTTGCAGAAGCTGAGGGCCGCGGCGACCACCAGGAAGACGACGATGGAGCTGACGTAGGGCCACAGGTTGGTCTGCACCGCCTCTTTGACGCGGCTGGAGAAGGTGAACACGCACACCACGCCGAAGGTGAACAGCAGCTGGAGAGTCAGGATGCTGAACACCTGCTCGGGGGGGATGAACGGAGAAGCATTCAGCAGTTTTAACGGCGTGCGTGTGTGTGTGTAGAGTCTGAGTAAAAGCCTTTACGAACCTTTCTAACAAACGCTCTTCTCACGGTCGCGTCGTCGAAAGAAGACGAGGCCATCAGCGGAGTGGAGTCCGACGGGAAGTCCCGCAGGGACTCGTACCCGGCGGCAGGCTGGAGGATGCGAGTCGTCTCGCCGTTGGACGGAGGGCACTTCGCCGGGGCAGCGGGGTAGGGTGGAGGTGGCCGTCCTCTGCAGGAGGACACTTCGTAACGAGGAGCGTCCCGGGTCTCCTCGGAGACCAGGAACTCGTGTTCGGACATTCTGGAGGAATCTGAAGATGAACGAGCAAACGCTCTGATGAGGTGAAGCTTTTGCTTATACTGATATAAACAATAGGAAGTAAAACCAGAGCGGTGGAGTCACTTCTCCCAGCTCACATGGCAGGAAATACACGGATCGTGTCATTTATTCATGGTAATTACTTTCTAATAATATCAAAGATTGCTCTAGTGTAGTTGAGGTTCTAGTTCCCTGTGCATGAACTTATCGGATCCTTTACTAAAGTGAAAGTGTCAATGCGGGATTTAAAGTACGCTTTAATATTATATTTACATTTTCTGAAAATGTTAGATAAGTAAAAGGAAAGTTATCACGAGCAAAAGAATGTTTGTATTTAACAGAAAATGTCATTCACTCGAATGAATAGAAAATTAATCTAATCACACAACGTGTTTAGCGATCGAGTGTTTTTTAGCAGTTTTTTAGCGGGGACTGTAAATTACAAATTAATGGGTTTTAATGGCGTCGAGAGGCCATTTAGGGGATTAATAATCCTATCGAAAGTTTGTCAAAAGCACCAGGAACTACTGCGGGCATTTTGCAAATCAATTTCCTCACAGAACAATGGACAAAGCGAATGTTCTCTTACCGTCTCACGCAGCGCCGCGTGGGGAGGAGACCGAAGAGAGCGGCGCCATTTATCCTCCCGACCGGTTACAGGTTTCACTTCCTAACACCATCAAACGTGGACTTCAACATGAAGTCAAAAACGAAAATAAAAAAAAAACCTGACTGCACAAATAGAAAACTCTACTGTTGCGCTAGTTGGTCAGTGGCTGTCGAAAGTAGGGTGCGGGGACTTCTACTGGTCCTCGGCTTTCGCAATCCAGGGTCCAGCGCAGCATGGGACGCGAGTTCACTTCGAGACCTTTTCAGTTTGAGATTTTGTTGTCAATAAATTAAACTATTATTCTATCTGTCCAGTTTAATATGCAAACGACCTCCTTATTAATTAGGCAGAGGACAGATACCGTAAGACATTCCACGTTTTTCAATTACAAAAAACGAAAAACAAAGTTCTGTTCTTTTAAACAGTTAAGACATCTGTGAGTTAATGTAATGCAAAGTGGGGATCTGGGTCAATTTGTTGGGTGCACCAAAATGTGTTTTTTCTAACAGCTACAAACAGCAGCCGGGATCGATTGGAGGCGGCGCGTTTTTCGCAGCGTCTGGCTGCTAAGATACGGAATACACACAAGTCAAAACTGTGTGCAGAACCTGTTTTAAATTCTCATTAAAATGACAATGAATGACTTAAGTCATTCATGTCCTGTTTCAGGTCTCACTGAACGGGACGAAGAAGCACCAGACACTTGAAAGCACAAAACAGACGTTCACGAAAAACATCGCTCACACATATTTATTGTAAAAAATACATATAAAAACAATTTCTGAGACATACAAAAGGTCGAGCTTAGAAACAGTATATTGAACAGACAAGGACCAAGCCATTTTCTTGAAATGCATTACATATTTACAATTTAATAAATTAATTTTGATTTTTATACCAGAGTAAAAGGCAGATTGTCCATATCTCGGGGGTGCAAATGTGTCGACTCTTTGAAAAAACATCCTCTTCTAATACACCGAAAAGGACACGGCGGATGTGTGATCAGTGGCCTGCGATTCAAAACCGAGGATTCGGGGACATTTCTACAAAACACCGTCCTTGGTTCCAGTGAGCGCCGCTAATCATTGAGGTTTGGCACCACGCGGCTCAGATAGTAAGTGGAGAGAACTGTTGGAGTGTCTTATCTTATCTTTGATTGACAACACACACACACACACACACACACACACACACACACACACACACCTCCCATGCAAAGCATAAAACACCATAACTTTACACCACAGACGTCACACGATGCTCCCAAATTCAGACAGACTTTGGCATTAGTTTTCTTTACTCTCCAATACAAAAATACGTGCACACGTCTGCTCTCTAGTGGCCAGACGAGTCATAGCACCTCCGGGTGCAGAGCACCAGGGACGGGGGGAGAAAAGGAGGCCGGGGTGAACAAACTAGCCAGAGTGTAAGAGCGCATCATCCCTAAACAAACACAACAAATACCCGCCTGCACAAGAACCCATCACGAGGCAAAGGAACACCACACGGGGAAAATAGGCAAAAGAAAAGCTATTGAACAGATTTGGCCAGTGATTATTATGCATTGATACAATATCAAAAAATCCTATCCATTTATTTGTAGAGAAGGGGGCACGGGGCGGAGGCTAGTTTTGTAATAATTCATCATCAGCTGTCCATAGCCTCCAGCGTTGGGGAGAGAAGCAGATGCCACATGGTGCGAACATGCCCCAAAAATACACCCCTCAACCCGTCCGCCCCGTTGTCCCTCCTCAATCTGGCACTAGTGAAACCGAGTGGCAAAATTTTCGCGGGGGTTCCGGCCCAAAATTCCCCCCCCCCCCCCCCCCACGTCCCCCAGAGAGTGTTCGAGAATGAGAAGGGCCCAAGTGGGACCAAAGCAACTAAAAGCGGATTGGAACGTGACCGTGTGAGCTGTCGCCATGGCGACGCGTACCGAGGCCACGGGCAGTTAAAAACCAGCATTACAAATTAAAACTGGTGACTCGCTTGACCAGGCAGACGTCTGTGCAATTTACAGTACACACACACACACACACACACACACACACACACACACAACTAGCACACACACCTTATGCGAAACAAAAACAAATAAAAAAAAGAATCTGCAAAAGAGGCAAAAGTGCTCATATCGGTGCAAACACTCAGCACGTAGCAGCACATTAAACTCCAACGCCAACTGACCACCTCAAACAGAAAACAATTAGCCCACAAACTTCCCCTGAAATGTTAACCGGTAATATATATATATATATATATAAAAAAGAAGTCCTCTAGTAACGGCAGCCCCCCCAGTCACCAAAAAGAAGCGCTCGACCTCCGGCTGGTTCACAATAAAGCAATGTGGTTGCAGTTCATGCCTTCGGTGCGAGGGTGGTTCATTTTGGGGGATCGCCGAGGAAAGAAAACACTCATCCGATGGACGACAAGGAACAATACTCGTTCTGCAAAATACTCGATAAAACGACCAAATGCCGCTTGGAGGGAGACAAACTAAACGGGAGGGGAGGCGGAGCCATAATTATGCTTTTTTTGTCCTCCTCTCCAAGTTCAAGATCTTTGTGGGATGAAAATGCATTGGGGGAAAAGGATATATCTAGATCTATCGATGAATATATTCCTCAGAAACCTTCTCCACTCGTGTTCCAGAGTCTCGACCAGAGGTTAGACGGAGACGGCGCAGCTGTTTTTGTGGTAGTCCATCGTGAAATGGTCCGCTCCGAGTTCAAAATGGACCAATCCAACGGGGGAGCGTCGCTCACTGGAGCTTCTTCTTTGGATCGCAAGCCCCTCTCCCGCCTTCGAGGATACAAGTCTGTCTGAGGAGGAAAGTGGGCTTTTGTTTGTTCAATTACACATTTTTATTGGGAATTTATTGGGTTTCAGTGAAGTCTCCTGTGAGGGCGGAAAAGGAGAGAGGACGTTAGACAAACTTGTGCATACTGGAGTGATTGTATTAATGTTTATATTAATGATTCCAACAGGCCTTTGCTGCATTGTTGAACTAAATATCACATTAGTGATACTTTCTTTAAACTGTAATTCACTGTAAATCACGTAAAATAGTTAAACAAATGTTCGTTCTACTGTTATTTAGCACATAAAAATAAAACTATTTGATTTTGATAGTTTTTCAGATTTAAGGGTGTGAATATTGGAGTGTTGTTAATATGCATCTCTCTAAAAAGACTGTATTATGATATTTAGTTGACAAAAAATATCAATTGAGAGAATATTCTGGATTTTAATTGATAATGAAGAATTGTTAGTTGTAGCTCTCGTGTCTTATTTCACATCTGAATTTTTTTGGAAATTAGTTTACATTGGATGTAGTTTGATGAAACAGAAATGGTTGCATTTGGGATCAGCAGCAGAGAGGAAGATATTTCATACTGAGAACTGTGTTCTTTGGTCGTACGGACTCACACACCTGAGTCGGGTTGGTCGCTGTGCAGAATACGTGTGACCCCCCCCCCCCGTCAGTCGAAGGGATGCTCGGGGCAGCAGGGCTTCACTTTGGACCAGGAATCGATGCAGCTACAGGGAGGAGGACACACAGCAGCGTCATGATCCGCTCGCACTCCAAACGTCACAGCCTTCAAACCGTTGGGCCAACGAAACAAACTATTGAAGGCCTCACGATTTACGGCAATTTTTCATGGACCAAATAATGAATCAACTTATTGTTTTTTTTTAAATATGTTAGTCCGTGCAATATGACATTTTTTAAATTAACATTCTAAAAAATATATATATTTTTTTCTCTCCAAATCTCAGGTGCTGAACGCACGTCTCCATTTAACATGAATGATTCGCAACACAGTTTGGGTTTGCAGACAAAGGACAATAAGGTATAATAATAATAATAATAATACTGCGTGTTTCTGTGATTAGTTGAACCCTCACTAATTTGCATAAAAATATTCTCTCCTCTTTTGTTTGCATCCGTCCGCCATTCATCTGGATGCAAATACACCAACGGACTTCTTTACCTCTTGTGGTAGACGCAGAGGCAAGGCAGCCTGGCGATGGTCTCTCCCTGTGCCAGATCCTCCAAACAGATGGAGCACTCGCCGCTGTCTTTACAGAGCACGTCCGCTGCGCACGCACACACACACACACGCACAGGTAAACACACTGCAACCATGAGTTTTGAACACCAGGCCCCGCCTGGGATAGGACACTTACTATTGTACGGCAGCGGAGGAGACGTGAGGCAGCTCAACAGGTGATCCTCGATCCGGCCCCCCGGGAAGGACTTGGAGCAGAAAGGACAGCGGATATCTGCACGGAGAGACAACAGAGCTCGGATTAACACACGGAGACACAAACTCAAGATCACACCATCTAGATTACACAGGCCGACTTGGAGCACAATCGCTCATTCTCATTCCTGGAGATGGCGCGAGTGATGGGACCTCGTGTGCAGCTGACCCCAAAATAGCTTTAAACTGTATTTGACCGTACGCACCACGCGATGCGGGGGATTAAGGCTGGAGGAACGAGGCCGGGAGTGGACGGGACACTGAGCCTCGCGGCCCTCCATCCCCTCCCTCCTCCTCCTCCATCTCAACGCGCTGCGGCCAACCGCGTGACGCCGTGACCCGTTTCCCCGGCCCTGGGAAACCAAGCAGCCCGTTGGGTTCCGATGTCACGTCGGACCACGTTTTCTCTGCGTGCCTTTTCACTTCCTGATTTCAATGCGGAGGAGGGGGGGGGGGATGTCGTCACCGGATGTTTGCAACTTGCACGCTGCGGGGGTTTGGCCGCCAACGGGCCCCTGGGACGTGACAGGGCTCGTACGTCGCCACGTCCCGTTTTACGCCGCAGCTCCGCGTTGCACAATAAGGTCTCTGATGATTTTTGCCAGTGTGCAAAGCACGGGAAAAGAGATTATCTGTTCAGGAATGGAAACCGATTTCAGGTCCAGACCGGGAAGAATGAGGGCTGCACGGGGAGGAGATGTTTGAATGCAAAATGTATAAAGTGTTGAATGAGACATTAAATGTGTGCCTTTTTGTGCAAGATATAAACAGTCGTTCTCAACATCTGTTCTGGTGTGATGGATTTAATTTTCTCTGATTTTGTTTACTATTGTGGCTGTTATGGCTATTAAGTTGACAATGACCATGCTTACTTGCTACTTTACCATTATATCCATATTATTATTATTTTTCTCTGACCACAGGGACCCAAACAACATCACATTTATATGCTGAGATTAGTATTAATGATTCAAACCAACGTAAAGTGAAATGTTCAAATTCTGTACAACATACAACAACAACTGATGGAAACGAGACAATTATTATGGTATTTATGCAGCACAATGAATCAAAAAACTTGCACATAGAAAAGACTAAAGTACAAAACCACTGTGTGCACATGTTTGACTTACTGCCATGCCGGTTGTTAACACGGTACAGGCCGATCCAAGCCTCTGACACCGGCCGCTGGTGTGTGCTGCGGACCCGGGCGGACCTTGCCCCCACGCTGCGGGCGGAAGAGTGCCGATTCCCGGGCAGCCGCTCGGAAAAAGTGCGGTGGGGCGTGCGGCCTGTCTCCTCCCCGGCGGGATGCTCCTCCGCCGCCGCCGCCGCTGCTGCAGCAGCTGCTGCCGCTGGGGGGGCCTCCGGGCTCGCGTCCTCTCCGTCCTCCTCGGGCTTCCCCTCGCTGCAGTCGTCGTCCGCGGGGGACGCGGGTCCGACGCTGGAGGGGATGCTGCGATGGTCGCCGGGGCTCCCGTCGGCGCTGGCCCCCTGCTGCCCCGGGTCCGAGTCGCTGCCCTCCTCCGATCGGCTCCGGTGGGCCTCCGCGTCCTCGAAGCTCGCCGAGAATTCGACCATGAGGCTGGTGGGCCTTGCGCAGCGGGGCCGCCGGTAGGAATCCCGCTTCGGGGCATCTTTGCCGTAGGTCGAGGGAACCGGCTCCTCCTGTAGACGACTCGCTCTGGCCCCCATCGCTGGCAAGCTAACAGGCTAACTCAGCTGGCTAGCCGAGCTGCTTCCTCAAAGCGAACCACCACAGCACAACGGGGGACGGGGGGGGGCAAGTTAACCTCGAAACGACCCTTAAAACTCAAGTATATTCTCAGGGGAAGTTTAAAAATCAACAGCTGCCTGGTGACCGAGCTCACAGAACACGATGTTCGTCACCGGGCGGTCCGTCTCTGGCCTCAGCTCGTTCGAACCGTCCACGTTCGTTCATTCTCTCTCTCTCTCTCTCTCTCTCTCTCTTGACGTGCGCGTCTCGCGCTGCTGCAGCGGAAACGGAGCGCGCTCGCTTCCTCCTCTGAGCCGCACTCCAACCGTTACGGTAGCGTCACTGCGTCACCCGAGCAGTTTGCAACATTAGCACAAACACACGCACACACAAACACATTTTTAAACAAAGGCAACATCCACGTGTGTGTGTTTTAGTTTTGGGGCGTATTAATAATTAACCTCTTTTACTTTCAAAAGTTATTTGACTTCGTTTTACGTTTTCAGCATGGGCACCGGTACACGCGTAGTTACGGTAATAAAGTACACAGAACACTGACCAATCAGCGCCCTCGACACAGGGGCGTCATCCGCCGCTCGGTTGAGATCATTCACAGTAAATCAGGAAGTAAACTTAAACTGAGCTGCGGAGATTGGAAATAGATGCAAGCACCTCGGCACGCCGGCAGGAGACCTCACTCACGGGGGGGGGGACACTTTTGTTTGCGAGTCAAAGCCTTCGTCCGTGGGATTTAAAAGGGTTTCCTTGTTTCCGGTAGGTTCTCCTACGTTCGGCCTCGGCGTCCACAGCCAGGAAAACTCTTGAGTCATCGCAACGTTCCCGACGGGAACTATGAGACATCTGGACCAATGTTGACTAATGTCTCACTTGTCTTCATTCTGACTGGCGGCCTTGTTGTTAATGCAGTAGAGTATTTTTGTTCATTGTTAATATTGCACTCAATATAACGTAGCTGTTCAAACACGACAATTTAAGAATTTAGAGATTAACTAACTGGACACTTCTTGGTTTACAATTACATTTACTGTCACTCAAGGTTTCTCTTTCTAGCATTTCATCTTTAGTGTCATCTTTAACGCATTTAATTTGACTAAGTTTTGCATTCTATAGTGAAACTGGGAAAAGCCTGTCTGGGCTGATTACATCCAGACTTTGTCCACTTTTTATGGACCCTACCTACGGAGCAGCACACACCCTTCTGCAGTACAATGCTTGTTTAAACATCTACAGTATAAGAATGCTGCTGAGCGGCTTGTCCCCATGTTTGATGCCGTGCAGCTTTGTGTGCTTCTGACAGCCGTTGACACTCTGATTCATGTGTTTCTCTGCAGCGATGAGGGCGTTGTGTCTGCAGAAGGCCAACGTGGCCCAAGCAGACCAGCCGCGGGTCACGTGTGGGAGACGTTTGTCCTCCGACTATGCTCCTCTGTGTCTGGAAAACAAGCTCCTGGCTCAGAGCTCCACGTTGATGCCTCAGCCCGGCTATTCGGCGCCGGCGTCCTCTCTCCAACCCTCCCGCCTCTCGTCCACCTCGTCCTCCCTCCTCGCCGCGTCTCTCACCCCGCCGTGCCGCCCCTCTCCGCTGCTCAGCACGGAGAACCGGCTTCTGACTGACCTTTCGCCCGGCTTCTCCTTCTCCCTCGCCTCCTCTGCGTCCGTCCCAAATGACCCCCCGCTCTTTACGTCCCTGGCCGGCGGTTCCCTGCTTGAGCGCTTCGCTGGCGCCCCTCCCTTCCTCCACCACGCCGTGGGTGGGGAACAGAAGAGTCACGGCGGAGGAGATGAAGGCGGGAATGAAGTGATGCAGTGCTCTTTTGAAGAAACCAGTGTGGTAGGTGAAATTATTTTATTATTTATTTTTGCAGTAACATAAAATCAAATGATCCATTTTTATTTAAAGTATTGGACATGATGTTTTGATGCTTCCTGTTGGTGGTATAAATGCTTTATTACAACGCCTCCTGCATCAGCAGTACTCTGAGGAAGAAGATATTTTGCCAGAAGATGAAGAGGAGGAGGAGGACGATGATGCACTGGTAGCCATGGAGTTACCTGCCCAGGAGTCGGGCAACGAGGAACTCGAACAAACTACGTTCATCAAACAAGAGGAATTCGCTGAGATTGACAGAGCAAATGAAAATATTGAGGAGGAGCTGCAAGATAAGAAGGTGGGGGGAAGTGTTTTACACTTCATATTTATGTTTTTGGTGCTGGCTTTGTTTCAGCGCTTCTCTGCACCGCCGCCACCTGATCGTTTTCCTGTGTTGCATGAACGCGCCCTTCAGTGTCTCCCTGTCCGTCCGTCCCCCAGTATCTGCTGCTGAACGCCGTGTGCTGCTCCCTCGTCAATAAGAGCACAGCACCGGGACAGAAGGACTGGGACTCGGAGAAGAGCGTTTGGACCAAGGTCATCCGCCTGTCCAGGGACATCTCTGTCCGCGACCCGCAGTTTCTCCTCAAGGTGAGTTTGCAGGTCTGTGTGTGAATCTGGAGACGTTTCTGTTTGTACGTCAAACTCGCTCTTGTGGTTAACGTTTTATCTCTACGAAGGCTTCTACTGAAAAACACCGGCAACCCTGACAAGACACGTCGAGCAATGCTTTGTATCAGGAGTGTATTTAAAGATATTTTGATATTTGTGAATGGACGTCTGCATTGGAACATGCAAACACTGCACATGCATAAATACATCCCACAAATGAATTGGATTGTTAAATTAGGAGAGAACAAAGTGACCGTACAATATAATAAATAGTGAATATATGCAGACTTTATATTTTAGCTTCCATTCATTTCAGTATAAAACCGGTTACTTGTTCTGCAACTCGTTCCATGTGAGCGACCTACTTTTTTCTTTGTCTGTCAGTAATTCCCTTTAAATGTCAATATTTGTCAATATCAATTCATTGATATGCTATTTTCTTGCAGGATCAGTTTTACACCAATAATTTGTTAAGACGGAGTTTTTTTTTGTCCCCTTGACGTGTCGCATCACAGCTGCTTGGAAGGACGTCTTCTGTAATGTCTCCTATTGTCTCCTCTAATTGTTAAATTAGGCCCCACGTTACCACGGAGGGTGTTAAAAAGAATCCAGTTAGATGATTGCATTTTGACAAGTTCCCTTATTTCCTTCCTTGTTCAGCATAAAATCCTTTAGCTGGAGTTAATCATCATCATCATTTCATCAGTCGTTCTTTCTTTTCTACCATTCAGGTGGCGGTTTACACTCGACAGGAGCTCAACATCCGCATCACAGCAAACTTCTTGTTGGCCCTGGCCGCCAATCTGCCCTCCACCAAGCCACACGTGCGCCGATACTTCTGCGCCGCCGTTCAGCTGCCCTCGGACTGGCTGGAGGTCGTCCGGATCTACAGCGCGGTGAGTCTCGGCGGGTGCATGTGGACGCGTCAGCTCCGTCCCCGTCATGACACCCCCCCTCCCCTCCCCCCGTGTGTGTGTGTGTGTCTGCAGTGCTTCAGTCGCTCCCTGCCGTCGTGCTTGAAGAAGGCAATGGCCGACAAGTTCAAGCAGTTCAACGAGTATCAGCTGGCCAAGTACAACACGCGCAAACACCGCTGTAAACACAGCCGCAACCGGCCGAAATCCAAGGTACCGAGGCCTCGACTCTGTTTATTTAGTTTAACGTTAAAGACGCGTGTAGATCTTTATAATACTTGCATTACACCTTGCTGATAATCTTTAAATATACTTCTGTTTCTGCACTTTGATCTCCAGAAACCGAGTGACGAGCAGATGAGAAAGTGGGCGAACTTGCTCCGATCAGACGAGTCTATTCTGAAGAAGTTTGTAAGTCAGATGTTTCCACATTTTGAGTTATTTTGAATGTTTTCTTCGGTAGATTTAGAAGTGATATTTAGCTGTAGGGCTTAAGTGCACAATCATTTCTGCTGTGGTGAAGTACTAACGCGGGTACCACTGGTTTGTGTGTGTGTGTCCGTGTGCGCAGTTGAAGGAAGACGGCAGCAGAGCGGTGGTGGATAAAAAGCAGAAAGAGTTCAGTATGAAGAAGATGATCGAGAAGTTTCACATTAAAGAACCGGCTGAACACGTAATGGCCATCCTGGGAAAAAAGTAAGTCCGAGGAGCGCGTCACCGGGGTTTTGCATCCCCTTTTCTCTTGTCCCGCCTGTCTCACTTGGACGTGACGTTCTTGTGTCGGCCTCAGGTATCCTGCCGACCCGAAGACGTTCACCCGCAGTGGAATAAAGGGCTCGTGGGACAGGGAGAGAGCCGGGCAGCGGATGAAGCTCAAAGAGCCGGAGACGTGGGAGCGGCTGCTCAGCCAGGAGGGCAACAAGGCCGCCACCTGGGAGAAGCTCATAGGTGCGCTCGTAGTGCCAAAGCCCCACAGCAGCCAACACACCTGCGACTATTAAAACATGAACGCTCTCTCTGCCGTGCAGACAATAAGTCTCTTCCCTTCATGGCCATGCTGAGGAACCTGAGGAACATGATCACCAAGGGCATCAGTGAGGCTCATCACAAGAAGATCCTCAGCAGGCTGACCAATAAGGTGAGATGTGACCGCTGCGTCATCCTTCTTGGAAAGGATGTAAAACGTTGGCTGACTGTGTTTTCGTTGATGCTGCCTACAGAAAGCGGTTGTTCAGAGCCGTCAGTTTCCCACCAGATTCCTCGCTGCCTACAAAGTCATCATGGAGCTCAACGCTTTGGGTGAGACACAAGCTTCTCTTTGGTCCTTTCATGGGATTCCTTGACCATGTCCTCAGAAGGGATTTCAATGACTGGCCAGTTTCCCGTATTAAAGCCAACCACAGAATACAGATGTTGACAAACTACCACATCAGCCTAATCTTGCTTGAGGAAGTGTGCCTCTGAATTACGGCAACGCCGATCACACGCAGCTCTCCCCCTCTGTCCTCCAGCCCTCCAGGCGTCGAAGCAGGCGCTGCCCCCCGTTCAGGAGATCCTGAAGGGCATCCTGGGTAAGATTCCCAAGAGCAGACGCTTCAAAAGTCTGGACTGGGAGACGACTCCGAGGAGCCGGATCCGGGTGACCATGGGAGTGCCGTTTATCTATCGCCTCTACAAAGCCAAGAAGACCCAGCTCATGAATGCCAAGTATGGGGGGGGGGCGACTTCGTCTCCGTTTGTTTTTAGCAACTCAGAAAGGAAGCGTGTTTTGTTTAGATCCGTTAAAAAGACGACAAAGACAATAGTCACGTGGATGTGTAGTATGTGTTGTGTAGACTGCGTCTCTGCACCCCAGTAAGCAGGAGTTCACCGTCGCCCTGCTGGACCGTTACCGCGGCGCTCTGGAGACGGCCGTGCAGCTCTCCTGTCGGTACAACGTGCCTCCGCTGCCCGGACGCACCGTCGTCGTGCTCGCCTGCGAGATGGACAGCAAGGACCCGTGTCAGAAAGTGGACTTCTGTCTCCCGCCGGAACCCGGGCAGAAAAACGAGGAGGAGGAGGAGGAGGAGAGCGGAACGAAGCCAGACGACAATCCCACTGTTTCCGTGAGGGCCTGTTTACTTGTTGTTGTTTCAACTGGGATCTTTTCTTTATGCTTTCTAATTACCGTCTTCTCTGCGCGAAGGAGGCGGTGGCTTTGCTGTCGCTGATGATTGCCAGCAGTGCAGAGGACTGTCAGCTCTGCTTGCACAGCTGGAGGAACAGCGAGGAAGTCAAGCTGGAGTCGGACGTCCTTTTAGATAACGTCAGGAGCTTGCTGAAGCAAATGAAGGTCAGGGCTCTTTTCTCTCTGTGTCCCGCTTCTGTTTCCCATAAGTCGACTTTTCAAAACTCTGCATGCATTTATTTGCGCTTTTATGCAGAGATGCAACTTGCTCAGAAGCGTTTCCTGCTTTAATTAATGGAACCTGTCCCACTCAGGCCTTTTCTGAGATGCCGTACGAAGCGAGGCGCTGCCATTGCCTCACCACAATGCTCAGCAGGTCCAACAAGGTTGGTCGATTTCTTCTTTTTCTATTTCTGAAAATAAAAATAGATCATATCTCATGCTCATCATGTTCAAATATAACAGGCACAAACGTGAGCATATACAATATTCTGGGATTTGCCTCTCAGGTGGACAACATCGTCGTTCTGACCGACCGGTGGCTGAGTCTTGAAATCCAGTGGGCCGTCGAAACCTACAGGACGGACGTAAACGACAAAGCCCTCATGGTGCAAATCCACATGGAAGACGGGTAATGCTCCACTTTCCTGCCGCAACACTCTCACAGCGCTGAGAAGCTAACGTTGCGCAACGTCGCTCACTTATAACCGCCTCCTTTCAGCAGCGACGGGTTCTTTTTCATCTGCTTGTTTGCAAAAAGGAAGAAAAGTTCATTCATAGCAACAAACAAAATTCTGCGGGCTTATGTTTCCTGTCAATGCTAATTATAATAATGCTAACTCTCGTGAATTTATAGCTACTTCTGTTTATTTGCAGAGAGTCAGAGTTGGTGGATGACCGGAACTGTGTGAAGCTCTACGGCTTCAGTGACCAAATACTGAGGTAAAACCGCTGCTCCCCCATTTTGATCAAACGCAAAAAAGGTTTAGATGGGTTGTAAAGCTCACTCCTTTGCTTCCTGGTTATGATATAATTATAATGGTAGAATATTTCACGCCATGATCCCTCTCATATCTGTTAAATATGAGTCGTAGGCTGGACCAGGACCAGTGTCACTGGTTCCTGGGATACTCTAAGGCCAACTAATTACCTCAGGCACTTGTTTGTTTATGCTGTACAAATAATGAAATGGGAAATAGACCAGGAAGTCACAGGTGTTAAATTGTCCTTTTTATACTCTGATTATTGTGCAGATTAAGAAGATTACAGGATAATTATTGAGCTTTGCGTGTTTTGGTTGGTGGATCCGAGCTAGGCTTCACATTTATGACCGTCTAACTCTTAACTTCCCGTCTAACTCAAGACGAGGACGAGAACAACGATTAACGTTTGTCTTTGACTTTGGGACCAGGTTTGTGGCCGAGCGAGGGTCCTCCAGGCTGCTGGACCACGTGGAACATTTAGACAAAGTCTACAACATCCCGCCACCCGAGGGGGCTCGAGCCCCCGAGACCACAAATTGTGTCGCTCCGATACCAGCCAGCCCCAAACTGAGGTCATCTTTGCTCTGCTCCACGTTGAAGAGACCAGGAGACGCCTCCTCTCCCTCTCACGCGCTCACCGGCTCCTCCCTCCGTCCTCAGGTGGCGCAGCGTGCGAGTGTTCGTCTCCTCCACCTTCAGAGACATGCACGCCGAGCGCGACGTCCTGGTGCGCGCCGTGTTCCCGGAGCTGCGGCGTCGCGCCGCCTCCCGCCGCCTCCACCTGCAGGAGGTGGAACTGCGTTGGGGCGTGACGGAGGAGGAGTCGGGGCGGGCCGCCGAGCTGTGCCTGTCGGAGGTGTGTCGCAGCCAGATGTTGGTGGGGATCCTGGGGGAGAGGTACGGCCTGGTGCCTCCCCGACCGCTCCTCCCGGACCTGCCGCAGCACAGCTGGGTGAGACTTAAAGTTAAAGAACTAAATGATTAAAATTAATTTAATTAAAATGAATTTAATTGCATTAGCATTTTACTTTATTTTATTACTTGTGCACTGGTGTCTTGTTGTCTATTGTTACACTGTCTGCTGTCACGGACCAACCGCCAAGACAAATTCCTTGTATGTTTGACATATTTTGGCAATAAATGTTTCCTGATTCCTGAAATGAGAAAGGTGATTCTCTGAAATATTAAGATAAATAATCCTTTGTTTCTCCGCGTGCAGCTGGCGTCGGCCCCAGCGGGCCTCTCCATCACAGAGATGGAGATCCGTCAGTTCCAGGCTCTTTACCCCGACACGGCACAACAGCGGATGTTCTGCTACTTCAGAGATCCGAACATCACCAAGTAACCGACGCGCTCGTCTGAGCAGCCACTTTGTTCTGCTGAAGTTGAACAAATGAGTCGCGGGTTGTAGATTTCTTTTGTTAGAAGTGCGTTCACTTCCCTCTGTTTCTCAGCGCTGTTCCGGTGGCTTGGAGATCTGACTTTGCCTCTGAATCGAAGGAGGCGGAGTCTAAAATGGCGTCACTGAAGAGAAGGATCCGGGCCAGTGACGTCAAGGTCACGGAGAAGTGAGTCATCTCTGTTGCATCTACAGCACCTTTACAATTGTTCTCCTTTAAGACTTTTATTTTGAAAGCGGCCTCAAAGTGCAATGTTTATTGGAAAATTTGGAATATTTTATTCTGAAACGAATCCACCATTTGTGTATTTTCCTGTCACAGTTACTGTTGTGAGTGGGGCGGCGCTGTGGAGGGGAAACCGTATCTGAAACATCTGGAGGTCTTTGGCGAAGCCGTGCTGGAAGACCTGTGGGCGGCCGTGGAAACGCTGTTTGTGGAAGTCAGTCATTTTCATTTCTTTACAAACTCTTTCTTAACCAAACTAGTTTTGAATGTTTTATTGTGATGCATCATTGAGATGAATTAATTTTTAATAAATTGATTATTTTCCATGTAAACAAACATAATGGCTAAAGACGCAGGAAAAAGAAAAGAAAATCCATAAATAAAATAATAATAAACTCACTAACCAAACTTAGCTATGTGAAACCATTGGTAGAATAAGTATTTTAACTACTTGTAAAGGTGTGTGTGTGTGTGTGTGTGTGTATGTATGTGTATATATATATATATATATATATATATATATATATATATATAAACGTATGATCAACAAACAATACTTAGTATTTGTTATGCTTAATAGTTCTTGTCACTGTTGTATTTTTCTGTTATTGGCTCATTATCAATGTTTAAAATTAAATAAATAAAGATAGGTAGGTAGTTTAATTTTTAAGTTTGAGAAAAAGCTACTTATAACGGGTTCATATACTGTTGGATATAATCCATGCTATTACAATGCATATTTTTTAAACTGCACTATATATTTGGTATTTTAAATTACTAATTTATTGAGTAAATGAGTAAATGTTCTCTGTTGTTTTCCTTTGCAGCATTAAACTACTAAAGAAAAAGTATTTGACTTTTTCCGTTTGGACAAAATGAAAAGCACTAAATAGCAATCAAACACCTCCTTGTTCTCCGCGTCGCAGGAGGAGGACGAGGCATCGTCCGACGCGACGGAGCAGGAGGTCCACCAGGAGGCGCTGCGGAGGCAGTTCTCCAGCCGGGCGAAGCTGCTGTCCGGGGCCGTGGAGGTAGCGGAGCAGGCCCGGAGCAAAGGGGGGCTGATGGTGGTGGAGGCCGGACCCGGGGAGGGAAAAACCGTCTTCATGGTACATTTTCATCCCTCAGAGTACTTTTACTATTACCTGTTAGATGTAGTGACTTGGATGGATTTGGATGTGAAATGCCCTGATATGCTTTCTGGATTCATTAATCATCTGCTCGTCCTATAAAATGTCAATTACATTTTTTTCTTATTTTTCTTGAGAAGAGTAAGCATTTAATCCCAAAACCTGCCTTTTAAGGTACGATGTAATGCAGGACTGTAACAGGTTGTGAATCCTCGAAAACGCATGTCTCTCTCTCTCTCCACTCAGGCCGCTCTAGCAGACGGCCTCAGGAATGGAGTCAAGTCCAGGACAAACCTCGCCTGTGACATCATCGCCTACTCCACAGCTGCCAGCCAATCGGCACGCTCGGTGGAAAACCTGCTGCGATTCCTCGTTCGCCGGTTGAGAAGGATGAACGACACCAAGGAGGCGTCGCCTCTTCCCCGCTCTTACAAGTAGCTGGATTTTCAAGCATCCTTTGAAAGAACTTGCAGCATGTTTCACGATTCACCAACAGCGATTCCCTCCAATTTGACTGCTTTTAATTGCAGAGATCTGCTGTTAGAATTTCACTCCTTCTTGAGTGGCGTAAAGAGGGAAAAGGCTGTGGTGCTGCTCATTGATGGAGTGGATCTCCTGCAAGACGGCCGAGGTCAGCTCAACTCTGATTGGATACCACAGCAGCTTCCACAGGTCAGTTACACGCACAGAAAAATGCCTGAAACGGAATCGCGTTTCTTTATCTTAATTTGACCCGCTTTATTGTCATTGTTCCGAACTGTTCTGTTAAAGTACATTCAAATTAAATGTTATTTTCCGTGCAAAAGCAAAGGATTCTGATTCACGGTTTTGGATGTCGAACAAAAACTGATCTATGGAACTACATTTTTAGGGGTTTCAGATTCTCTGTTTTTTTTTTTTCTTGTCAGGGAGTTTGTTTGGTATTGAGCATCACAAGCAAAGCGCCACTGTTACAAACGCTGGCCGAGAAAAGAGGCGCCGTCCTGTTGGCGCTGGGGCCGCTTACCGTGCTGGACCGGAAGGAGATGGTTAAGAAGGAACTGGACTCCTTCGGGAAGAAACTCAGCGACTCCGCATTCAACAACCAGGTTCCTCTCGTGTGCACTTGATCATTTACCCCGAGCTGTCTCAATCCAACGCTGGTCTCAACTGAAACATGTGCCGCGTGCAGCTCCAGACGCTGGTGATGAAGAAGGGAGCAGCGAGTCCTCTCTACCTGCACCTGGCCTGCGAGGACCTGAGGAACTTTGCCTCCTTTGACAAGGTTTAAACGCGCTTTAGTCGCGACGCGCGCGCACGTTGCCGTTGCTTTCTTCCCCCGCTGGGTGCTCACGGCCCCGTTCCTCCGTGTCTGCAGTTGAAGGAGAGCCTGCAGGACTTGCCTCAGTCTCTGAGCCAGTTGGTGCACCGCAGCCTGGCCCGACTGTGCACGCGGTTCCGAGGCGAGCGGGGGCTCCGCTGGGCCCTGGCCGCTCTCGCCGTCAGCTCCACCGGTACCGCCACTCCAAGTCTTAATCGTTTTTCTGTACTTGCATGGAACACTACAGGCGGGGCAAATCGGTAGCGGGCCGTTTACTGTCTCGACCCGTTTCTCGTCCTCTCCATCGACAGGGCTGAGGGAGAGAGACTTGTACTCTGTGCTGAACACCTGCAGCGACTTGTCCTCGCGGGACGGACGGCTCGCCTGGCAGGACGTGCTGCGTCTGTCCAGGAAGCCCGAGGGGCGACTGCCCATGGCCACCTTCACCCGCATAGCGCAGAGTCTACAAAGGCACATGGGTTATGCCGATTGGGGTGGGGGGGGGGGGGGCTTTTACATTTTCGAAGCGCACGAGGTGCAAGTTAAAAAACCTTCTCGGTTCTCATCCGCAGCCTGATCGGTCCGTCCCAGTGCCGCGACACCGACGACCTGCTGGCTCTAACCAATCCGGAGGTGAGGAGGGCCTTCGAGGACTTCCTCCTCCCAACAGAGAGTGACCGGACCAGAGCTCACCTCGTGCTGGCAGGTAAAGCCCCCGCGGCCTGTTGTTAACACAACAGCGCGGGTGTCAAATCCGCTTCACTCACCGGCTCTTTCCGCAGCTCACCTGTGGGCGCTGGCCGACCCGCAGGGCACGGACACCTTCCTCCTCTGCGAGGCCAACTCCGTCATGCAGCTGCCCGCGAACCTGGTGAGTCATATTCCATCACCGCTGCGGCACGAGCAGCAGCGGAAGAAGCACCTTGTTCTCACTTGATCTATTCCTACCCGACCTTATTTTCTCATTGCTCCTCAGTTTAAATAATAATTGGTTTGTCTAACTGGTTTCTCGTGATAAATGCGCTGCCTTTTCCATTTGGCTTTGGTCAGAATCGAAGCGGCCAGGTGGAGGCGCTGCACTCTCTGCTCTCCAGCTACTACTTCCTGTACGCAAACGTGCGCCACGGGCTCCTGCACCACCTCCGGGAGGCCTACAGCCTGTGTGGTGAGCGTGCATTCGGCTGCTTGTTCGACGGTCGTCACTTTGTCGTGCGTGAAAATGAATTTGGGATCGTGAACAAGGTCGTGTTCACTCCTGTCTGAACAAAAGAAAATCCTAATGTTGGTGAAATTCTGCCTCTCGTGTAGATGGCGAGAATCCGTCCGCGGCCTCACGTAAGCGCTCAAGAACACACTGCTCCCACAAACCCCCGCCCAGTGTGTTTCTGTTCCTCCTTTAGGAGCTTCTCTCCCTGTGCTCCCAGTTGGCTTCCAGGATCGTCTAGAAGACTGCCGGCGCTTCCTGCGGCGACACGCCCCCCTCCTCTCCTCGTGGCCGGCTCTGTTCCTGCAGCAGGCCCTCAACGAGCCCCCAGAGACCGCTGCTCACATCTGGGCGCGAGGCCTGACGGGCCGCGGGGGGCCGCGGGTCGTCGAGTGGCTGAACAACGACGCCGGCGGGATTCTCCAGGAGACCAAGTGAGAGGGTCTTAAGTTTGTCTCTCTGAACGTTTGATGCCATGTCGAACGAGGCTTTGACGGGGGCGTGTGTCCCGGCGCAGTGAGCTCGTGTCGACTTTCTCTTCCGTTCCGACCTGCTTGGTCGGGAGCTCGGATGGAGAGCTCATGGTGGTCGGCACCGGGCGGGGGATGCTGCACCTCATCAGCACTCGGACCGGACACGTAAGTTCTTCACTCGCAGCTCAATGCACGTCAAATATGATGTTTTCACTTTAAAATCCGTGCATTTTAGCCGCATTTCTTCTACTGATTGTTGACACTAAATCTAGCTGGTTTAAATTGGGTTTCACAGCCCCCGGTTCAAGGTTTAATGTATGACGTTGAAAAGAATTCTGCAGAAGTTGAAATATGTTTTCTCCAGAAATGATTTGTTGGAAGAAAAAAAAGAGGTTGTTCAATTGTCGAGCGCATTGAGATGAAAAAGCAACAAAAAATGTCTGAAATGAACTCCTACAAACAGGAAGTGAAGTCGTTGGTGAGCAGCTGTGACGGCATCTCGAGCTGCGTCCTCCTGAAGGACGGACGTCTTGCCACCACCTCCTTCGATGGACGGATAGAGATCTGGGACATCGCCAATGGCTGCCGGTGGGAGGACGGTTCGATCCCCTGATATCATATGATGAAGCTACCGACGTTTGAATGAACCCGTGTTCCTCGTCCTCGCAGGACCGCTCTCATCCAGGGACACGCCAACGTGATAACAGGAAGTGACCTCACCGCAGACAGGAAGCACCTGGTCACTGTATCCCTGGACTTCATGTTAAAGGTCAGTTTCAAAGAAAGGAGGACTGTAAAACCACCGCATGTTGCGGTTAAAAGCGAAATACATTTAATAGAACCACACATCTGTAAGTTCTCCGTCTACGTTGTGCTGCTTTTGTCCTTCACAGGTTTGGTCCTCTGCTAAAGGCCACGAGGTGGCGGCCCTGCCCAGCTCCAGCCCTTTGAACTGTGTGACCTTTGACCCCGAGGGTCACCTGCTGGCTGCTGGTTGCTGGAATGGGAACGTGATTGTGTGGAACTGGCTGCAGAACAGAACTCTTGCGGTGAGTTATGAAGCCGGATGATAATGGGAGTTGAAGCCACCTCTTCAAATGTGATGCCGTTTAAAAAGATGATTTATAAACAGCATTAGACAACGTAGAGACGCTTTTATAGGTGTATAAAACGTATAAAAATAAAAGTGTCTCTAGATGGAGAAATGTACAATATTATAATGACTCAACTGACCAACAGCCTTTTTTAAGAAACGTCAACATGACATCATTTTATAAGAAAGAAACCATCCAAATATATTTAGCTTGTCTCAATCATAGAGCCTGTAACTTCCGGCCGATTTATTGAGTTGCAATGTGGGTAATTTTTTGTCGACAATTTGAATGCGCGTGATGCTGAATGAGTTGCGTTTTTTGTTCCCGCAGTCGCTGACGGGCCACCGGCGCTCGGTGCGCAGCGTCTCCTTCTCCCCGTCCTCCTCCATGCTGTGCTCCGGCTCCATCTCCGGGGAGGTGAGGCTGTGGTCGGTGCCCAGCTCCACCTGCGTGGGGTGTTTCCAGGCTCACCGCGGAGCCGCCGAGGCCCTCGCCTTCCTGGACGGAGGCAGCACGCTGCTCACCGCCGGCTCCGACCACCTGGTGAGGAGTAACTGCTTCATGTTGAGAGGACAAGAACGTAGGATCGTTGTTGCCGTTGTCGAAACGCTCCGTTTTGTGTTTTTGCTCTCGTGTAAAACAGCTGCAGCTCTGGTCGGGAGGACTCGGGCGTTCGGTCGCCGCATTGAAAAGTGATGACGTAAGCGCCTTGTCTATCTTGCGTTGACTTCCCGCCGTGTGCGTGCGTGCGTGTGTGTGCGTTAACCGCTTTAGAGAGATTGAAAAAAACAACGGCTGGCGTTCAGAGAAGTAAAGCTTCCCTCGTGTGGTTTCTCAGGGCGATCCGGAGCCTCCGCTGCAGAAGCTGAAGTCGGCGACGTCCGAGCCGGCCGCCCTGTGCGTCGCTGTGAATGGAGACTGTGCCGCCGTCGGATACCACGGGGACGGCATCAAGCTCTTCAGCCTCGACTCAGGTGTGTTTATGTCATAATTCACATTCAATCGCCGGACGACACCAATACGACGTCGTTGGATATGAACTTTTCATCAGGAAACAAAACTTAATTTAGAATTTACAATGTCGCACAAAATGAAGATCCTGTGATTTGAAAAATGAAACGAGCGGACAATACTGTTTGGAATTGTCCTCTCAGGGAAGAAGACGTGGGACTCGGGGGGCCTGGACGTGTCCACCCTGAGCCTGCTGTGGGTCGCGCGGGACGCCGAGCACAGCCAACCGGAGCTGCTGTTGTCCGCGGGAAGCGACAAGCGCGTGAGGGTCTGGAGGAGAGCGGACGAGGACGCGGGGCTGCTGGCGGGGCTGGAAGAGTGGGGGACGTTCAACGTGCAGCCGGGCGCCGTCCAGGCCATGGCACAGAACGCCACGTACCTGGCCACAGCTTCAGGTGAGCGTCCCTAACGTCCTTTTTTTTTTAAAGGGACAAGCGTCGGATTGAACCGGTCTCCTCGTAACCGTTGGCTCCCCTTCTGTTCTGCCCTGTTGAGTCAGATGAGTCCTCCATTGTCCTGTGCTCGTTGCGTGATCTGGCCCTCGGCCCCTCGCTCCAGCCTCACGCGCTGCTGAGCGGCCACAGTGGAGCGGTCACCTGTCTGGCCTTCAGCCCCGATGGTGGACAGCTGCTCTCCGGTGGAAAAGACAAGGTGCGTCGCTTATTGTGCGCGGTGAAAGTTTTGTAGGAATGATGTATTCAGACTAGGTTCCCTCGACAAAGACAATCACACAAATAACACTCGAGTAAAGGTGATTTTTTTTTTTAATATCTTTTTGAGACAAAAACAAAGTATCGTGGTCTTTGTGTTTTCAGGCGCTGCTGGTGTGGGACGTCAGCTCCTCCCCTGCCGTTCTCTCCAAGTCGCTCCTTCACTGCCACAAAGACTGGATCACCAGCTGCGCTTGGACTCCAGACTGCGCGGTAAATCCTCACCACACGAGTGTCGCCGACCTGAGCCGGTTGAGCCGTCACCCCCGATGTCCACAGCACCTGTGGAGTTCGCCCAAACGTGTCTTCCGTCTGCCTCCCTCGTCTGTCACAGATTAGCTCCTCGAGCGACGGGGCGCTTTGTTCGTGGGATCTGCAGGCGGGCCGCTGCCTCCGAGAAATAAACCTGAGGGATCCGCTCGCGTCCATCTGCTGCCTCGTGAGCAAATGTCCCACATTCATCCGTCGGAGACGATGCGTATAAATGTGAGGTATGTTTTCTTTCTCCCTCCTTGCGGAGCGGGTTCTGTTGAGCCGGTGTGTTTTCCGTGTGCAGGGCGGCTATGTGGTGGCCGGCGGAGCCGGGGGGACGCTCCATGTTTGGAACTGGGAGACAAACGTAGAAATCTGCCACGTCGCTGCACACGAGCAGAGTATTCACCACTGCTCGCTCCTGCCACGTGCAGGTAAACTCTCACGCTCGCTGCCTCCTGCTGTCAGATTAGCCAGCGATCACTTCAACTTCTTTTTGCTTTTTAAGACCAGGGCAAAAAAGTCAAGCCAGAGGAAATGACTGTGTTCACTGCTTCTGAGGACGGCAGCGTGCAGCTCTGGAAACCACTGCAGGTCTGTCATCACATCCACCCGATTTAGTCTTAATAATAAAGAACTTATGGGTCCATAACAGAACACGCTCTCTGTATCTTCGCCCCGCAGGTGGAGCACTTTGGCACCTTGCAGGGTCACAGCGGTGCAATATGTGGAGTCGTTCTCGCGGAAGGACTCCCGGAGTTCCTCTCGGTTTCCGAAGATCGCTCTTTGCGACGCTGGAAACGCACAACAGGTGCGACTCTCCCCTCGCCGCGCGTGGCGTTTTTTTACTTTTTTTTGTGCGGTTGTGAGGACTGACCCAGTTCGCCTGCGTCTCCTGTTCCACTCAGAGAGGCCTGGCGGTCTGCGAGGGCCGGTCGCTGCGCTGTGCTTCTCTCGGGGAGGCGATCTGCTCCTCGCTGGTTACGAGTCCGGTCTGCTGGAGGTGTGGCGCCGCGGCGCCGCGGTCGGCCGGAAGCAGGTGAGGAACCCGTATGTGTGTGTGTGTGTGTGTGTTCTCGTGGCTTTGTCGCTCACGCGCGGTGTGTGTGTGTGTGTGTGTGTCTGTTTCGTGTGCGCCAGGTGTCGGACGGCACCCTCACAGCCATCTGCTCGATGCCCGGCGAGCGCTTCGCCGTCAGCTACGAGAAGCTCGCCGTGGACGTGTGGAAGGTGGTGTGGGATGGACAACGCCGCCTCGCCAGGTAAAGAGTCGCCGGGACTTTCTGCGTCTTTAGTTTCCTGCCTTTCCAGTAGAGACCCGGGGGGAGGGGGGGTGACGAAAGATTGGACAGATGTTTATAGCAGCAGTAACCGCATTTGCTTCGCTCGCAGCCTGGTGAAGGTGAGCACGTACGCGGTGGAAGCCCCCGTGATCCGCCTCAACTACTGCTCCGTCCTGATGGGCGTCTCCGACACCGGGACCATATTTGATGTCACAAAAGACTCCGCCTCATACGGGAGTTACAGCGTCCTGAAGTAATGCTACATCATGTGCTAAAATCTTTTCTTTTCTTCAAATGCTTATTCTAAATATTACAGAACCAAAGCTTATAAATACAATGGTTTGGTTTTTTTAAGTTAGTTTTTTAGTTAAACTATTTCTGTGTGTGTTTTATAATGCAGCTGGAATCAACAATGCCGTATTTTGGGGACGACCCAGAACGACGAGAGAAGCATGTGGCTGCTGGCACACGCAGAAGGACAAATCAGAATTGGTTTCATTGTGAGTGTTTCCAAACTCGTCTCTAAATTAAACAAAGAATATTCCAAGAATGCATCAATTTTCATGGGAACCTGCAGTTTAGTTTGCAACATATTTCATTAATATGTCATATTTCATTCCTCAGTTTGCTATGGGCCCTAAAATTGGTTTCCAGAGCGCTTTCGGCTCAATTAACCTAGAGATTGAGGAGGAGGAGGAGGAGGAGGAAGAGGAGGCGGGGAAGGTGGAGGTGGAGGCGGGGACTGCAGAGGAGGAGAAAGGTAGTCTGCCAACAGCTGGATCGGTGGACAAAGGTACAGACATCTGTTTCCACTGCATCTGTTCCTACAGCCACTGGCGACATACTTCCCCTCCTGCAGACGGCAGCTTATTTGCGTCTTGCGTTTATTGTGTGGCAATCCGACGTGTTGTGCGCTCTTTCAGAATTTGTCGTGTGTGGGGACGCGAATGGCAACATGTGGTTCAACGAGCCTCCAGATGTTTGCTCGTGGAGCAGCAGAAAACCCGTAAGAGATGAGAGACTCTGAAACGCAACATCTTTATACACTTTAGACAAATTATTGCAACTTGTTTGATCGTTCAATAAGTTGATAAAAAGTCACAAAACGTTCAATAACCGGAAAGATTTTAATTTACAATGAAAGACAAATGGAGAACTGCTTCACATCCTTAGATTTAAGAAGCCGGAACTACCAAATATGGCATTTTTCAATAAATAAATAATTAGATGATTTGTCAGAATTGTTGTTGATAAATCAATATTTAAAAAGAGAAGATTAAACACAACTTTTAACTTTAAACATTCCTTCATTTAAAGCTGGTGCTCTGTGTTTTGGCTAAACATCAGAAATAACTGAGCGTTGCTTCACTGTTTTTGATGATGATGATGATGATGATGATGATGATGTTTCGTCTCCAGGCTCACAGCGACCGGATCAGTGTGCTGAAACTGACCGAGCGGCTCATCATCTCCGCGTCCCACGACGGCACGGTGAAGCTGTGGGACAGAAACACCAAGAAGCAGGTAAAGTCTCGCAGGAACTGTGACGTTTTGGGAAATGCGCTTATTTGCTCTTGAGGCAGGCTGTCGCTCACTTTTTTTTTTTTTCCACGTCTTTGTGCTAAGCTAAGCTAACCATCTGGCTCCGGCGTTATATTTTAATAGAGAGATGTGAGAATGGTTCCGTTCGTCTCGTCGAACTCGGGGATAGAAAGCCGATTAGCTTCAAACTTCTTCCGCCGCATTCATTTTCAGATCATTTCAAATGGTCTTACTTTGCGTTCTGTCCTCTCTCTTTCTCCTCTTCCAGGTCGGTATGTTTGCGTGTGGAGGTCCTGTGTTGCACTTGGAGGTGAACCCTGTTAACCCCAATGAACTGGTTTGTGGTGACGGGCAGGGAAAGATCTACTTTCTCTCCTGGAAAGAATAATCCTCAAGTTGTTGGACACTAAATAAAAATTCAAAAAGGCTTAAACACTAATCAAAGATTGATGGTAATTCTTTGCTTGCTTTCTATCTCAATAAATGTAAAAATGCAGCAAATTCTCTTTATGTTTAAAAATTGAAAGTAAAATATTTATCAGGGATAAATATAGATTAGGTTTACATGTGCCTTTTAATTTATATAGCGACAAAAGTTTATGAATATAGATTTTAGGTTTTGTATGAGCTGAATTAAGTTGTGTTTTTTCTTTCAATGGAAAATGAGGGAACTATAAATTATATTTTATTTGACAATAAATATATTGTTTGAATCTGGTCTTTGGCTTGATGTATTTTTTCAGAACTAATTCAGAAAATATGGATTATAATATAAATATTTTCTTCACATGTTTTAGGATTTTTAATCTTGAAAGGAGATATTATGCAAAGTATGGTACTTTTTGATACTTAAAATATTTAATTTCACTTGGAAGATTTTTTTATTGAAAAATGTAAAGGTAGAAACCAAAAAATGTTTAAAAAAATATTTTTAACCATTTAATTTAAACGAATTTAACTAACATTACACAGCAGCTCTGCCATTTGTATGATTTTAATCACAATTGACAAATACGCGCACACGATTGTTCCTTACATACGTCATTAGACGTTAGAAACGAATTGAAACACGTCCGGACATCACGAAAAGCCAAACTGTAGAAAGAAGTCCGAGCGGCAGCAGAGGGCAGCAGAAACAAACGCGGTCGGCGTGAACATGTGATGGTTGTAACTATTCCGAGCCGCACCTGAAGGCACCACAGCTCTGACCGTCAACGCCCAGGTGAGCCTCGGAGACGCCCTCCACCTGAAGGTCAACTCGGGTCAAAGAAGTCAAAAACCAGAGCCGCCAGTTCGGGGGATGTCTGCTGTTCTTTAAAAAACAAAAAAGAAGCGCAACGGCTCTGAACTCTGCGTCACCGTCACACTTCCACTCGGCGCCTTTTTGTTTTCTCTTCTCTTCTCTTGTAATTTTCCCCGGACAAGCGACGGGCATCATCGACCAAATACCCGACCGGTTAAACACGTCGAGTCAGCGACCCTCGAGGGGACCAGACGCGGGGGCGGTCGTCATGGTGAGTGCGCGTTTGAAGCCCCTCTCCGTGTTGTTGTTGTTGTTGTTGTAGCGTCGCGTCGGTTAACGTCAGGTAACTTCGGTTAATTGGAAGCGTCGGTTACCGAGCCAACCGGCGTGAGCGTTAACGCGCTGTGCGCGTGTGTGTGTGTTGGACAGGATCGATACGCGGACCTGGACCTGGACTGCGAGGACGGAGGCGTCGCTGTGAGTAACCTTTAAGTTGTAAAAGGTTCAGCCGGCTGACGTTTGTTGTTCGTTTCACGGCATCTGTTTATTTATAGACGTGTGATATTACAGCTGAACTCATTACAGCTGAACTCCACGTTCCAGGTCGGCGTGACCTTCACATCAACTAAACTAAACGGACCCTAGTGGTCAGATGCAACTAACTACATTCAACTTACTCTTTAATCACAATTTGGACTTAAATTAATTGAGTGTTTGCATATTGTTCTACTTCATACTTCTACCCCGCCACAATTTGGAAGCCCATATTGTATTTTTTTTTCCTTCATATTTTTCATAAATTTTAATACATTTAAATAGATTAAGCTTAGCAGCAGGTATGTAAAGTATTTACTGCATCTACAATTCAATAATATGATATTATTCTGAAATGACTCATTCTTAGTAGGATTCTTTTGTTTTTATTTTCTGGATGGGATTTGTTGATAACAAATAATAAAGGGAGGTGTGCTGTTTCAGGCATATTTCGTTTAGTTTGACAATCCTCAAGGGAGGTTTTTAAGGGAATTTTACTTTGTGGATTCGGTCTGTAGATTTGTTTGGGTACTTTACACACACTATAAGTTTGGAGACTTGTCTCGTTTGTTTTGGGGAACGGCCATTGTTTGAAAACGTAATTACCGGTCTTTGTTTTTCCTATAAGCAGTACAATATTATTCAGTTCCGTTGTACGGATTTACAGTATCTTACAGTAATCCGTTCTTGTATATTATTGAAGCCTGAGGCTTTATTCTTTGCAAAGGCTATTTTAGATGGAATAACAGACAAGTGACCTTTCACCTGTGACGTGGAACGTGCTCCGCCTGTCCTCCCGCTCCTCCGAGACAGATTTACGCCGCTGACTCACCGGCCGTGGCAGCGCCTCACGCTCGACCCGTTACTCCACAGAACCGCCTCCTGCTCCTCTCGAGTCTTCCCGACGCATCCGTTTGTTTTCGCGAGCCTCATTTTCCTTTTTGCCTTTTTTTTTTTGTTTTTGTTTTTTAACTTTCAGCAAAAAGCGGCGTTGTTCGGTGGGCTGTTCAAGAAGTCCGCTGATCCACTCCCCCGAGCGCAGGTGAGCGTCTCCATTGAGAACTGGGATCAGCCGCCGGTTCACTGAATACAGAACGTTCTGGATGTATTAGAATGTTCTATTTTGTGAAAGAATACGTGTGGACTTCACAGGACAGTTTGTCGCTCAGCAGTGAACTCTCGCAGAGCAGCGACAGTCTGACTGACGGCGGCACCGAGGTGAGCTGAAACACCGCCAACCCGTCCAGCTACTTTATTCACGTTTCAAAGGCGACAAACAAAGACGGTCGCTTAGTTAAAGACACATTGTTGCTGTTTTGTTTTTATTGTTGAAGCGAGTTTTAAAACATTTGCTGGTTCTAAACGTGATGATTTGAGTCACAAAAGCTATTTTAAGACTTGTGAAATGTTTTGACTAAACTTTTAATTACTCAGTTGAAAGAGTTGATAATAAAATGAATGAAAATAAAATTGAGGTCACTGAAAATTATCAATCAATTAATGTATTTGCACATATTATTCTCATGATATTATTATTTTTTTTTATCCTCTGAAACGTTTTTATTTTACTTTAAATGTCCCTGAGTGACTGAGGGTGTTCCACCTGCCAACATGTCATCACGCCAACATGTCATCATGTCATCACGCCAATATATCATCATGTCATCATGTCATCACGCCAATATGCCATCGTCTCATCACGCCAATATTCCATCATGTCATCACGCCAATATGTCATCATGTCATCACGCCAATATGTCATCATGTCATCACGCCAATATGTCATCATGTCATCACGCCAATATGTCATCATGTCATCACGCCAATATGTCATCATGTCATCACGCCAATATGTCATCATGTCATCACGCCAATATGTCATCATGTCATCACGCCAACATGTCATCATGTCATCACGCCAATATGTCGTCATGTCATCACGGCAATATATCATCATGTCATCATGTCATCATGTCATCACGCCAATATGTCATCATGTCATCACGCCAATATGTCATCATGTCATCATGTCATCACGCCAATATGTCATTATCTCATCACGCCAATATTCCATCATGTCATCACGCCAATATGTCATCATGTCATCATGTCATCACGCCAATATGTCATCATGTCATCACGCCAATATATCATCATGTCATCATGTCATCACGCCAATATGTCATCATGTCATCATGTCAATATGTCATCATGTCATCATGTCAACATGTCATCATGTCATCATGTCATCATGTCATCACGTCATCATGTCATCATGTCATCATGTCAATTATGTCATCATGTCAATCATGTCATCATGTCATCATGTCATCATGTCAATCATGTCATCATGTCATCATGTCATCACTGAACATTTCTCTGC